ATTTTACAAAATTGCTTTTATGCTATAAATGCAAAACGTATGTATTTGTGTCATTTAAACTATATTTCCAATTAAAAGTACAGTAATACCCCGGTATACATCATTAATTCCTTTCAGATCCTAGGACGTATACCAAATGATTTTTTCTGATAAGAAAAAAGGAAGATAACTGATCAATTCTTATAACAAAATCCTCTTGTTATTACTATAACACTGTTTAATATTAAAATACCAAAGCAGTGAGAGAAACATATCCTGATGTATATGATACTGTAAATAAATGTTTTTATGCTGTGCAGAACAAAAGCAATTTTTAACATGTTTTAAAGCTTCTGATCTTTATTTGGTAATTGATTTTACCGCAATATCAGCCGATTTAATAGCGTCTTTGTTTCTCACAACTATAAATATTACAATGAAATAATAAATATTATTATCTCACTATTGAATACCGTATGCAGTCGTTCTCGGCACACGGTATTCAATAGGCAAGACTCGGGGTAGTGGATCACGATGGCGATCGCTTCGTTTTTCTAGACAAAGCTCATTGTATCGCATCCTACGGTGGACCTCCAGAATGATGGACGATTTATTCTCGTCGACCTTAGTCTTGTGTCACTTTACTTCATTAACGCTCCTCAAATATAGAATTTACATGTTACATTTACAAAAACTGTTAATTTCTGCGCATTCCACTCCTGTGTGAAAAATAAGCGCACAAGCGTCTTGAACATTGCAAGAAAGGATACAGCATGAAGGATTTAGAGATAGTTGATATAGTACTAGTAGCAGACGAGAAGTTCGTAAGATCTCTCATCCAGGACCTCTATGTAGGGCCATGACGTTTAGCATTGTGTGCTCAGAAACTCCAAGAGTTGTAAGCAAGTTTTAGTGCATTCAGTAAATTATGATGATCGATTTGTTTAATCTTATAACACGTGACTCATCCGAACTTGAGGGAACCCATGTTTTGTTCCTAGTAGATTCCAAAGAGCCCCCCCCCCCAGGAGATATCATTGATGTTTCATGATATGCACCGAGTCATTCAAGACAGGAAAACAGTGTAGCTTTATACCAAAAGTTCTAGCAACGTTATTAACACTGGTTGTAATTAGTCTTAAAATGGCTATTTACCTTTCAGTACAAACGATCGGATATGCTAAAGAATTTTCCACTTACAGTTTGAAATCTTTTTGCGTTCATCACTTGTATATGTTAGCAACTAGAATAAGTAGACCTTATGCGACAGGTAGCCAAATGGTGTGAGATAATGGAAAGCCGCATGATGATTTTACGATATATGTAGGTATACGGTATTAGGAATTTACGATGTGGTTGTACTCGGTATAAGTTATAGACATATGAGTTACGCCGTTGAGTATACGTTAAAGGTAATATAATGCTAGTATTGTACAATAGCAGTTGATACGAAATAGTCATAACACAAAGTTCGACTATTTCTTTGTTGTTTTAGGTACAGCAATCAACTAAAGCTATGAAGCGAGTAGTAATCGGAACGACATTGTATTTTGATCTAAGATATTTTTTATTATTTTAAATATGTTAATGTTTTGATAACTATCAGAAACTATATACAAAGCGTTTTAATACTGCAATGTTTTTTTTTTTTGTGTGTTTTGTTGGCGTTCGGGGGGGGGGGGGGGGGGAAACCTGGAAACAGAACTCTTCGTGAAGTGGCTGAGCAATGGACAAGACTGGCCCCAGCTAAAGTGGATTTTTTTTATTTTTTTTGGGGGGGGGGGGGGGGGGGGGGGGGGTGGGGGGGGGGGGGGGGGGGGGGGGGGGCTGTAATGTTTAGCTAAATTACGGACAATGCGGCAGTAATTACATATACCTACGATTAGCTCGTCTTTTTGAGTGATGGACTATGTTAGATCTTCGCTATCGCTAACTGTTCAAAATGTCGTATCAAAAAAACGAGGAATCGCAAAGGAAATGCTGAAGACCTTTTAATTGGCAAGCTCAGACAAGCTAGAGCTATGTCTTTAATAAGCGCGAGAGTCACGTAAGCTGTATTACGAATTAAAAAGAGTACTTACTAAGATGCTACGCATCTTAAGACTTTTGGTTTAAGTTCCACAAAATGGCATACTATACTCGTTTTAAATACTACAAAATGTAAAATTCAAAGTAACACATTTAATTTTCGTGAAATGTAAGTCGAAGTATGACCAATGTGGCAGGAGGAGTTGCACATAAAATATTTTTTTAAAAGCGTTTAGTTGGCTCCTTTGCCACCCTACCACCGAGTGTTGCGTACGAGGACAACATGATATTTTTTTAATAGGTGACGAACGGCATCTTTATAGATGATAAAAAAAAATAAAATAAAAAAAAAACAAAAACAATTGCTGTTGTGAAGAACGATCGTTCGAAGTTATTAATGACGATCGTTTATAAATAGCAGCTTTTAAAATAGCACAGAACCAAACGGGCCCGAAGGTACCAGAACAGTAACATGTTTGTCAGCAAACAGATGGCATCATGAGCAGAGTCACGCTGTATTATTGCATGTGAGGCCAGAATTTAGGCAAGGCTGGTGGGCGGCGGAGATGTTTTCGAAGGAAAGGTACTAAGCTAACCTCATTTGACCACGCCAGTTAAAAGATACGTTTCAGCATTTATTCCCTACTTTGCATAAGACGCGCGACATGCTTTCATGAACTGGGAAATTCATTCTGTAGCAAGGAGATACTATAATTCGCGTGAGTTGAGATGACAGCAATTAGGAAAGGTTGTGCTTAGTAAATAAAAAATAACTGTTCATTTTAAATTAATAAAAAGTCACGAAAGTGCTTCACGAAATAGATAAAAAAGTCCTTATGTCCTCCTTTTTTTTAACCTTAAAGTATTTAGTTTTATTTAGTGCTCAACCTAAAACATATGAGAAAAAACTGTTTATTCATGTTTATCTTCAGTTCCATCAATTTTCTTTATGCGTTCTCTTTGTCTTTTAATTTACTAAATACGCTTATAGATAAAATATACCTTAATTGTCATAATATAATGCTATACGTATGTTTTACTGAGTTAGGATATATAGGAACCGCATTTCTTCAAATGAATACAGCTCTCCCTCCTCCTTCCGAGGGATGATAATGTCTTAGAGCAAGCACATAATTTTGGGAAAGAGAGTTGCATGTTGCGAAAAGACCACAGTATTGAATGCGCGATCTACTTCTCTAGGGCCTAATATGATACCGCGTGCCATTAAGTTCAAGCCTTTGTGAACATATGCTAAAGACGGCTATGGTAGCGAATTCTGTAGGAATTGCGCACATGTGTCTATATAGAAACGTGCTGTTTTAATACGAAGATCAATTTTCACGAGGTGGACAGCCCAAGCTCCATCATCCAGAAAGCAAAGGAAACATAATTCTTAAAAGTAAAAATAGCCAACCTATATGATCACATAATAAAGACACATATAGCATGAGTTTTGATCGATATGATAATGTTGAAGTATGGAGCAAGTTGAAGAAGCTATTGGGATTAAGTCGTTATTTTATTCCTATATTCTAGCGAGAGATTATCTATACTGCCTTTATATAAGTGACAAAATGCAAACTATTTAATTGTAAATTTTAATAGGTGTTAAAAAATACAATATTTTTCCAGTGAAGAAATGGGAAATTACCATATATTTCGTAAGCAGTCTTGTACTCTTATGGAGCTTGGTTCTATGTACGAGATGTATCCTGAAAACCTGATATCATTCGAGGGCAATAATTACGTCAAGAGGTCCCATCATGTACCGTTGTTATGTAGATGTTAGAGTGTCGTTTTGGTAGGTTTATAAAATAAGACATGTGAAAGTTATATTCCTTATATAGATTGTAGTTAAATCTGCTTTTCATAATTCAACTTTTCTAAGGGCATTCTGGTAATATCATGCGATTATTATCGAATAGAATGGGCCAAATTTATCGCAATAATACCCGATTGTTTAAAATGAGTTCGACTTTAATAGCCAACTCTTGTTTCATATTAGCAGGAAAAAGATGGATCTTATCAAGTGTGTAAAAACTTATAAACAATCTCTGAGATTATGTCGCTCGTTACTTATTGACTTGGGACCCCTCAGTTGAAATTAAATATGGTACGTATACTTTTACTTTTTAAAAACTGAAGGCAAGTGGTTGACAAAAACACTTCATGGAGGCTAGGATCTAATAGAGCTATTTGTTACCCCGAATTCCTGAAAGAACTGGTATTTGATGCTAATAATGATTAAACTTATTGAGACGCGCCTGATCATGGTGAAGATCGAGATAACTATAAGAGGTTTGTTAACACACCAAGGAACTTCTATTCTAAGACATCTAATTTGGTGGCTCTTCTGCCAATTACCCATATCAGTGCGTGAAATCATATATTAGACATTCTCAGTGTGAAGCTTCGATGATATTTATCAGGATAGAACATATTTAACTCAAGTTTTCATTTCTAAATATAAGTTTCGAACAAATATAATTGTAGCTCCTTTTTTAATTAAAAACCTGGATAGAAAGCAAAGCTGTTTAGTATTATTTCCGGGAGCATTTGCATTCAATAATTATGTAAAATGCTCACTTAAAATTTCTTTCTTTTGCTGCCAACTATCATCGTAAGTGTCAATCTCTAAACAGGGAAAAAAGAATTTAGCTTAACTTCAATATATATCTATTGACAAACGTTAAGCGCGGTTTTATGAGAATTCGCGAATGTTCATGCATGGGTTTCGAGTTTACGAGAGGCCTTGGCTGGAAAAAATTGCGAGACAAGAGAGGGAACGAGTGCAATTTCTTGGAAAAAAAGCAAGGAAAAAAGAAGTAAAGTGTGACAAGGCTTACACCGTGCTACCAATGATTCTTGGAATCTTTATCCGTGCAGAACATTAGCTCTTCGAAAGTCGTAGCCAAAATGTAAGGAATATACATGCCGCGAAACGGAGAATAGAACGACATCAGTTTGACAAAACTACGGAAGCAGTGCGTCACTGAGACACTGCAGGTAAATTATAAAATTTTAGACATACTGTTTCTTTTACCTTCGATTTCTGTACTGAAACTATGAATACGACTAAATATCAAAATAAACAAACACTAACTGCAGCATCTTAATAGAAGCCCACTATTAAGATGCTGCAGTTAGTGTTTGTTTATGCTGCAGTTCATGCTGCAGTTATGCTGCAGTTTGATGCTGCAGTTCATGCTTTTTACAGACAAATTCCTTTAAAACTCTTTACCAAAACACATCTACCTATAAAATTGACTATGTAGTTTAAATTTGTTTTAATATATTCACAGCAACAAGTTTTAGTTTCATAAACGTTCTAAACTGAAACACGATCAGCTTTTTTTTTTTTTTTTTTTTTTTTGTTTGGCGGCATAAGATTAAGAAAAAGAGCGGTTTCATCAAACATTAGAAATATCTATTAATACAATCCATCTATTTTGATGCGAAATTCGTGAAACCCATCTCACCTCCTTTGTTTTCTTGACATTTCCATCAATTTTTGCCGCATGGGAAAGATTCATTGGATATTGGTCTAATTCTCCAGAGGCAATTCGGAAATGGAAGATTGAAAAAAAAAATTGCGAACCCTCCCTATCGAACAAGAACTGGGTATTTCCTAATTATGGGTGCATTAGCAAATTAAAAGTTTAATAATTTTTAACGATAGTTTAATGAGTTGCTTATAAGCACTAAACTATCATTAGAGTATATTCTCTAATGATAGTTTGATCAAACGTGATACGCTAATCGCTATATTATAATAAGCAACAACAAATAAACACATTAAAGTAAAATACTATAAAATAAATTCATTTTATTGGAAAAGAAAAGTCAGAAATGTTAAGTGTCTCCTTTGCTTCACAGTAGTATTTTGCAGGTACATTTTTGTGCAAAAATTCCAGTTCTAGATAATCATTTGAAGAACATATTGAAATATGTTTTATCCGAAAACATTCTACATTATTTTATTTTCGGTAACGTACTTGTATTATAGTATTTTTCACATCAGTAAAATTCGTATTGATTACATATGCCTTGTATTTTTTAATAAGTAATACTTGTTTAACTAAATTCAATATGAAAATATGTATTTGAATGGAATTTTATGTTTTCAGCGAGACAGTGCATCCAGCAGGTGAGAAAGCCACAAAGAAACTTCATCTTCACAGAGACCTTAAAATTATTACTTTAGACCTTAAAATTTAAACTTAATTTTTATAGTTGTGCATGTAAAATATTGCATTTATTCAGAAAGTTAGCAAACTTTAAGGTGTGCTTTATGAGTGGAAGAAGGTATTACGAAGGTGCGTTCAAGGTGATTTATTTCAATAGAAACTTCTAGCAGAATAATACCTGATCTCGTATTACTACTTTCATCTAAAAATGCTTAGCTTAAAACTTTTAGATATAAAGCCCAGACTTCAGATCACTTTTCCAAAGAATATACTATTTACACCAAATAGAAACTACACTTCTGTAAATTTATCTTTAATCAGTATATATTAGTTAATTAAAGTATGAGAGTACGTATAGTTTCTTAATTTCTCAAAATATTTTCTGTATTTATAGCATAATCGATTTTCCCTTCCAGGCTCGAGATATTTTAGCTGCTCAAAGAAAGGATTTGAAGGATGAGATTGAAAGGCTAGATAAAGAAATGTTAACCATCGAACAAACAATTGACAACTCTCGGGGTAATGTGAAGTTGGTCCAAACGCGAATGGAGAACAGGAAATTCAGGCCACGAATTGAATTGTGCAGAGATAATGCCACAGTGGGACTGGAGGAAGAACTAAGGCATGTTGTTGAATCAAGAGAGTACTTGGCTCAGAAACTACGTGACATCAAGTAGGGCATTATTACCGTTTATTTCAAAATCTTCATCAAGTACATTAATACAGTGAAGCACAATTTATGTCTTTCAAGGGACCTTTCGACAAACAATGTATAAATGAGACAGATGTGAAAACGAAATTTTAATTTATGATGTGAAACATAGTATATATTAGCTGCACAATTTTGATACTATTAACCAACTATTGATATTACATAATTTTATTATCAAACTTTCAATTTGTTTAAAATATTAACTATGTTTAAACAAATTTAAAATTAGTATTTTAAATAAATATTTAATTAATATTAGTATTTTAAGGAAACAACAACAATAATAATAATAATGTCATGCCTTCATCTGAATCACCATCTTGATTAAGTAAAATTTTTTTTCCCAATAACATAAGTAAAATTTAACTTTTTTTTAAAGAAAAAGTCTCAAATTGTCTTTTGATTCTGAATCTTAAACAAAGCGCTATTAATTGAATTCAGTTCGTGACATATTTTCTCGCTTGTATAAGTACACACAAAGAAATTTCTAAAGGTTTCAGCGCAATAGATAGCATTTTGAAGAGAAGGTGGGCTTATATTTCATTTTCTTCTCCATCCCCGCAGCTTAAATGTTCATCTGGTAAAATGTTTTCAGCCAGTTCTTCACTTTTATTGAAATATGAATTCATTACGTTGGCATTACAGTTTACGATCGTAATATGTAATCCGAGTCGTTTCCAATCTTCTTCATTCATAATTTGGAGTTTCATCGTCATTTTTGTCTTCAACGTTTCCACTTTACTCTGGGCTCGAAAACCTTCTTTAAATGAAGCAATTTTTAATTGTTTGCGTTTTTACTTGAGTCCAGCTAAGTGAAATCATATTCATAGTTTCAGGAATATTTAAATTTTTCTGTTTATTTTCTTTAGTTATATTTTGAACGCCTATTTGGATCAACCTTTGCCTTGTAGAACATTTTAAAATTCTTAATGATACTCAGATTTAAAGGTTGTACTACACTGGTTGCAGTTTCCGAAAAGAAAACAACTTTCCATTTTGCAAAAAATCTGTCCTTTTAGGATGGGCGGCTTTAATGGATCACCTTTCAAGGTGATCCATAAAAAGTAAAATTTTGCTGTTTTGTCTATTTCCTTGAGCCATTCCGTAAAAATGTCCGTAGTCATCCATGCTTTTTTTATTTATATTCTAATGGCAGAGTTTTAGCATGTTTAATGCACCTTGGTTTTTGCGACTTTGCTATAATTAAAGGAATAATTTTTTCAGTACCATCAGCATTTGAACAAAGTAAAACAACGAGACATGCTTCACTTTGCTTAGCTCCATAACACTGTTCACCTTTGAAAGTTTTTTTTTTTTTTTTTTTTTGGCAGGCATAAGATTAAAGAAAAGAGCAGTTTCATCAACATTAGAAATATCTCTTAATACATATCCATCTATTTTGATGCATAAATTCTTGAACCACTCTTCCAACGACTGAGCAGGAATGCTTTTTGGTTCTCCATATATGACATATATATGACATGAGATTCCATCCGCAGCTTAAATTTATGCCAGCCATCCAGTTGGAAAGAAGAGGCTTCCTTCACATTCAGTCGAAATACTCTGTCTTTTGATTTCTCAATTAGCATGGGACCATTCATTGGAATATTGGATGCACGGCACTGAATGGAAAAATTTGCTAACCCTACCCCTATCGAACAAGAACTGGGTATTTCCTAATTATGGGTGCATTAGCAAATTAAAAGTTTAATAATTTTTAACGATAGTTTAATGAGTTGCTTATAAGCACCATTGATATAGAATTGATAGCTAAAAGAGGTAAGTGTGGTGAAACCGTGCGGACAGAACTCTGCAAATGCTTAAGATTTGAATTTTATCTTTTAACGAGAGTGCCTTTCGCTTTCGTGACATTTTGTATCAGTGAATTCTACTCTATCTAGTTTATTTGCACAGCGTCCTGTTCAGAAGAAAAAATCGTATCTATATTTCCTTCCAAGTATACTCTCTATTCATGTACTGGTTTTTAAGTCCTATATCAGGTTTTAGTGTCTCCATGCCTTTGCTTTCTTCTCTTATTCCCATTTCTGCAGAAAATACTTGAAAGGTGGGACAGAGAAATGTAAAACCAATGCAGTAAGTCAAACAAAAGCGACAAATAACCGAAGTTATGCGACTTATATAAATATTTTCTATTAAAATAAGATAGGACTGAATAGGGACTACGATGAAAAGACGTATATAAATAAATGTAAAAGATGTATTAAAAAAAAGCGTATAAACGATGTTCCACTGTATTTACAAAATTCTTTCATGTATTATACATGTGAGACATTAAATGAAAAAGAACTTTATTCTCCCATATAAAAGTTAAATACAAAAATAACAACATCACAGCGTGGCTGTTGTGGTAGCTTCAAAAAGTTCCGAAGCTGGTGCTATATTTTTTTTTAATTGAAAGAAACATTAATTACAGCTACCGAAAACAATTTAGTTGTACTTTTTGTGCTCGAAATTCTTAGAAAGAGAAATAAGGAAAAAACAGGACTAAAATACAGTGGGCTCCTGGATTTTAGGAATTGTTAAGTACTGTGATTAAAATTCGAAAGTTCATAAAGGGAATTTCCTTAAAAATAATTCCTTAACTCACTTGGACCAAAGGCATGGCCAGTGAAAATACATGCTTCGTAAACTGGATGCTTAATAAAAAGGCGGGTTCCCAGTAGTAACAAAATATAAGCTTCCCCCCCCAAAAAAAAATGCACATTGTATGTACAAAAATACTGTCTATATCTCTAAAATACAATATGACCATCTGACATCTAATTTATCTAACGTATAGGTGACGATGGGGATAGATTGTAAGCACATAAATAATTTTACAAAAGGGTCTTATAATAAGAGTATGGTTCCTTGAATAATGCTGCAAGCTGAGGAGTTATTTGAGTGCACGGGATTTTATCTATTTTTTTTAAGGCTAAAAAATTTTACTAGCGTAATAAATTAAATTTGTGTCATTTCAGTTATAGAGTAATATTCCATATAATAGTAAAAATGTATCAAAACTAATTTTAAAATTAGCATGCTTTGCCATAATCAAATAAACAAAACCAAACCTCTTTTGCTTTGTATGTAAATGAGTAGGCATTTAGCTATTAGCCATTAATGCTTTACATTTTCTTTAGGAACATGCTCAACAGAGTTCAGCAACATCTTCATGAAGTTGAAGATGACCTCCAACGTAAAGAGCGTTCTTTAGCGATAGAGACCACGTGCTTGGAGATACACGAGCGCCCTTCTAAGTCACCGTACCAGATGGACATAGCGTGGTTAGCTCCGATGAATACTACTGCTACATCTCAGTATGCCGATCAATGTATCAAACGGGGAAATAATCAAAGAATTATAGATCATCATGTAGAAGTATGCACGCCGAAGCTAGAAAAAGCATATTCTGACAGGTGCAAGGTGACTGAACAAAATAAAGCAGAGTATGACTTAGTGGACTAGATAACATCTTAATCACATGCAAGTTATTAGTTTGAACATCGAAATTATAGCATTTGGAATAAAAATAGCACACTAGTTAATTTAAATAACTAATTTATTTGTTTGTGCATTGACTTTCATTTTTCACTCATTGCTATAATTCCAACAACCTACTTCAGTAGCACTTCTAAAAAATAAATAATCAAAGCTATAGCCTGAATACTACAGCAACACCAAAAATTTAATATTACAAATGCAAGTCATGAATTGAATGCAGTTATAAAATATGGATATTAATTAGAAAAGATTTTTATTCATTTTTACCTTTTGCCAAACTATATATAGGTAAGGTAAGTAATGATTTTGGTCTGAAAATTCGATAGAGAGTTTTCAGTGAATAAGCACGAATTAGGGACCGCATAAGATGTTTTCATTATTTTTACATTCTTGTCTATGTTTCTGTAAGCGTATGAAAATTTTTTCTTTGTCGATAACTCTTACATAAAATTTAAAAAATTTCTGTTTTCCTGATTTAAGCTTTCTGCTGCTAACTAAAGAGTTGATTAGCTCTGGGGAAAACTTCGGCAATCAGGAAATGGTACTTTGATTGAAGCTCATAACAGTTGTTCAGACAGCTGGAAATGGTACTTTATTTGAAGTTCATAACAGTTTTTAATAAAAAAACTGCATTAAAATCTATCCAAAAATTTTTAGTTTTCAATACTCAGCATCAGTGGGAATGCCATATTAGATTCTGGATAAAATTGATAAACCGAAAGCAGAGCTTAAATTGCGACGGAGCCCACAGGGGCCCGGCTCCAGTACTTCTTTGTTTTTGGGATAAATCATAGTTCCAAGCGGAGCGCACCGAAGCCCTAAATGAGAAGCACTTCTTTTGTGTGACTGAACAACAATTTCAGTAGAAATTTGATCTCGAAAATTTTATTTTTTGCAATAAAATTATATTAAAAGTCGCTTATTAAATTTTAGTTTAGGATCTCTCTTTAGATTTTATTTACTTTTAATAATTTAATTACTTTAATTATTTAAATAAATAGTAATTAATTAATTTTATTTAATTGATTGGTAAATATTAAATATTAATTAAATAATTATTAATAACTTTGATAAAAAACTATTTAATTTTTAAACTATTATTCATTTTAATAATCATTTTATTTATTTACTTTTGTTCCTCTTTGCTGACGGTCATCCACAGGGCTCCGGCACTTCTGATTTTCAAAATTAAGCCTTGACTGGAAGTGATATTTTACTTGAAACTTCGAATAGATTTTTGTGAAAAAATAGATTATGAAATAATCCAAAACCTTTCATATCTGGTATTTAAAACTCATACATGCACAACATATTAAATTTGGACTGTATATGATAAACTGGAAATTATTCTTAGCTTGGAATCTTTATCATATTTTCATAGAAAAATATGGTGTTTAATCTAAAATAATGCAGCACATATTAAAGCTATATTATATCTAGGCTTGATATTTATTATTTCAAGCTACAGAAGAGAATGATTTTGATAACAATATTTCACTTTCAGAATTTCAAAACTCTTGTAATGCATTCATGTTACCAAAAGTGCACTTGTTATTCTCTTGCACTGTTGATGGTGATCTGAGGCACAAGAACAAATAGCAAATTCGAAAACACCAGATGCTTCACTTCTCTGATCATGGAATACATGGTAATCAGTTATTCATTTGTAATTCTAAAAACTAATGAGCACTGTTTAGCGATACTTAAATATCACAAGGATGTACATGAAGATCAAAATTAATTTAGATTTGTTGATATAATAGAATTAACACAGAAGAAAATTAAATTATACCATCCATTTCAACGTATTTATTTTAAATATATTACAAATACTTTCTAATTTAAATGCTATTTAATTGCCGAATAAAATACAATTTTAATAATAAAAAATAAAGGGGCAAAAATATTGGTATATATAGGAAAAAAAATGAAAAAGGTTTTGCACATGGATAATTATGCCTAATAAAATACAACCGAAAATTTTACATTACAGACCTTTCTCTTAATTGGAACAACAAATTAAATTTTTATTCTCCAAATGATCAACCAGAAATGATACTCTACTTACAGTTTGTTGCTATTTATATCATGGCATTGGCAAGAGGTTGTGCTGGTCACATCAGATTTTTTAATATGTAAATATGAAAGAAGAAAACTGCAGGAGTTTAAATATTGATTATAAAAAATACTTATTTAACATAAAACAAAAATTAATTAATTACACAATGCAGACAAATGAGAAGCTACTAATTTATAACACAGGCATAAATATAATTAAAATTGCAAAATAATGAGATTTAGATAGTAAAACAAAAATTTTATTACAAATAACAACTTTAAAAACAAATAATATATTTCTGGTTATAAATTTTATACCTTATTTAGAAACACAATTCTTTTAGTACTTATCTTATGCACTGACCTTGGCAATAGAAAACAGTGATGACACAATTCAGGTTTAAGAATATGTTATTTTTTACCAAATGTAACCATCCCATGTAAATGAATTTACTATGTGGAATGATAAATCGGCAATCATTAAATTTGTATACAACATAAGCTTTTATATAATTCCTAACACACACACATATATATATATAAGATTAAAAAATATGTAAATCAGCTTCATAATTTAATTTAGTAGTAGCCTCTTAATTCCATTGTTTTAATTTGGTTATTTCCTATTTATTCTTAAAAAATTAATAACGTTTCTGGACTGTGTAGTTTCTAGATCAATCAATGTACATAGCTTACATAATGCTGATTCGGAACCTCAACTTAAAATTTTTAGAACTGAAACTTTCTAACCTAAACCTCTTTTGGTCAGCTTCCACATCTGATAAATGTGTACTTCGCTTTTACCTATGTTGCTGCTTTGATAATATTGAGATAGAACGAATCAATGTAAATTTTCTGGAAACAGGCATGATTACAGTGCCAGGTAAATTGTGGCCACAAATCTCAATTTAAACAAAAGCGGAATTTAATCCACCTTGACTGTCAAGTTTCTTAGTTTTTATGAATTCAACACTTTAGCATTCTATGCAATCAGAATTCTTCCTCTTCAATATGGCACTACGTTCTATGAATTCTGTGGTGCTATGTCATCAAGAATGCTATGCTTTTTTTCTCTTTTTTATTACATATATATATATGTGATAGAAACAAAGTCAGAAGTAAATTATCAGCAGGAATTTTGATGGCATAGAAGTGTTGATCCATAATGAATAGGAATTGGAGGCGAAGGCAGATTAAATCTTTAAGATTACATTTTAGGTAAATTTGCAGTAAGAAAGAAAGAACAGATGGACTGCAGTTCAGCTAAGCCAAAGTGCAGAAAGCAAGTGCATTATGTTCAGGGTGAAATCTTAATCCACACTGAGTTAGTTTTGGTTCTTAATGCATTTTGATTGGATAGTTAATATTGCTGTAAAATTACTATTGGCTTCTTGAGTTTTAGTTCCATTTACATTACCGGAATTATGTAAAAGTCATATGACACAGATTAATCTAGAAATGACACAGTGCAGAAAGAGGTTACTATTTTTAGACTAGAGAAGGAAAATTAATTTACCCTGCTAATTTAATCTTTTACATATATATATATTAGGAACTCACATAAATTTGTATGTATCATACTATTTAAGACAATTCTGTCAATAATTTATTTAAAATAATAACATAATACTTCAACAGAACTTATATATTATATATATATATCATATTTAATACAATTATGTGAGCAATTTATTTAAAATAACATACACACATAAACATACTGGAATATTATATTTATTATTTTATTTACTGTAATTTTGTTAGCTATTTATTAAAAACCATCATACATAAACAAAACACACCGGAAAATTTATTTAAAAAATTTTTTCTAGTAGTCACAGTTTAGTAATTACAGCTAATAAATGCCTCAAACATCAACTGCAGCTTATTTTCCAATGACGAAGGGGTAATAATAGTATGCATAATGGATATTTTAACAAGGAAAAAACATGATATTGAACAATGCAAGTATGAAAAACAGTTTATTTCTCCCCAATGCAAAAATGCATAGAATCCACTTTCTTGCCAAGGCCATTGCAAAAGTACCATTCTTTCTTTATAATAACATACCTATTATTTTTTATTAATCTAAACATTCATATTACAAATTTCATTATATATTTCGAATTATATAACAGCTTCTTTCAGCTTTTCAGTTATAAATATTAGAAATAATTATTATTATTTCTAAATATCTTTATGTATTTAATTTAGAAGAGAAATTCAAAAGTTGCATAATTAGACTTGCTTAATCTATTGAAACATACAATTTTAAGTGAAAATAATGTCTCATACCTAAAAACAAAATGAGCTGTAAAGACATAAAAAAATTATAACATCCCTAAAGATAAGCTGAAAGGCCACTGGCAGGGAATTCTACTGATAGTGAATATATAAAAAGATATCTATTTGAAACAACAACAAACTTAACACTTTACTAAAATAATACCACTATAGAACAATACTAGAATTATTTATCAATTTGTTTATGATGCAGTTCATAGTTTTTACTATAGCAGAGGACTGAATACTTTTATAAATGCTTTTGGTTTATAAAAATAAAGGTGTATATATATATATATATACACCTTTATTAAGTTTAGAAATAAATATATCACAAAGTACATTAAATAAATCTAGTAATAAAATAGCACTGACTTTATACTTAATTTTATTTATTTCTAGTTAATTTTTTTAACTGGTAAATAATACTGGAAAAACACTTACATACATAAAGTCTTAATTCAAAATTTGATAGCAAGTTTTTCTGACTTAGGCTCAAGAGCTCTTCACTATCAAAGGTAATTTCGTAAAATGAGGTATCCAAAACTAATGACTATCTCTGCATAATTTATATTTAATAATGAGATTCAAATGATATAATCTTCAATAACTTGCAGAAGGAGTACAGAATTCACACTTTATACGTAATATGTGATGAGATTCGAAATTCAGATTCCTAAAAATAACTACAAATCAGGGCTGACCAATTTCACTTCATAATATGGCAAGAAATTTTTTTTTCTCATTCACAAAAACAACAAAGTTCAGACCAATTACCATATTAGTTAATTCCTATAACTATGAAATATTCTGTTATCTGGACTGGATTCAGAAATGTATGTAGATATGCATGTATATATGCAAGTACGTATGTATGAGTGTGCATGTACATACAAATACTCATGCATACATACATACATTCCTGAATATGGTCCTGATAACAAAACAGTACAAACTCTTTATATGGTGCCAGCACCTTTATCTACTTTGGTGAACACTGACATGCCTGCAGTGCTACAAACTTCATAATGGGGTATAATAATAAAATTATTTAATCCATGAGTGTACAGATGAAAGGAAAAAAAAAAAAAAAAATGAACTTTAGATATACATGTTTAAAAACATAACAGTTTTGGTCATACAGAACTGTAGCTAGGGTGTAGCACCTGGGGGACAACTGAAAATTTTGTGCTTCATCCTGTTTACCAAGAATGGAAAACATTTCATTTTAAAAATTCCCAACATCAATTTGGCACCCCCTGGATGTTGCAAACAAGAACAGATGTCCCTCTCTAGCTATGCCTCTGTAGTCAAAACACAAAATAAAGAAACACTCTCCTCTATTAAATTTCTGGTTTAATTCTAGTATACGGTACACATGGGATTTGATGACTTTTGGCAACATTATGATGAGTAGTAAATGTGGAATTTATGATGAGCAGTAAATGAGTCACTTTGATGTTGATGACAATTTTCAAAATCTTGCCAAGGCCGTAACGTATACTAGGATTTTATCAAACTTCTCTTTATGGTAAGACTAAGAAAATTATAAAAAATTATGGATATATAGATTTAGTCTATACAGAAGAAAATATTATAATACTAACGATATTTCAGTCGTTTTATATGCAATTTTTCGGCACCACAATTCCTTACATTCGAGAACATGACATTAACTCTGATTTTATATTACAAATTTTATGCATTTTAAAAGAAAATAAGTTTATGAAGTGAACACTAATATTTGAATAAAAAGGGATTCTCTAACAAATGACATTTTTCTATAATATAATTACAAAAAACTTAACTTATAAGAATAAAATGAATGCAGGCAAGTTTTGAATGCAAAAAACTGTTAATCAAATATTAAAGAACCATTAATTAAGAATTCCATTTAAGACAAATTCAACACTCAGAAACAATCAATTCTTAAAAATCTACATGATTATATATTTTACTTCAAGAAACCCACTAGCAGCATCTCATAACAATATTAAACTCTTGAAATTATATTCAGTAAATTTTGCTCAGTTTTAATAACTAAGTAACTTTTTTGAAGGTTTCAGCTGCCAGATTTCTTTAAAATACATTGAAGGTAATAAACCCTCTGCATTCCCAGAGCATAATATAACACCATTATCTGATATATAAAACTTAAATCCATCTTTAATTGCTTTAATTGCATCAACTACAATTACAATTTCGCAACTGTTTCGTATTCCACTAATAACTCCTTCCTCTCCTGGAAATTTGTCAGTAAAATGAATATGATTTCTCTTCATTCGGCTAAGTCCAGAAGCTTTAATATTCTTAATTTTCGAAAAATAAGTGCCATGATAGATAACAGAAGGTATATTATCTAAAGTTAGCACGCCCAATAAGCCTTCTTCGTCAACTTTAAGCGAATGTCCTTGATTTGCTCTGATCTGCAATATATTTTTATCACCTTTGCAACGTAAAGTAAATCGTTTTTTATCGTTTTGTTCCACAACTCTGACTATATCATCAACACTATATTTCTGAAATTGATCTAATTTTAATATTTTATCCAGGTCAACAAATCCTCCATCATCTAGAGATAATCCCACTTTTTCAGCTCCATGTCTTAATAACCAAGAAAGCAGTTTTGAAAGTTTGACATCATTCGCGCTTAATTTACTTCTATTGTGATTAGCCATCATAGACGTATGAACACATCTAGAAATTTCAAGGATTTACTTTCATAATGATTTAGTTTGCCATTAACTATTAATTTGACTAGATTAACGATATTTCAGTCGTTTTATATGCAATTTTTCGGCACCACAATTCCTTACATTCGAGAACATGACATTAACTCTGATTTTATATTACAAATTTTCAAAACTTTGAAATACTTTAACACATTATTCAAATTTCACGCTTCTTAGTTTTGTTTGTTTACATTATTATATTAGTAGTTGAAGTTTTTTATATGGTTCTAAAAATTACATCGCTTAGATAAAAGGGAAAATAATTTCTTCCGTAACATTTAACATTCTTAACATTTCAGACGTATTTTATATAATTTAAGATGATCGCAGAATGATTTAAAACATTCATATCTACTTTTTTATTATGTAATTTTATTATTATGTAATTTTTATTATGCTACAGCTGTAGTTCTCTCAACTTGTTGTGTTTTTGATCCGGTAGCTAGGCAACGGACAAATGTATTTTTAAAACCGAAAATGGATGATTCCTCGTGTTCGATTCATTTAAATATATGTATATTAGAGAACTGATGGAAAGCGTCAGTGAAGGACAGGAATTAATTCGTTTGCAATGTCTTCCATTGCCAAAAGAAAGAAAATCCGAGCGGAGAAATAATTTGCAAACATATTGTGTTAAACTTAAGAATATTGACGGATTGTCAGAGGTAAATATTTACCTCCTCCTTCCCAAAAGTATTATACTGTGTTAGATAAAAATTAAATCTTGCACTTGCACGAAGGATGATGTTGCCATGATCTAATTTCTGAAAATTTGATTAAATTTTGAAACTATGTTTTGCAAGTTTTGAACAGAATGAATTTTTTATGAACTCTTAAGTCAAGTGTTCTTAAGTTCTTTTCCTACAGCACTGATTCTAAGTCAAAATATGAGACACTTAATATTTATGCACTGTAATAAACTTAATCCCACCACAGACAAAACCATTTCTGAATTAAAATTAACAAAAATATTTCGCTGTAAATATTAGCTCAAATAAAAAGGAAGATATTCTGAACTGAAGTTTCATTGGTATTAGTCCAGCATTGTTAAACAACATCATTAAACAGATTATTATTTAAAAAGATTTCAGGAGATTCTAAGAAATCCTAGTGTCAAGATGAATTAGTTCGAGCAATAATTTTATCTTCCACAAAATGGAAAATGGGATTTTTTATCCTTACAGTTGAAGACCTTTCTATTTCTTTTGTTTCACATACCTAATATGGTAAATCTTTGGATTTTGGTAACTTGGCGAAAATTTGGCAACCAACCCTGCTACAGCAACCTGCTAGTTTTTGTCTGGACACAATTTAGTTTTCACGAAAAAAAGGCATGTTTTTTTTTTTTTTTTTACTCAACATTTTTTTCCAAAACAATCTGCTAGCCGAATTACGCTTATGCTAGAACTTTTATGGAACAAAAGTGCTTACGAAGATTAGGTGCGAAATTGGGACAAAGTGTAGAATCGCCCTCTGCTTGCCACGTTTTTAAGAGTTGCACATTAATGGTATCATCCATGTACATGTCGACTTATTTTGACTTAAAAAAAATCCCAGAATTGCACAAAAAAGGAATTGCTCACGCTCTTGACTTTATCCATGTACACTGCTAAAGTCCTAGCTAGTAACCTTTATCGCCTTACCAAAATGTCACCAAACTACCTGTTACCATATTCCAAAGATTAGCCCCTAATATGCTCCTTCACCCTGAATTTTAAATGTCTACAGATTTGTTCTCCATAGGCATGATAGAAATTTCATAAATACTTCTATCGTGACAGATGATTGTGAGTTCTTTTCATTCATTATTTGGCATCACCCCCCCCCGAAAAAAAAACTTGTATTTTTTAATTTTTTAAACATTTTTATTCACAGTCATACGACACAGTAACTATGTTTTACACGTATTTCTCACAAATCTTGCCTAAGTTTTCCTTTTTAAAACCATTCAACTCGTACCGTGCGATTCATTTTTGTTGTTTTTGGCTAATCTTTGGAATATGGTAACAGGTAGTTTGGCAACATTTTGGTAAGGCGATAAAGGTTACTAGCTAGGACTTTAGCAGTGTACATGAATAAAGTCAAGAGTGTGCGCAATGCCATTTTTTTGCAATTCTGGGATGTTTTTTTAACCCGCGGGAAGACGCGTGGGGTGTATCATACCCCAACCCTACATAAAAGTGTTATATTCCTAACTTGTGAAAATGAAATTCTGTGCTGCTTTCATTAGCTGAGTTTCTAGTTGTGGTTGACTTTCAGAACCGCTTTTTCTTTGCCTGTGTGTTTCAGAAAAAGATTTATCGGTATTTTGTTGGAACTGGGGTATGTCACATCCCACGCGCCTGTCCATGTAAGTGTTTTTCTGACTGAATATTTAGTTCAGAAATTTATTTCTAGAGTGTAACAGTAAATATTTCTACTCGCAAGTGATTTTAAAGTACTTGACATTAAATTCTTAAAAATTTCTAACTGTATTATGGTAAAAAGAATGAGTCCCTACGAACTGGAGATGCAACGCACGCGAGATTTATTAGAAATATTTGAAAGCGATGAAGATTGCATTTCGGAAACTGAAGATGAAACTAAAAAATATTTTCTACAATGTTTTGGTTTCGAAAAAGATAAAACATTAATTCCTGATGTTCCTAAAAAAGGAAAAACTGTTCTTATGCTTTATATAACAATCATTATAACATTATATAATGATCATACTATAGATGATACTATTGGAGAAAATAAAATGTTAGGAATTATATGTTTTAATAATATGACTAAAGGAGCAGTGAATATAGGGGATGAAATGTCAGCCAATATTGTATATTGCCAAATATAATTGCCAGAATAACGAGAAAGTGGCCAATGGTAATTTTCTTTCCTGCACTGAATGTTGCTGTAATAAATGCTTGAATTATATTACATTCAACTGCTAATCCACCGACAAGAAACAGAAGTCTGTTTTTGAAGGACTTAGCATTACAATTAATGAAAAAAAGTATTGAACAAAGATCAGAGATTAATACTTTTTCAAGAAATTGATGTACTGCAGGCAAAACAAAAGCAGAAGTTTCGATAAAGAATTAAAACGAATACATGAAATTAGAAACAACTAAGTATGAAAGATGTGTTACATTTTTTGCCCTCGCGCCAAGGACAGAAGAACGTGAATGCAATGTTTAAAATGTGAAAACATTCTGTGCCAAGAACACATGAATGAATTTCGTTCAAAGTGTGAAGAAATAAAAAAAGCATGGTGTATTAGAGATGCAATGAAACTTAGAGGCATGATGTTTATTATTTTTATTTATCTTAATTTTAACTCTAAGATTATTTCGGAAATTAATTTTTTGAAACCCAATTATTATTCACTTATTTATAATACACGAGAACAAAAAAAAAAAAAAAAAGTAGTTTTAAAACTAAATAATACTATTTTTATTGTATTTTAAATATTGGGGTATGTGATACCCCACGCGCCCGTTCTAACTTTTCTTAGTGCGCCTTCCGCCGGGTTAAGTGAAAATAGGTCGACATGTACATGGATGATACCGTGTATGTGCAATTCTTAAAAATGCGGCAAGCAGTGGGCGATTCTGCACTTTCTCCCAATTTCGCACTTAATCTTCCTCATGATTAAGCACTTTCATTCCATAAAAGTTCTAGCATAAGCGTAATTCGGCTAGCAGATTGTTGGAAAAAAATGTTGAGTAAAAAAAAAAAAAAAAAAAGCCTTTATTCGTGAAAACAAATCGGCGTCCAAACAAAAACTAGCAGGTTGCTGTAGCAGGGTTGGTCTCCAAAAAATCACCAAGTTACCATAATCCAAAGATTAACCCTGTTTTTCTCCACATCTTGTTGCATTGGCCTCCTCATTCTCCATAGCAAGTGCCAGTGCTTCATAACCTTGTGAATGAATTTTCAGTATTTTATCTTTTACAAATAAGAACTCGATTTAAGTTTAAAAGAAATTGTAGAGCTGTACTGTTTGAAATATGTTTGAAAAGCAGAAAGTGCTAAGTTTAAGGTGAATGGCAGATAAATGCATGGAACTGAAGTATCCTTAATTTGAAGATTTAAAGTTAAAAGAAATGGAGGTCTTTGAAGTTTCATAAATGTATTGGCATTCTGGCTTTGAATAGAACAAAGCATACTTAGGCTATCTGCCTAAGATGATAGATGTCTTTGTGGAGGACTTTCTAAGGGAAACTGGCTTTTATGCACGTTACATATGGAGGAAATCATGAAAACCAAGAATACAGACAGTCTATTCACTTGAGGTCAAACTCAAGTCTGCATTCAGTGATTTTAAACACTAGGCAACTGGTAGGCAAGATGATGATAAATAGATAATGATTATTGGAGAAGTCAAACAACAAGATATGCATGATATTTATAAATTAGTCTAGTTCTTGTAAATTATGTTTATTGTTTGACTTAATCATCATTTGACATGTTATTTTAACCTAAATGGATAATGATGTGAAGCAGAAACGTTTTTGTTTAATAAAGTCTGTTAAACTATCACTAAACTTCTTTCCCCCCCCCCAATTTTAAACTGCACAATGTTATTTTCCTCAAACTTTCCTGGTTTTATTTTTCTTAATAATTACCATTAAACTTTAAAAAATTTTTGATTTAAGAATTAAAAATGAGTTTAATGTGATGATTTTACTAACCACCTAAAAGTCAAATATCATTATTCCTTTTCATATCATATGTAAGGATATTTTTATTTATCTGTCATTGAGCTAACATTTATTACCTTAATTTATTTTATACAGACAACTGCTTCTGATAGTTATCAGTTGCAAGCAGTTTTATTTGATGAAAAACATAGAACCTTCATTGGTAGTTTTTGGAATGGGAAGCCTGTTGAAGTCAAAAACAGGAAAATTGTCATTAATCAAGTAAGTTAATTCTCTTTTAATTACCTAAATTTTAGTTCTGCTTCTAATTGAAATAAAAGTGACGTTAATTATTTTGTTTAGGTAAAGCAAAAATTTGTTTATTATCCAGAGCTTAAATTGTGTTGGAGCCCAGCTCCAGTAGTTAAGGTAAATTTCAATTCTAGCTGATCACACTGGAGCCCTTAAATGAGAGGGCTTCACCACTTCTGTAATTAAATCACAATTTCAGTAGAAAATTCTTTGGATTTCAAGAACTTTGAATTTTAATAATAAATCTGTCTTAAAAACTTGTTTTAACTTTTGCTTGTTTTTCTCTGGAAAACAAGCAGCACTTTCATCAAAGTTGAGAGGGTAGAAAAGCTCCCACTCACAGGTTTATTCTCCAAGATGTGCAATGATTTTATGAGCATGGATAAATTTTTCATTCCAACTTTTTGGAAGGATGTAACTAAATACAGGGATGGAAATTTTCACTTATACAAAACCTTACTTTTGCTCTCAATTTACAACTGTGATTCTGGAGAAATTTTTTATCTCTGTCGCATTCTGCTCGACAACTAATTAAGGTTAAATAATGCATTGAACAAAAATTAATTTAGAAATCAATAAAGGAAACAAACATAACAAACATATGCAGTATTCTAAGATTTTAAATTATTTGATAGCTGCAGCCAAAATTTTTTAAAGAATATCTTCCATTGGTGAATGTTCTCATTAATGACCCTAATTCCAATCCATCTTTACCTTCAACCTTTAAGGAAATTATGTTTTAGTTGTCTTGTTTCATCAATAGATGGTGCCAGTAGTCTTTCATCTTATCACTAGATCTTATCTTATTCATTTGCACTATGGCAGCTGTGGATGATCAAAACTAGTCATGTTAAAAGTTGCAAATATAATGTTGATTTTTTCTTTTTTGACTTTTAATTAACTAGAGCTATATCAAAAGGATTCTTATCAGAATGTACTAGACTGTTCTCTCTTTGTTTTCAAACCGTAACAATTACCGTTAAAAACATCCCATGGCCGTGCTCTTTCATCCCAAAATTCTTTTCCCCATTTGCTGGATCTCTGACCAACCTCCTTCTCATTATTCTCTCTCCTCCCTGATACCCCTTCTCTCAAATCACTTCCTATCTCTGTAACAAAGTGGTCATCTCTTGGATAGCACCTGCTTTTCCCTTAGTTATGAAGACTATTCTGCATTTTTCTGTGGATTAAAATGCTGTGTTCTTTGCATAGACTAAAAATCTTTCAGTACTGTTCTGTTATCAGGACTGGATTTAGAAATGCATCTACACACACATAATCCATACATGCATACATATATTTTTGAATCTAGTCCTGATAAAGAAGTGTACCAATCTTTTTTATTTCTTTGCTTAAAATATTCTACAGTATAGAGTGAGTGACAGTATTTTATATTATATTATTACATATTTATATGATTACTGCTAAACAAACATATGCAGTATTCTAAGAATTTAAATTATTTGATAGCTCCATACGTATTTAAAGCATTTTTGCGACTTTATGAAATAAATTAGAATTATATGATGCTTGTTTAAATTACTTATTACCGTATTTGACGGCATATAAGACGCACTTTTTTTCCTAAATTTGGTCTCAAAAAAGTTACCTGCGTCTTATACGTGAAGGACACAGTCTTATATGTGAAGGTAATTGCATTCAATAATTGTTTATTTGGCTTTTACGAAACGTGAGAACTAAAAGAAACCACACTATTGAAACTTTTTTCCCTTGTGTGTGGCCGTCTAAATAAGGGTGCGTCTTATATGCCAGTGTGTCTTATATGCCGTCAAATACGGTAATTAATTTAACATTATATTATAATAGTGAGTGCTTTCAAAATGTCAAAGATGTAATTGTTTATTGAGAAAACATTCAGATTCTGAAATTTAAGCAGTATTCTTAGACACAAAGCATCTTTAAACTTCTGTTTCTGATGAATCTTCTGTGATACAAATGAATAGTTTCAATTTTAAGGATATATATTGGTGTAGCATTTCTCATCATGTGACTCAGGAATTATGATTTAAATTTATTATATAACCAATGTATTTATTACTTTAGTATTAGCTCAAATGGAAAATATTTTTATGTGAGATATTAAAAGCACTGCAATGACCTGCCTATCGCTTTAACTGTTTAACCTAGACTTTCAGAATTTTGGCAAACCTTGTTTGAGATATTAACATAATCTGAATAGACAATGTTTTATTGAACATATTTCAGGAATAAAAGTAATAATATGATAATTACTGAGAAGATGAATGCAGATCTGATTTAGGAACTACTCTTATACTACATGCCCTCGGTTGGTGATAAATTTCTTGCCAAACATTTTTGGTGAGAAACTCCATGACACCATATTACTATGTATATTTTTTGTCTACATTTTTAACTTTGGAGCCTAAAACGCCTGCAAAAACGTGGTTTTTACACGTGCAAAAACCACGTTTTTAATACAATTTATGCTGAAAATCCTAAACAAAAACAAAAAATTTATAGCAAAAACATAAAGTTTCTAACCAAAAATATTTCACAAGAATCCATGTACACAGCAATCTGTTTTAACTTAAAAAAACATCAGAGAATATGATTCATAAATTAAATAAATATCATATTTTGGATTAAACTGGCTGCCTTTGAGGAGGATCAGGTTTTGGTTAACTGCAGAGTGCACAAAAACTATCAGCGTAGCAGGAGGGTTGTCTTCATGGAATATTTTTTTCTGAAATGACTTGTCTTCATATTATGCATATGGAAAATCCTGATTAGCGAGTCTTTTCATTAAGAACTTACTTTGCATGAAAAGATGCAAATATTTCCAAAGCAAATATTTTTGAAGATATTACTATAAAGTCAGGCAGATGAATAGAAATGTTTAGCATACTAATTCATTACTAAGAGTTTTAAATAAATCATAATATTCTATTAGTGAAAAGAATTTTATTACAGTGAGTTACTAAATTGCTGTTTAAAAAAAAAAATTATATTGCACTGTTCAAATATTCTATTTCTCCCCCCGTTCCCTCACTAAGTAACTAAAGTAACCATTCTCAAGTTGTTACTTTACAGTAATCACATTTAACATTAAAATGAGGGATGCTCATGAAAAAGAAATAATGTCTTGTTATTGCATAAAATTAAGCATTGTTTTATGTATGTGGAAGTTTAATTATATGAAAAGAATGATGTTATTAAATATTTAGTTAACTGTTATAAGGAATAGATGCTTTTTTATTACTGCTTATGATTTAAAATTGTGTATAATATGTGAATAAATTAATATCTAAATTAAAACAGATTAAAAAAATAAGCTAAGGAGGATACTTTAACACTCATGAATAAAAATAATTCACTGAAAAAATAATCTACTAATAATTATAAATGTCAGTATAAGCTAGTGATGTGAAAATGGATTTCGGAGTTAAAACATTAAAGAGCTAAGGAAGTTGAGGGACATTAAAGAGCTAAGGAGTTTTTCCGTTTCACCAGCACAAATCTCGCTAAGCAGACTTTATTGGCAACAATATACCCTTTACAAGTATAACCTTAAAAATGTTAACAAATGTTAGTTCTAAGAATTTTTTATTTTGAAGGCATACACATTTTAATATCATTTAAAATTTTGTAAAAGCCAATAAATAAAGACAATAAATTTGTAAAAAGACATTAATTTAAGAATTTACTTTGCTTTTATGTTTCAACATCTTGATTCACTGGTTCATATCACGTGACCCCCAAGTGATCTGATCTCACGTAAACTACACTACAAAAATTTAATTCTCTCAGTAATTATCTACATTAATTTCAAGTTAAATCTTCATTTGGAATACAAGTTTAAATGCAAGAATTATTTCAATTCGTATGAAAAGCTTAGTCAGAAATTATGTAAAACCGCAGTGCTGTACTTTGCTAGTGCATTCTCATTAGAATTGATGAATTTTAACTCTTGACTTTGCCTTCAGGTAAGCGATGTGATTGCATCCTAGTTGACTTAATTATCGCGAATGGCCTTAGGTCATAAAATTGAACTATCTGGTAAACATTCTATGTAATTGTATGCCAGTATTGAAAGAAACAATCAATCTGATAAGAAATGGCTACGGCTTGTTTTGAAGATGAGGCGTAAAAGATTACCAGCGAGAATATTCCGTTTGGCATCAGTTCAACCATTATTGGCGACTTTATCGCCTGTGCCGGCAAAACAGAAAAGTACCAAAAGTTCTTTGCAAGAGGAAAGGAAAATTGGGTGATACATCATTTTCGATGAAAGAACTATGCGACTAAATTTCCTATATACTCTATCAAAGTATAGTACTTTTCCAGTGGACTCGTACTGTTTTTAGCATTCTCTTCATTCTCATTAGTATCGCTTTAACTGTTTAACCTTTTTTCATTTGTGTGATGGGAAAAGAATAATCTTTGTTTCTTTCATTTGAAAAAACATCATACTATTTTTTCATGGCTTAAATTCAGTTGAAATTTTTCTTAGTTTGTATGAAATTTTAATTCCAGCCACAGTACTAAATGAGATGAGGTTTGATATTTTATTTTATTGTTTAACCATTCATCATTAATTTATTAAATTTTTATGTCTTTACATTTTATTGAATTTAAATTTTAATAATTAATATTTCAATTAATTATTTTTATAGTTATTTTATGCATTTATTTATTTATTCTTCTTTCCTGATGGCCTGACGTAGGGCTCTGGTGCTTCTAATTTTAGAAATTAAGTCTTGTTGTTATCCTAACTTTATGCTTACATTGCTTTGTCTCTTTTTCTTTTTAGTGATTTAAAGTTGAACTTTATTTTAATAATTTATACATGTATATAAATGTTAGCTATCATTATTTTTAGAATAACATATTAAAACAATAGTTATGAAAATTAAATCATATGAGGAAATACACTTTTATTAAATTAATAACAGCCATTCTTATCATCCTAGTTATAGCACTATGAAAAAATAGTGCAATTTTTACTATTCCCAAATTCTGTCACCCAGTGCCTTCAAAATGTGCCACACTAGCTGCATTGGCTCTACTGGTGGCCTTACTTGCTGTTATATCTCATGCCTGTATCAGCTAGACTAGTGGTATTCAAATTTTTGGCTGTGCGGCTCCATAAAAATGCAGATGACTCCAAAAGGCAATTTTGTGACTACAGCCAGAGCATCGACCCTTAGTTATGTAGTACTATCAATTAAAATTTGTTAGGACTTTTATCCACCTTGTGACTATATTATGAATTTTTGTGACCTTTAATTTGAATACCACTGAACTAGACCATGGGGAAATGGATGCTTCTCGTTGGTTTCAGGTACTATACACTTGTGATGATGTCATCAAACTTTCATCCAGTGTCATTTAGATTGTATCAAGGCTCTTCAGGAAGATGTCCTTAGATCCTTGTACTATTCTTCTTGTCCTGTTGCCAGCCACAGTAAAGGACCGTTCTTTCTTACCAGTCAATCTTTATGTGGTCATATTTCCTGTAGATACAATACTCACCAAACTACTGCTGTTTGGACCTTTGCCTACTGGCATCAACTCCTTTTATTATACAATATACTGTTAAAATATTAAAAAATTTAAATAGCTATATTTTGCATTTGTTTATACAAATGCAAAATTCAGCTTCTTAGGAAGTAAAGTAACTGTACTAAAATAAGTAATAAATATTTATAGAATTTGAAGCATTTTAGAAATGTAAAAGGAATTTTTAACCAATAGAAAGTGAGAGACTTGAAGAGTAAAAAACGAGATGCTCCCAGACTTTCATATCGATTATTAAGTTCAATGCATCTGCAAAGTTTTGGGACTAATTTTTCAGCAAATTCGAGCAAACTTGTCGGATGTTAATTGGCAGCATTTATCAACGGGATATCTCAATTTACATTTTTGAGAACTACCTCATGCCAACAGACAAAATTTTCTATACTCTTAATCATTTGCTTTGATCTAGTGAACATCTGCTATCATGAACTTGGAAAGTTAAACAAAGAACAGCGATACAATTTTGCTGTAAAGGAGGGAAAACAGCAGTAGAGACATTTGAAATGGCATTTAAATTATATGGAGATCAAATATTAAAACAATCTAAAGTTTTTTTGTTGGTACAGACAATTTCACAATGGAAACAAAGATGCTGATGATGAACCTATGAGTAGTTACCCTTTGTTATCTAGGAAGAATAAGAATATTGAAAAGTTTGGCATTTGTTGCTGAATAATCATCATCTGTCTCTCTGAATGATAATTGATAAGCTTAACATCAGTAAAGACACTGTTCGCAAAATTGTCCCTGAAGATCGTGAAAAAAAAGAAGTTTTGTTCTTGTTTTATCTCTCATGCATTGACTGTAGAACAAAATGAAGGTTATAATTTCATTCCAGTGGCACACACAAATCTCACTGGAGATGAAACATTTTTTTTTTGCTAATACAAAAGGGCAAATCATCTGCTCAGAAATCTCAAATAAAGACCAGGTTGGTGGCCATTCCTGATTGGAAGAGAGTATTTAACAAAGAATTTGTTCTGAAGGATATTCAGTGAACTTCATATTTTATAAAGATGTAACATACAGTGTTCTGAAGAGAATTCAGAACATTAAGGGAAAGAAAAAAAAATTAAACTGAATAACTGATTTTCATTGCACAATAATGCACGTCACATAATTCTATTCTGATCCAGCAGCTTCTTGCACAGAAAAGTGTGTCAGTTCTCAGTATTCTGATTATTCATCAGATTTGGCATCTGCAGACAACAAAATAATATTTTTTTGATTATATAAATGAAAATGTAATTACTGAAACTATTTCTGTCTCCTTTTCGTATTTTTAATTTGTAACTCATTACACAATAAAATTATTTTATTGCAAATCATTAGTTTATTAAATGCAGAAAGTCTGTATAATATCTATGTATATTTCCAGCAGCTTAAAACCTGCAAATATTTATTTTTATGTAGTATCATATTTTCAGCAGTTTAAAACCTGCAAACATTTATTTTTATATGTTTTGTTTTCTGTTACATTTCTCTTGGAAATTAGATTGTTATAGAGTATCAATTTATATTTTCTAACATTGTGTAAGTAGAAATGGAAAAAGAAATATGTTATAAATTTTCTAAGCAATTTTTTTTCATATTTACTTTTTTATGTATAAATTTTCTTCTCATTTCACAAAAGCATTATAGTTGGGTGAGCTTAAATATTAGATACTTATTGCTAATTTATTATTTACATAAAATGAAAATTACAAATATTTTATAATTTATTTAATATTCATGTTCATATATGTTCCAATTTTCATATTTTATTTTATTAATAAAATAAATAAATGTCTTTTCAGAGTTTTTATTTTTATACATCTATTCCTGGAGATGAACTGCTGTTAATTATTGAAGTTATTACTCCATCTAAAATACATAATGCTTATAAGAGTGCTGGATGGTTATATATGACCTTGATTGGAGCAGATAAAGCTGGACCAAATGCTAGCAACTCTTTACAATATAAGTATGAATTTGATGACAATATCCATTTAATTTAATTTATTATGTAATACCTTTTTAACAGTTATATGCAGAGCTTTGTTTAGATATTTTTTCACCTGAGGCAAACAAGTAAATTTGCACCCCTACGTAAAGTTATATTAATTACATATGTATGTATGATTACCAGCTGCTGAGTAGTGAAGTTATTGAGCATGGATAATTTGGTCTGGGGTTCAATTCCTAGTAATTGGGCTGCCTGCATGGGCATTTTATGGTTTTTCCCCATGTGAAACATGGATACAAGCCAGTTTCTCTTAAAAGTCCTCCATACTTATGATACAATGAATATGGGAAGATTTGTTACAATCCATCTGCAACAAAATTCAGGATTTTGAACATTCAATTTTCTTTCTTTGGTAATAAATGGTTCATTTTATTATTATGTTATGAACAACAGAACAGTTAAAAAAAGGTCTCAGCTTTTCTTAATCTCTCTCTGTTATAGTAAGTCTTACCAAAAAATGAAACTAAAGTGCTGATACTTTTAATTCTTCTAACAATGACTGCACCTTTTCCAGGAATAACCGTAAATGAAACTGATTGTACAGTTTTAAATGGAAAATAAGTACTGGTACGATGGAACAAAAACTCAAACTATTTGTGTGTCCAATATTTAACTTTTCAATGGAAAAATGGAGCAAGATAAAGTTTGAAAAATGGAGGAAGAAATTGATCAAGTTTATTTTATTTTTAGACACATCCTTGATTAATTTCCTGATGCCATTTCAAATGACTTAAGTATGTTAGATTTGCTAAAATAAATTTGAAAAGACAGCTGAATTCTTGTTATGTTAAAGTAAAAGTGTTAAGAGCTATGCCCAATTGCAAGGAGACAGAAGAGAATTACTAAGGTCAGCAACATGGTGTTTCTTAGAAAATATTGTATCCCCTTGAAAGATGCACCAAAAATGTAATATTTTAAAATTATCATAATTAATGTTAATACAATTTTGCTACTTTAAGTATAAGGCTTTAAAACGGTTCTTATTCATGTGTTTCTGGAAATTAACAGCAATTAATTTCTGCTTAGAAATGAATTCTGAAATTTTTGTTGCTTATGTGGTGCCTTTTGTAGTTGTTCACCTGAGGCAAGTCCTGGCTGTGGTCATATGTGTACAAATTACAAGTGCTAGATAAATTAATAGATGTTAGCACAGTAGCAGCTGAGGATGATGGTTCAGTAAAACCATCGAAACTATTCCTGTGAAAATTTGCAAATATAGCGCTGATTTTTGTTGTTTGACTTCTAAATTAATAGATGTTAGCATTTAGCCATTTGATCACTTACATCGAATTTTCTTTTTCTTTAAGGCAATCCATTTAAATACATAGCTACAGTTTTGTCAGTGTTCTACAGATGTTATTGTACACATGTAATGCTGATATTTGTAGACAGAGTTTTATGAATCAAGGTGGTCAAAACAGAATCAGAAAGTGAAGCATATAAAAGGATAATAATTAAGTTTCATTTGTGCTGCATGCATAAAATTATGGACACTTTAAATTTTATATGTACACACATGTTTTGAGTTTTTAGCAGTTTAAATTCTAGTCTGTTTCAACAAAATGAGCTGCATATATTTTTATAAAATTTTGAAATATATTAAAATTGATGCTTATTCCATTTGTAATGCAGTTCAAATTTTCTGAGACATTCTGACAATATAATCTTTTTATTAAAAGAAATTATAATACCCTGTGCAAATTTGCCTGTATAATAAAGTAACTGAGTGTTGTTTTAGCAACTTCCTTTTTTTAGCAGCCCTTGAGACTGAATCGCTAATAAACTGAGATAACTCTCCATGCGTTCTTATGTAAGCTTTGTGTTTTATTTTTGTTAAGATTTTCGAATTTGCATTGTTTTTTTAAAAAAATATTCTTTGCATTTTTGTGAATATGCAGTCAGCAATCTTTAATTTACCAAATAAGAGGTGGGTGCTGTATCACTTTTTCAAGAAAGACGTCTTTTACATGACAAATGGGTATGCAAGAATAGTTTTAGCAGGAAATGATATGTTAACAATGAAACCATTTGGAGTTGCAATGTTAAAAATAATAAATAGAAGGGCCTGCATGTTAGAAATTGATTTAGTGGTTCCAGAATATTGTTAGTCACTGACATAAGATTTATGCATTCTTGAGCAGAGGAGCTGATGTCCATCAAATGGTGTCCATCAAATAGTGTGACAAATATATGTCACAATTTTGCAACTGATTGGAACGGTTACATGTGGGAAATGTTCCCTAAATCTGATGCAAAGGTTCAGTGGGAGAGTAGGCAGTCCTAATAAAATAGTTGAAATCGATGAAAGTTTGTTCATCCGATGTAAGAACATCAGTGTCAGAGTACTCTAACAACAACAAATTTCGATAGGAAGAGGGGAGTACTTTGTTATTCAAATCTCTAATAAAGATGCTAGTGCACTAATGAAGAAAATTATTCAACATATGCAAGATGGATTTACAATCTATCTGGAAGTGATACAAAATGGAGTAACTTGAAGAAGCTGGTTACAGTCACTTTAATGATTATTAAAAATATTTTTAGCAATCACCATCTGATTGTTATTATTATATATTACATTGTTTTATTCTGACATTTATTTTTGCATTTATTATGTGCTTAATGAGTTTGGCAAAATCATAACTGTGTAAGGTCAGGGGCCACTTACGGAAAGGAAGTACCTTGTTTCATTATATTATTTTGTGGTCACCTCTCCCAAAAGAAAAGAACATAACAAATAGTACAGCAAGATAATGCATAATAACACAGTAATTAGTAGTGCAATCCATAGCTTAATATTAAGTCTATAAAAGTAAAGATAATATCACAGCACTTTTGCATCTTCCTAACAAGATAATAACTATACACAAGGATGCCATGAAGCACCATATGATAAACCACTTTTGTAATTTATAAAGCAAAATGACTGTTTTACTTTCTTATCATTTGTGTACTTTCTGAAGTTGCAGTTCTAATTTTTTCAAGAACTTTTCTTTTACAAAGTAAGATTTATATATTTGGCTTGTGTTGTCATTCTGTGTATCTTTCTTCCTATAATCTGTTATTCCTGCCTTTTGATTTAAAATGAGAGATGGGCCTTTATGGCAGTTGTTCAATTGATAATAGACTTAATTTCAGGGAAAAAGTTTAAATATTTAAAAGTTAACAATGTATGTTACAGCATTTTATATATTTAATATATGAAAGTTGGAGGAAGGAAGAGAAATGTGTGAGATGGACAATTTTATTCACAGAAATTGTTAATAAACATTCTTCCAAAAACTTAAAGACTAAATGCAGTGTTTCATTAGCCAGTTAGAGGCCATTTTATGGCAAACATTAGGCCTAATTTCAATCTAATAGCAATGGAAAAGTTTAAAGCATTTTAAGAACTACATTTTAAGAATTTTGAGAACCATTAAGTTTTTTTTTTTTTTTTTCCTAAATGGTGTTGATCAATATTTTCAGTACAGAACTGTCATATATCTATTGGTAAAATAGCAAAATATTTGCATTTGTGAAATGCGATGGATGATATGATGTATGTTTTAATATGCATTTAATGATTATGCAATGAAGAGACTTCAGAATGTGTAAAAATTCCAAAAAGTATGCACTTCAATTGTATATTTCTGAATAATACTCTTATATTCTTTCCCCCTTTTTTTTTCCTTCTGTGTGTGTGTGCGAATGTTGTTTGTGTTAATGTATCTTATTGTGTTACTTTAGTAAAGAGAATAAAAAGGAGTTTTTATAATTTTATATTTATTAGACTCCAAATGATTGTATTGTTCTTAAAACTTTCTGTCCAGTTTTGTGGAGGAAAGTCTTTGAAAATGTATCTTATTGTTTGAAAATCATCAAATGAGAAGATTCTTTGAACTTTTTTTTTTTTAATGAAATCATTCTTTCAGATTTTCCTTCATTGAATTGACTCACAGGTTTTAGCAGCTTATGAAAGGGTTGCAAATTCCTGTTGTTAATGGTTAGGATTACAATTTTTACAATGTGACCACTGAATTAAAATCAAAAATATTTGAAACTACGCTGAATTTTTGTGTACTTTTCTGTTAACAGGACACAAGTCACTAAATATGGTATCCTATTTATATTGCATCACAAAAATTGTGCAGTGAACAATTGTTTGTGATTTTGCATATACATCACAAACAATTGTAATGTATATGCAAAATGCCAAATTTTTCTAATTTTTTGATTTTTTTAAGCAAAAACGAAATTGCTGTGTTTAATTTGCTCTTTCCGTGTACACAGTAATCTATTTTTGCTTAAGAAAACAACAGAAAATTTCACAAATTCAGCATCATGTACTCAGCCTCTGCATTACATTAAGTATTATGTATATTATATTCATTATTATGTAAAATAGTTATTCTCTTCATGAAGCTTTATGTATCAGTAGAGTTACTGCCATCTAGTTTAATCTCACACCAATGTTTATATTTGGCACAAAGTGTTACTCTATTAACAGAAAAATACTAGTTTTTGCTTTCAAATATTTGATTTTACTGATATTTTACTATTGGTATTTGAAATATTTTTTCCTTTTAGAGTGCCTTTATTATGCGGAACTCCTTTAGCTTTGCTTATTGTTGAAGATGGAATTAAAGGTGACTAGTAGTCCAAATCATTTTGAGTTTTCTTTTTTCTTTTCTTTTTTTTTTTTTTTAAATAATAATAGGTTTTATTCTTTTATATTTCAAATTTAATTTGTATTTTTAGGTATCAGTTCGACACAGCATACAGCAGGCCTGGAGATTTCTTTGTCTTTATCACGCCATCCTGAGCTATTGCAGCTTATTCACCTTGTGCCTGAAAATGTGGTGTTTGATGCAACTTATGTAATTCCTGGTCTAATTCTTGAATCACCAGACGTAATTAAAGGTTAATTTTCTTCTAATTTTGCATAAAATTTATCTGCATCCTTAATTTATTTATTTTAATTATGTATTTATACTCTTGTAATTAAAGCAATCATTATTTTAAGTAAGATGAAATAAACTATTTAACTTAAACTTCATTATTAAATAAATGCAGAAACTGGAAGTCAATTATTTTAGTGTGGTTTTTATATGAAAGGCATGTTTGCATCTTAACATAACAAATATAATACATAAAATATATTAACATTATTTAATGAAAACTGTATTAAATTATGTAAATAATTAAATTTTGTTAAATAAAGATTAGTTTAAATTTGCTTTTGAGTTATCTTAATTGTAAATATTTCTAATTGTGCCAATAATGCAGTGAAAGGAGTGTTCCTCACTTAAACATAATACAAATAATATTTGTTTCATATGCAACAGTTTTAAATTGCATTAATAATTTTAAGTGGTTTGAATATTAGCTTTAATATATCTCAGATAATCTCTCTTTTATTAACACATTGAGTAAAAAGGTAATTGTTCATTTTGTAGGGATAGTCAACAATTATAATTAAAATATATATTAAATAAAAAATAAAAAAAGAATGTATTATGAATTTTCAGATATATATGTGTATATAACATGAGCTGAACCTGTAATGTTGCTTAAAATATTAATTATTATTTCATAATTTTAAAATGTTTTTCATCAAAAGTTTCAAAGTTTTCAGTTATAGCATGTGTTTTATATTTAAGAGAAATTAGTGATTGTTTCATACCTCATTTTCTCCTAGCAATTTAAAATTTTGTTTATCAGACTTATTTATTGATTATACTTGAACCATAAGTTTTACCAAATAACTAAGAGGTAACTATAAAAATAACTTTTGTCCTGAGTTGTGTTTGAATTCATACTGATGTAATCGGAAATTAACAAATATTTTAATTATGATAAATGCTTTATTGTATGTAGACTGTTTTTCAGTTATTATGGATAATTAAATAACATGTTCTTATCTATAGTTTCCAGTTATAGTACTGGAACTATGCATACATTATGATATAATTAAGTGTTACATACATTTGAAATTTTCAATACTTGTGTGTTGCATTATGTATACCTTATGATGATTTTTTATATATTAAAATGAATAACTGGATAACCCATTTATGAATCTGAATGTGTATGAATCTTCTTACATATATTTCTGTTAATTAATTAATGGAATAATTTTTCCTGTATTCAATACAGAAATCTGATCTAAAACTTCTCTTGCTGCTTGCCATCAATTTGTAAAATTTTTGGAATCATTTTATTTTAGATTCTGAATGATTCAAATTTTAGATAATTTTTAACAATTCAGATTTTAAATTATGATTGTTAATTTAAATTTTGTTTCAGAAAAATAAAAATTAAAAAAAAAAAAAAAAGCTTTTAACACTCTACTATGACTGGCTTTATGAAGTTATGAGATTGTCACTTGGTATATATTAGCTTATAACTTAAGATATTTTGGTTTCTTACTTTTTTTATAATATAAATGCCATCTTAATAAATGTAAATTCATGAAAATAGAGACTAAAGTAAATAACTATACAAGTTCAGCTAATAAAGTCTGTTAAAAACAGGTCTTCATGATGGATCCAAAAACCCATGCTGGTCAGAGGGTTAAAATGATGATAAATTTTCAATATGGGTGAATAATAATTTTCATTTTTTATAAGTTTACTTATTTGTTTCTGAATAGTTTTTGATATGTTCAGATTAGAAGCTCAGAGATCTTTAAATACCTCAGTTTGTAGCCTTATCTTTTCCTACATTTATGAATCAGAATATTTTTTTTGCTGAATAGTTTTATGTTGTATCTTAAATTTCATGGATTGTACCTAATTATAAAGTAATTCATCTAAGTAAGTGAATACTGAATGTACATCAAAGGGCAGATATTTATACATATCTTTTCATAGTGGGTCTGTCTATTATATCTTATTTTAATTGTGTCTTCCTTTCTTATTTTCCTGTGCTTAACAGAAAAAGGGAAATTAAAATATTTCAAAGCATGGGGTCACCAGAAATCAAAAGGAAGTTGGAATAATTAAGATAGTATAAAAATATTAAAACTAGAAGCTATTGAGGGGGCAGAGAAAACCTGATAGTTAAATACCAGAAGGATAAGATAATGCAAACAAAAAAAACAAAAAAACAAAAAAAAAAAAAAAAAAAAAAAAAAAAAAAAAAAAAAAAACTTAGTTAAAGAGTAAGTACAAGAGAGCTGGGATAGGATAAAAGTCTGTAAAGTAACTTTGAAACTAGGAAGTAAAGTTTAAAAGAATATAACAGAAAAAATTCATAGAAAGTATCTAGAGGTGATGCACATGCATTTAAGCATTTGATATGAAATCGTTTGGGAAACTTCAACGAATAGTTGTTAGTAATAAGTGTTGCATATTTTTTCCCTTCAAGTGCAGTTTGCTATTGACAGTGAATCTTTCTTTTTCAATTTTTGCACATGTAAAGGTAACTTTTCCTTTCATTGGAAGAGATTCTTGCTTGAAAATAGGTGTGAATTTTATATGATACTTAAATTTAAAAAAATTCCAGAAGGTCTAAAATAATATAAGCTTTAAACTGCATGAGGTATGGTCAATACTATGCAATATTGAAGTAATTGGAACTGTCAGAAATTTTTTATAGATTGACACATTTACCATGTCATAACATCATAAACACTTATCTTATTGAAAACTTTAGTATTGTTCTTATTGAAGTGCTACCCACTTGTCATTGATTAGCTCAGGGATCTTCAGTGTGTTAAATTTCAAAAATTTGACAGATATCACATGGATAATTTTTTAAATAAAAAGTCAATATGAATCACCAGCAAGATGGTCATCCCTCATGCATAACATAACTGAAACAATTTAGTTTATAATTTATATTATAAATTAATTTTGTCGGTTTAAGAATATAATCTATCAGCAAAGTTCAGAAGTTTAGTTACAGTTTTATAATTGGCAGTTAACATTTTCTTTGTAATATCCATGTTTAACATATATTAAAGTGTATTTAAAACTTACTTTTTCTAGATCCTGAATACTTATTCAAGCCTCATCTTCAAAAGTGTATAACATTAACATTAGAGAAAGTATGTATTAGAGTACAACCCTCCTTACAAGATGCTGAATTTAAAATTATTGAAAAGGTTAGAGAACACCTTGACAGTGAATTAAATAAATCATCAAAAGCAACTATAGCTCAAAGACGACTTCAGGTAATATGAAAGGGACTGACATTTTTTTATTTTATTTAAATTAATCATATTAGAATGTGTAGAAACTATTTTTAGATTTTTCCCATTAAAATAAAGAGCAATTTTTATGAAAAAATAAAGTAGCTTTAATAAATCATGAATTGCCATTTTTTCAATAATCATTGCTATCTTGCAGGCTGTTTTGGTGTTGCACTTTCAAAAAGCTTCTGATCTTTTTCAGTGAAAAAAAATTCTCCAAATGACATTTTCATCTGTTATCTGAAATGAAATGAATTTTTTATTTTGAAGTGTAAGTTTTAGCTGACAATTGGTTGGTGAAAATAGTGTGAGCTTGGGCTCAAAGTCCTACTGAAAACTGAATCTTTTAAAAATTTTAAATAGTTTTGCATCAAATAACTAACTAAAGTACTATTCAAAATATGGAATTTTACCTAACAAAGAGCTTTCTGCTCTCTGCTTCACAGCATATTCAACTGCCCACAACTGATTTCAACGTATATAAGCACTATATCCTCAGAACTCTGGTGCTACAGCATTGGTTATGCAATATAATCAATGGTCTGATGATCTTAGGACAAAAGATTATTGCTTCTGTGTAGCAACTTTAGTACTACTTTCCTGCTGTACAATAATTCATCTGGACTTTAATTTGACTTTTTGCAGCCAATATATCAATTTCATTCTTTTCTCTATTATGTGTACGTATGTACCCATTACTGTGTCCTCATTATGTGTTATTGCTGATAATACTCCGTGATTTTAAGTGAGATGTGTATTTTTATATAATTGGCGTACGACTTTTTGCTACAATATTCCTGTAACTGTACACTTTATGCATTTTACATTCTAATGCTGGCAATGATTTCATCTTTTATCATCCTTTTTGCTTCTGTATTATGCATTTCTCAAATTCCTAATATCTGCATCATGCAGCACCTTTAACATCTCTCTGCATCATAATATAATTTTAATTTAGTAGTAGCAGATTTAATATTTAGTATTAGTGTTTAATACTGTAACTTCATTTCGATTGCCCTGTTTATGCACTTGTGTATCTGTTCCTAAGGGATAGTTCAGTTTACCTATACCTGTATTAACTACCACTAGTCATACAATAGCACCATGTTATACAATAGTATCACTTATACATGTTTTATATGCCTGTATGTGATTTATGTGCTTATAAGCATTTTATGTATTTAGTGTAAATGGTTGAATAATTCCATTCATTTATATATGTTTATGTCTAAATTTATGTATTTATATATGCTTTATGTTTTTATATGTGTTGGTGCATATGTGTGTGTAATTAATGTTCAAATGTCAGATTAGTATGATCCAAGAAGGTTAAAATAGGTAGAGTATGACATCACAAAAGTGAAGCCGAGAAAATGTCAACAGGGTGACGCCACGACTTATACATACAGTTAACATACATACAGACATATACATACAGACAACATACAGTTAAGACTTCCAAACATGTTCTTAAATAAAGTTACACTAACTTTGAGAGCAAATATCCTGCAGGCTCAGAAAAGTATCTTTAAGTATAATTTATATAAAATACCATTGAAGGCCTTCAAAAATTGGTCTTCCAAATTTAATATGTATACATTTGTCTTACAGTTGCCATTTACATATTTTAATGTAACTAGATTTTATTGAATTTGAAACAGTTATTTGCACTTCTTGTGATTTTTCTATATACTAAGTAGAAAATTAATTATGTTAAGTATTAAAATTAAAACAAGAGACTTATAAATATTCAGTGATGTATAGCTAACATATAGATAACACCAATTAGAATATAAACAAAACCAACCAGGAGTTTACCTTTGCAACAGCCATGGTGATGTCATGATGTCATACCGTGATGTATCTTGGTTTCATTTTCGACATATGAAGAAGGCTTACTCCATTTATTCTAACCTCTTTGGTATCGTCAAGCTGTTCACCCAAATATCAAATGTAATTGAATTGGGAGCTCTTATTTGCCATTGTAACTAAATAATATTAAAATGAATTCCCAATGAGGCATCTCAGCCTCAAAGGAGATACCAGCTCTAAAGGTAGTGGTGGGTGCTAGACAATACCTGTTTACCAACATTAGTCACCAAGTGTCCTTGTTCTCTGTTACCAGTCATCTCACAAAGAGCTTAGCAGAGCCCAAAACAAATGGCAGTCTAATGGTGCAATAGCAACTGATTGTTTATCTTTGGTAAAAGCTTAAAATAAAAACTTTTCTTATAATCTCACCAAACTGATAATATGACTTTTTGGTTATGAATATCAGTTTTGATGTTTGAGCAGGCTCATGAGGCTTAGACCATCATTTTTGCATTCATATTACTGTAAACAAGCCATTTTTTATCGCAAGTTATCATTAGTTTTAAAAAGAGATTACTTGGGTTATATTTCAGAAATAAATATCATATGCTGATACACTTTATTAAAGAAATTTTTTTTAAGTTCATCTGCGATAAAAAAAAATGAATTTTTTTCCCCAACCAAGGTTTTTCAAATATTATCAGTGTTTGGTTTTGAATGAAATTAGATTCTCTGCCAGCTCACATACAGTTGTGGAATAATCAGCTTCAAACAGGGCTTTAATTGATGATTTTTCAAACTTATCTTAACAGAGCTTGCAAAGAAAAATTACCAGAGAGAAATTTTGAAAACCAGTTTTACTTGTGTGTTCCATTAATGTGTCATCATTATACACACTGCATATCTTTTTGCATCAGCTGTTCTTTTACTTTAGTAGAAATAAAACATAAAATTTTCATATTTTTTTTGAATCCATATTCAAAATATGGATTTTTATCTTCTATCTTCACTTAAAATTGCTACAATGGATTCTCAAAATAATCCTTCAAAGAACATTAAAAAATTATCTCTACTCTACTGCAACTGCATCTACTCTACTGCATTATTCATTGTATGATATATCCATAATTATATATAAATATCTTTTTCCTTAGCTATAAGACTTAATAATTGTATCAATGTGCTGAACTGCAATCATTGTTTGAGTAGAAAATTTTAATAAGCAGGATATTAGATTTTCCATTAATTTTAGCAAGCATCCAATCTGATAATTTAATAATCAGAGAATTAATTTTTCATATGCATTAGTATTGCCCAAAGAGTATTAAACATTTGGATAAACAATCCAAATGTTTTATATTTATTTGATTGTTTCCTTCATGTAAACTATTAGCTTACATGAAGCAATCATTGAGAATCAGCATGATTATCTTCTTAAGACATTGCATTATCTCTTCTGCATCAAATATATTTAATTTTTGATTTAGAATTTAAATTGTTAGATTTTTAGTACATGTTTAACCTTGTATTTTAAAGAATTTGTAGACTAAGAATTTTGTACAAAATTTAATATTTAAATGCTAAAGGAATGGCAACTATAACTTTCATGATTATGTTAGTAATTTGATATTGTTCAATATTTGAATTTATGTAGGTAGCAGTATATAACGGTTATCGCTTTATTCATGAACCTGACTATTATCATCTGATTGTGGAACCATTAGTTTCTTCAACAATGGATAATACTGCAAAGCCTTTGAGGTATTATCTTTATTATTTCAAAAGGAAATCTTTTTCTTATTAATCTTTGATTTAAATACCTTTATGGTAATCTAAAATAGTTTATCATGTGGCAATGTTACCTTTGTCATAAATAAATAAATATTACTAATAATAACCATTCATCTAACATAAAGGTTTACCGCCATTAACTTGCATTGTTATTTAGGTGTATGTAAAATATTTATAAATACATGTATATGTATATATCTGCACATAATCTATGGAAAAAATTTGTAAACTAATGTTTATCTTCATATAGCAACACTGGTGATGCCAAAAATTGAGAGAAACAGTTAGTATGTCTTTTGCTTTCAATATAAGTATTGTGTTTACGAGATGTATTGTAATGCAAATGGCAATTTATATATGTATGTGTGTATATATATATTGTTATGGATTTGGTATTTAAATAGCTAATATTAGTAGAATTATAAATAAAATTATTTTATTTCCCGTGCAGTGCAGCACGTCACGGAATATTAAGAAAAAGCTAAGCCAGAAAATTAAAAATACAAGAACACATGCATTTAACATTCAACAAATAAATATATCATTTTGATTTTGAGAAACTGCTAGAACAATCTCATGCGGCCGATTTAAAAAGCTATAAAAGCCAGAGAAAGGACACTCAGTTTTTTTTAGAAATCTGTTGATGTTAATGTAGTGAATTCGTGGTGAAATCGGATTAGCTTTCTCTACGTTTCTCTATTTTGAATTAGTTCTTATTTTAGTAGTTTAAAGTAGTTTAAAAGATACATGCGCACATAGTGCCCACCGCTTATTAAAACCATTACAGTTCCAAACATATTTGAGTTTCTCAAGGGACTGAGTTTAATAAACGGTGATTTATGTATTGCAAACCATGATATAAATTTTAAACATTTTAAATAATAAAAGCTAACAATTAGTTTATTCAGTAATTTTAAAATAATAATTAAAAGTTAAAGTATTTATGCAATTTTTATATTCAAATGCAGAGATGATGAAGATTGCGTCTACTAAAAACTTTCAGACAAAATTTTAAAATAAAAGTACCTAATATTGATAGATCGAAAATGGATCCAAAATTAGTAATGGCCATTATTACAGACATTAAAAATGACTAATTTTATGTTCTTGGTGTAATAAAAATATGGTGGTGTGCGCAATAAGCCAGATATACTTGATAAATGTGCAGGAGGAAATGTGTGATCTGAAAGAAATATAAAATTAAAAGTAACTTACCCCCAAAGGAGGACACTTCAAATAATGTGAATTAAGTAATATTTATTATGTCTTGACATCATAAAATTTTGAATTAATACTAAGCATAAATTAAGCCAGACAGAAGCTTAATAACCGTGATCAAATAGCGGCTGAAAGAAATAGTCCTACCATTCTGAATCCTAACCTTTTGCACAAGAAACACGTAATGCGTAATATTCCAATTAAAGTGAATCTCAATACATCGTCTTTAAACAAAGTTTCATGATAACAAAAGTCAAATTTTATAACGGAGGAAATTGAGTTGACTGGTTATTCCAATATATTTTTGAAGAAGCAGAAGGCGGATATTCATATCATCCTGAAAGTGGAACACGTGCACATGAAGTTCTTTCAAGGATATTTAAATTCCAATATATTTTTGAAGAGTCATAGAACCTCGTTAATTTACTGCAGGAGTCAGCATCAGATAATTTTAGTTGAATCTTCAGACCAATTTCTTTACTCGGCGAAATACATTACTCTACACACAATATTGAGATGGCAGTAAAAAACAAACAAAAAAAAAAAAAAACATGGTGCACATGTCAGCCGGGGTCAAGACAGCCAGAAGTACGACATTTTTTTTTCGAGCTATCAGTTTAATTTTTTTAACTATTGCTAAAATTATCGAAATCTCTTCAGTAGTTATCGAGAGAATTGTGCATTAGTTCAGCTTTTTCACATGGGATCTTATTTATGAAATGGCATAAATATTGCATTTTTTTATTTTTATTTCTTATGACTCTTTAAAAAATAATTTTAAGACAATTCCATCAACATTATCTTAAATCATACCTTTTTTGGATCACTTTTACAATTTATATTATCAATTAAAAAATTAAGTGTATTTAAACCTTTTTGGAATACACTGTATACAGTATATCTGCAAATGGAAATTCCTATCATGAGTAATCCCTCATTTCAGGCTTTTATCAGAAGGCATTGGTAGCTCCTGGGTTTTACCACAAAGGCATAGTAAAAGGCCAAAATGGAATCATATTAAAGCATACTTCAGACTTTTACCAAGCCACTTTGGTAAAAGCTAGGTTTTACTAATAAACCTAAGGTTTACAAGACTCCAGGCTTTTACTGAAACATATATACAAAAAAGTTTTATGTAATTTATTACTCCCATTCTCAAACAGTTATTACTAAAGTGAACATCATATGTAGTAGCAAAAATTGGCAAACTTAATTGTTCAATAATTTGTAATGCGCAAATTTCAAAATGGTGCCAATAGCTTATATAGTGGTCTCTTTAACAAGGAAATATACTGTTATCTTTTTGCTACATCTTTTGCTTAGTCACTCTTTTACTCAAGATTCTCTTAGCAGGGATTTACAAAGGCAGATTAACAGCAGTTTGTTGATACTTGCTGAACAAAATTACATTTATTGCATAAAATGGTTTATTGGGAATATAATTTTTAAAACTATTTTTTTTATTATTAAAAATACTTCTAGATTGTATCTTCCATTTGTACATTCCATGTATGACTTATTTTATTCTTGATATTTTTTCTGTCAGTGTTATTTTTCAAATGAAATATATAGAATTATTTTAGGGATGAAGTTCTTATTTTACGGAGTGATATCAAGTTACCTAATGTGCCAGATGATCCTGATATAGCTGTTGTGTTTCTGATTGAATACATAGTTTCATATCCTGGCTCAAACGTGAAGGTAAGTATTTTTACTTTATGTGTATATCAGATGAAAAAATTATTTGATCAGCTTTTTAATATTAGATTGAGCAAAGTATTTCATGGCTGATTAATGGTATATTTATTGTTTATATTTGTCATATATTATGAATGATTTAGTATTTTTGATAGTAATTGTTTGGAAAAGTTAATGATGTTAATATTATATTTAAATCAAAAATAACTGTAATCTACATCAAATAAATTTTCATTGTACATGATCCAGATTATTTTATTTTTATGCATCAGTTATATTTAAAATGTTTGTTCTTTACTTTTATTTTCAAGGAAATGTCAGTCATCTCATCTGCAAGCAAAGCTCCAATGTCAAATTTTGGCATTTGTTGGGGATTTTCTACACTTAGAAGTCTGAGAGCAAACTCTTCAGAGAATATTATTTTGACTTGTAATCCTGCCTCATATCCTCATAAAACACTTTTTGTGAAATTAGCAAATAAATTTGAAATGTCATTTGTAACATTTTCACTTTTGAAACAGGTAATTGATATGAAAAACTACTGTGCTTTTGAAATACTTTAAAAATCTAAAAATGCTGACTATTTGGTAAGTTGCAATTGTTGTGCTACTAAAATGTCACCGTTATTTAATTTTGAACATTTTTGTGTAATTAGTTTATTCTATTTAATCTGACTCATAATGTCCTTGTAATTAAGAAGCATTAAAATTAAAAATCTAAATTTTAAATATGTTTAGTCACACTAAAAAGAGAAAGCTGCTTGTTATTAGCCAGTACTTACAAATCACTAAAAACACACAGACTGATTTCTACATGTACAGTCAAAAGTCTTTAATCCAGACTCGTCGGGACTTCGGCGATTTCGGATTATCGGTTTTTCCGTATTATAGGTCATCAGTTTAAATCTGGTAAGATGGCATGCATAAATTATAAAAATAAAAATATGAAACCGTAATTTATGAAATAAAGAGCAATTATGATCTAAAGGGTATCAAAATTTAAAAAAAAAAAAAAAAAAAAAAAAAAAGCTTTACATTTATTTGTTTACTTTATTAAACATTTCTTTCAACGTGCGCATGCATAAAGCGTACATTACGCATAGTTGAAATTAGAAAATTGCAATTAGAAAACTATTTGATGTGTCTTCGTGATATTTATAATGACAAGGAATTTGATTTAAATCATATCAAAGACGGAGTACATCGAGATGAAATACTACATTTAGTAAGGAATTATAAGGCGAATAAAATAAAAACATCTGCCCTGAAGATAAGGATAGTGCTGACAGATCAACTTCCAGTTAATTGCGTGCCACGTCATCCCCCCCTCCCCGCAGAGCTCCAGAATCGGAAATTCTTTTTAATCAAAGGTTCAAGCTTACTTTTATAAAATTGCTCTAACAGTCTGCAAAAAATAATAAGCCGTATCTAATTAGAAGATTAAGGAACAACACAATCTGCAACGTTAACTGAAATAGATAATTAGATAATTTTAGCTTAGTATTCAAACTCATCTGCAGTGAGGAAGATACACGATGGAAATGTAATATCAGCAATAGCTAATAAAATGTTGAAATAAGAATTATACATTAAATGCGCATGCGTAAAACATATTATGTGCATGCGTAAAGGTATTATGTGCATGTGTTGACGCATGCACAGAAAGTTTGTAGCTTTGAGGTCCAGATTATAGATCATTTGAGATTATGGACATCCGGATTAAAGACTTTTAACTGTATTTGGTAACCCTAGAGGCCATTCTGGAATTTTCTAAAAAGATGAGATTTTTTTCTTTTTATAACTTAAGGAGAGTCAATTTGTTATTAGTAATAATATTATTTTAATTTCGACTTCAGAGGAACTAAAGAAAGTGCATATCTACATTGCTTCATATGTTTGGTAATCCTTTTCTTGTGGAAGTTTCTTGCAACAATGTCTGTTTATCTTGTTGTGTTAAATTCATCATGGATTTAGTAAATTTTCAAAAAATGACACAGTAGTAAACCATGATTTCTAGGCATATGGTATTTTACTAAAAAATCAAAAGTATTCAAATTCATCTGCAGTGAGGGAAATACACGATAGAAATGTAATATCAGCAATAGCTAATAAAATGCTCAAATAAGAACTCTGAACTAGTTCCAAAGAAATCATTTGGCTTTTTGTTTAGCTTAGGCAGAGACAAGCTACAACAATTAACAAACTGGCGTAATTTTGAACACAGTTACAAAATAGAACTTTCTGGAAATCCAAAACCTGTTTCACAAATCTATTATGTGTTAAACATATCTGTTGCTGTTTGTTGTTGCTAATGCTCACTTGTCTGACCTATAGTCACACCAAACCTACAAAATTCTTCGTGGGAAACAGCACAAGTTTATGCCTGCCATTGGTAACAGCCTTGAGTCACCTTATAGGTGACAGTGCGATTTAGCTCAGTTCCACCCCCAATTTTGATGGAGAGCACTCCGGGGGGGGGGATGAGTCCAAGGGTCTGCCATGGCTACCACCAACCTCTCGAGAGGACATTTGGCTTGCCGCATATTTAGAGTACCCCTGTGCTGCACGGACACTATACATATACAAACATCCATGTCTTCTCCGGGATTTGAACCCGGGTCCTTTGGCATGGCAGTCAGCGACGCTAACCACTATACCGGTTGGGAAGCTTAAAAGTATCTTTCAACACCAAATGGTACTAACAGATTCTTAACTGTGTATTAGTGGATATGAGTTAATATATAAGTATGAAGAGAGTACATAAATACATTTCTTAACTAAATGTAGTATCTGTGAACTAGAAATGTCATACCATTAGTCTTAATGAAGGGACTATTTTGTGTTGCTCGGCCTAAGAAACTAAATCTCTTTTATCTGCTGTGAATGAAAGATACTTTATTACTTTTGTTTCAGACTCCAAGTTGTCTTTTCACCAGCTTATTTTTGTTATGCTTTCAGAATAAAAAGTCAATGTTTCCTGTCCCTTCTGCTGTAGAAAGACAATCTGTTGGAAGTGTTTCAGTTCAAGAACCACAGTCTGTTGAAGCATCAATTATGTATTCACCTACTATAAATCATCCTGCTCAGAATTATAAGCCAACTATTAATAGCCCTTGGTGAGATTATTTTCTTATATCATTTTGTTTTTAATTGTGCACTTTTTCTGGTCCTAACTTCAACCAAAAGTTTATCAATGAATAGATATTAAATAAATTTTTCTGTTATTATTATATATTTTCTGTTATTAGGTATTTTTCTGTTAATGTCACTAGCTTAGTTTATTCTTTTGAAACAGGCACATTTTCAGATTTTATTTAATTAATGCCAAAATTATTTGACTACAGTGATCCTAGAAGAAAATCCAATGTATTAAAAAGCTTGGCAAGAATAATTAGAATTTTGGTAGTGATTATAAACAAATAATTCTATTTAAGTTTGTTGTTAAAGGAGTTTTAAGATATATGAGAAAGAATGCATAAGGATTTATTGCACACAAAAAGTGTACAAAAATTTTCATGTGTAAATATTCAGTATGTGATGTTACTGAATAATTTAAAATTTAGGCACTCAATTTTTTTTATTACAAGCAAAATTTCAAATATGATTACCTTCAAACCAGTTTCTTTTCTTAATCATTTGTTGTATGCGTGATTTAATACTGCATTTCCAACAACTTCTTTTTCCAGATTATAGCTTTAAATCATGATTATGTACACTAATTCTATGATTTAACTAAATAATATTTACTTGAAAACAAGTTACAGCTCCTTTTCATTCCCTTGGTAAATGTCAAATTTTCATACATCAATAATTGTATAGAATGCAGTTAAATCCTACACATTTAAAATACTGCTGCAAGAACAAAACCAGGGACATCATTTTAGGGTCTGCGATGCATGTGGTACGGGCTTATAAATTTGAAATATTGTAAAAGGAATTATTATTTAATGCTATAAGAGCTGCATTAAGTAGTCTGCTGATTACACAGACAATTAAAAATTATATAAAATTGATAAATTTAAGTAAAAGCTGAAAATGTATTCACAATTTAGCATAAACATTTCTTTTTGCTTGAATTGAAGGATTTTATAAATTGCAATTAAAATATCATTTGAATACCATATAAAGGAAAAAGCAATTTCTTGGTTTATTTCAGTTAAAAAGAAAGTCACAGGTCATAAAAATCCAATACATAAAAGAAACATTTTTCTTTTCCTCCAAATAGAATATTTATCAAAAAATGTGAAATCAGTTACCTATATTGTGAAACTGTAATATGTCCAAGAAAGTGAGCAAAAAGCTAGACTCTAATAATAAGTAAATCTGTAAAATATTTTGAACACAGAGAAATTTCCTTCTTCTAATTCCATTTTGTCTGAAATTGTATTAAAATATATCTAATGCTAGTCTTATAAATTATTTGAATTAAATGTTTTATGTTTTTCGGTTGAGATTGAAAATAAATTTGCACTATTTTCATGTTTAAATACCGTTAGTATTTATGACAAGATAAGTAAAATTTAAAAGATTGGTTTGCTGATTTTGCGAATATCACTTTTAACTGAACAAATATTCAACTTTTATCTGGTGCTGGGATGAATTAGTAATTATCATAATTTATTTACTGATTATATTTGGAAATGCATTATAGTATGATATGCATCAATTAAGCAAAATTGAATTATGACTCTGGGATATAAACTGCTTGCAAGCTTTATCTGAAAAAATTCCCTCTTCAGCATTTCAGACTTAAATCTGATGAATTTAAAATTTTTGTCTGTGTTTTATTATTTTACATGTGCAATATTTAACTATATATTAATATGCAAATACTGCAGCCAATTTTTGAATATATGTAATTCTAATTTACATTCATACATACATTTTTTTTTTTTTTTTTTTTTTTGAAATTTGGGGTTCAGCGGCATGTTTTTTATTAAAATACAGAATATACTCCTTATACCCCTGAGTAAAATCATTCTTTGAATCATACTAAAAATGTTATTGACCTTCTAGTCATGTTGATAATTTTAACAAAAGAGGGAGAGAAAAAATTATGCTGATAGCTGTGATATCTGGCATAATTTACTCTACTTGGTGATTAACAGTAGATGATAGTATTAATAAAAGAAATGTTTTTTCTGTAATTGACAAAACTGCTTCTTTTTGTTTTTTAATTTATGTATCATAGTTTTTAGGAGTAAATGCATTTCATTAAGTATTCTTACTTCTACATCATCTATTGATGGGATTATGTTCTGTTTCTTTAATTATATTTAAAAGTAATATTTTTGTAACATATTTAAAATGACAACATTTTAAAATATTATATTTTAATATTTTTTGTACAATTTGGTACACATATATATCAAAGAAAGCAATTTAAATTAAAAAAAAATTTAATAGCTTTGTTTAAATTTAAGGGATATGAAATATGCATAACTGCCGAAGAAAGTATTAACTGTGAAAATTTTTACAATTCATTTAATGTTAATGAAAAATTGAAGGTTACTATAACAAGAATTATCAAGTTAAAATATGTGCATTTATTTAAAACTTTGCATTAAAACTACCAATTAAAATTTAAAGAAGAAAAGTCATATATTTTTATCAGAAACAATATTTTGTCAGTGTTAAATTTTCTTTTATAGTAATTAAGGAATGAAAATTTCAGAATCAAAACAAAAATAAAATTCCAGTTTTTAAGTAGGAATTAAACTGTAGATTAAAATGAATTCATCTATGTGATTGAAGAAAATCTTATGTATACATATAAATTATTGTTCTTATAATTTTTTTTATATTTCTTACTATGCAGCTTCAGCACAAGTATTAGGCCTTTTTAAGTGCTAAAAAGTTACTTTTATATGCATAAAGTATCAATATATTGGTGAAAGAAATCCTGATTATACTAGCTGAGAAAAATGTGTAAGAGAAAACACACGTGTAAAATTGTGAAATAGACAAAATGCCAATTTAAACTGTTTGTGTAGAAATATGAAACAAATCAGAACATTTAATCAAAACATGTTTAATCATCACATATTTACAACCAGAAAATGTTTAATCCTTAAAATTAAAATTAATGTATACCATAAAAGTGGAAGTGAAAAACACAAAGAAGCAATGTAAAAATCAATGAAAAAAGTAAATACAGGATATAAATCTCTCCTGTTAACTTTTTCAAACAGAACTTGTTAAGGGGAAGTATTTGAAAAACTGAACCTGTCTGATGAATGAGTTCTGAATAACATGTTTTGTCCTTCTGGACAATTTGAGACTTAAATTGTACAGTACAAAGTCCGTAATCCGGACGTCCATTATCCTGAATGATCTATAATCCGGACCTCAAAGCCACAAACTTTATGCATGCACGTAAAGAATGCGCATACATTACACATGCGCATAAAGAATGCGCACACATTACACGCGCACGCATTGAAAGGAATGTTAAGCTTTTTTTTTTTTTTTTTTTTTCTTGTAAAATTTGATACCCTTTAGATCATAATTGCTCTTTATTTCATATATTATGGTTTCATTTTTTTAATTGTATAATTTCTGCATGCCATCTTACCAGATTTAAATTGATGATCTATAATCTGGAAAAACCTCTCATCCAGAATCGCTCAAGTCCCAACGAGTCCGGATTACGGACTTTGTACTGTATTAAATAAATTACAATTTTTGAAAAATAAGAACATAGAGAGTCTCAAACTGGTCCTAAACCACTCCTACATGGCATCCACACTCTAAGAGAAAAACACACAAAAAAATCAAATACTTAACCCTTTGCGGCACAGTGTGTCTGGTCTGGATACACCTAAAAATTTCCTTTTGTACGCACAGAAAAATTGAATGAAAAAGACTGAGAGTCTGTATTCTTTGTTTCTCCGCATCTCATCGGTCAGGTCATTGACAACAATGCTCGTTTCAGCACTCTTTTCGGGCACACCCACAGAAATAAACGATAAGTGCTATCTTCACAAAATTTTACTTGTGTACTCCTCTAGGCCTAGACTGCCTACTTTTTTTAAAAAATCAAAATGACTTTAAAAGGTAGTGTGCCAGAAAGGGTTAAAGGACATATAATACACTAAAATTGAAATAATAAAGAATGTACAAATTACAACAAAGTTTAAAAAAAAAAAAAAAAAAAAATTAGAAATTACATATAATTTACTACTTTATATGCCCATATATAAACAATAAGAAGTCTGTCTTGAAAACTTGAAGTCTAATCTTTTGTAAGGAAAAATTGTAATGAATTAAAATTGAAAAAAAATCTTAAATTAATTTGATGTTTTAAAAGAGTGAATCGGAAAAAAATACAACTTTAACAAGAATAAGTATGCATATTTGTCATATTTTCCGCATAACTTAAGCAGTAATACGTGTGCAAAGGCAGGTTTGCCATACATGTATTTATTTACATAAAAATCGTAACAAATGTTTAACTCCAAACTGGGTACTGATTTTCAGGTCTGAAAAAAACATCAGTTAATGTTTTTAAAGGAGAAGGACTAGAGGGGTAAAAATAAAAAGTTTAAAAATAACAAAGCTCATTTAAGTAAAGTCTCTAGGCAAATATTTCTACACTAGGTAAACATGCTATTGACATTTTAAGACTTATTTGTTGAAACCTTGTTGCTTTAAAGCACATGATGAGCAAAGGTGGCATATGCTGAGTTTTATGACATAAAACTGTGTTTCTTAGTCTTTATAACTATTCTGTAACTACTACTATTTGCATTCTTAAAAAAAGCTGGTAAAATGTACATATAAACAATTTATTGCAGGTACTAAAATACTCGTCCACAAAAGCAATTGAATTTAAAATATAACTGAAATTTGTGATCTTAATACCTTTTTAGTGTTAAACTGATTTTTAAAATCAGAAAGCCTTTTATTTATTGATTTCTATTTAAAATATATGCCTTTCAAGTGTTATTTTAAAAAAAAATATATCTATTTAGCCAACCATTTCATTCAAGTTCTGATTATACTGAGAAAGGAAAAATAAATGTTAACCGTGCATTTCACTCAACTCTTGAATATGTAGAGAAGGGAAGGACAAGTTTAGAATTCCAAGAAAATGCAAATGTGAGTGAATATTATTTCTGATTACCTTTAGTAACACATATATAATGTTAATTAGTACAGATGTTCATGAAGCATTTAATGATGTTACAGAACATGGCTTTGCAAGAAGTTACAATAGTGCCATCATCTTTACCTTTGATTCCGCCTTTGTTACATTTATTTCCTGTGTAAGTACATTTATTGTTTTGTATTCTAATTCAAAATTTTGTAATGATTACATTACATTGTTTGCAAGTATATTATGTTATGATTTTAGAAGATGTTAAGCTTTTCCTGTATTCATTGCTATATTGAATCATGTAATAATTGTAAGATTTCAACCTACCTCTAATATATCTCATATGAAAAAAAAATTATATGAGATGCAGCTATATTCGTTTAAAGCTTGAAATTCTTCTGAGTTTTTTAAACAAATTGCAATATCATCCCAATGAAATTTGTTCCAATCTCAGTTATGTGAATAGGTGATTCTCTTTCATGAGCTTTGTAGTTTTAAAATTTACTTACAATATGAATTAAAGCTAAATGTGGTAGAGAAATATGCCAGTGTAAAATTTAAAATTCGTTGGAAAAGCAACTTTAGTTTGATATTTATTTTAAGTAAAATTCTACTGATATTGAGAGTAATCAGACTTCAGGAAGGGGGAAAATATTATATTTAAGATTTATGTTCAACGAATGAATCTGCAATTGCTAATAGTAGTTGTACACTTAATCACAGTGATAACTTTGGCTCTGCAAAAATTAACCATAAAATTTCTTCAGTTGGTGAACTGGATTTTCTTGAAGCTTTTCACATTTATGAAAGTTTATCTTCTCTAGTTCATGTCCTAATTCCTTCCAGTGTGTTCTAATGCTTTCAAAATTCTAATAGCTTAGTTTTTCTCATTTCATTACTGTTTCTTTGACAAATGGCTCCGCATTCATTTTTGCTTTGCTCCATTCATTGCTTTTGGTATAAAAACAAATGTCAGTCCTCCCATTTTGCAAAATAATTTTTACTGCTGAAGAAGAGAGACCTGTTCTTTGAAAATGATAGAGTTTTATTCTTCACCAAATTAAGGTTGCCTTTTTTTGGCTTATTTTAAACTAAGTATTTGTATTTAAAAATGTTCTTCTGCAACTAATTTTTGAATGATGTATCGTATGAACACCAAGTTTTGCTCTTTAAACGTATTCTGTTTGTAAACAAGTATATTCCAACTTATTAAGCAACAAAAGTAGCAAAAAAATAATCAATAAAAATAAACTATCTTATCTTCTTTGTTTTGTAAATGAAGCACTTTTAATTCAAACACTGGTCGCAATAAAAGTTAAAGAGAGAATCTTTTCCACAAACAACTACAAAAAGAAAGAAGATTTTACTAAAACTATTTTCTTGAAAATTTAAATTATACATTTCTTTGTTTCAATAATAAAAAGTCATCATTTAAAAGCCACTGTATTTATTATGATAAATTAAGAAAATTCTGTTTTGATCCAAGAGTAAGCATGTATCTTATACTTATGTAACTTATTAGATGCCCTTGAATTAATTTATTATGTGAATTTATCATGAGAAAATATAGAAATGATTGCTGTTTTGAATTCAGATAATTTGCCGTTTTCTCTTTCTGGTATTTTCCTTTTGAAAGAGGTGAAAACAATAATTAAATTAGTAATGACAGTTGTTTTTTTCCCTCTAAATAATAATAATGTTATTAAATACTTTTCTTCAAATTGGTACAAGTTCATACATATTTAACAATAATTATGCATGACAACTTTTTATATCAGATAGATCTTATATCAAATCATTCACCTTGCGCATTTAAACCTTCTGAGCAGCATGACTGGCTTTATCCGGTCATGAGATTTTTTGTTACTTGATGCACATCAGTTTATAACTTAAGATATTTTGCTTTCTTACTTTCTTTAATAATATAAATGCAATCATAATGAATGTAAGTTTATGAAAATAGAGACTAAAATAAGTAATTATATAAATTTAGCTAATAAGTGCTGCATAAATACAGGTCTTCATGAGAGATCCAAAAACCTGTGCCACTCTGAGGGTTAAATGTCTGCACCTAATCTTTCCTGAAGTTTCATTTTAAATTTGCTTTACAAGCATTATACTTGCTATAAGAAAATGCAGCAGATGGTAGGAAATCAAAATTGATTCATAATGCATAAGATGAATGGAGAAAAGAATTTTGTATTTTTTGTGTATTTTAATACTTTTAATGTTACAGTCATAAAAATGTGTTTTGGTATTTATGCATAAATAATGCTCATGTAATTAATACAGGGTTTGCATAAATGATTCATTCATTTTGAAAAGGCTATATTTTCAAAAGTATTACAGCTATGCACATGAAAGATATATAAAAAGAACCACAAACTCACCAAGTTTATAGACCCTGTACAAATGTTCAATATGTGCCCTTTTGTTGATATGATACACGTCCAGATGATAATGAAGCTCATTCCATACATTGTGTAGCATAGTCCTGTCAATTGTCTACGCTGCAACACTGATGTGTTCTTTGAGCTTGACAAAGGATTGTAATAGTGGGGGTATGTAAACAAGGTCTTTAACATATCCCCACAGGAAGAAGTTGTAGGGCATGAAGTCAGGGAATCTGGAGGCCAGGGAAACAAAGCTAAATAATTCTCACCAGTATGCCCAATCCAGCGATGCAAAAGTACATTGTTTAAGTAGTCACGAACTGGGATGTAACAATGAGAGGGCGCCCCGTCTCATTGGAAGACAAAATTCCTGAAGTCAGTGCTGAATTGTGGCAACAACCACAACAGCAACATATCCAGGTAACATGTAATGGTCACAGTTTGCTCAGAGAAGAAAAAAATCCCATACATCTTTGCGTATGACACTGCACAGAAAACATTCCCCTTTGGTGAATCTCTTTTAATTGTCATGACTGTACAGAGACTTTCCTTGCATCAGAATTGCACAGCGTGACGATTCGAATTCCTGGATAAATGGAACATTGCTTCATCGCTGAATGTCAAATTGGAGGCAAAATCTTTGTCCTCCAATGCTTCCTGCATGTTGATGCAAAATCTAGTCAACAGGTATAATCCTCCAGGTTTAATTGTTGCAGAACTTGGAATGCAACAAAAAGAACATGTAAGAAAGTAATGACAGTGTTCAATGAAACCAAAGAGCATATTGTTACTTGAAAATTTATTATAAGCATGATTACCATAGTTTGGCACATTTTGAAAATTTGGGGACTTTTAATAAGCTGATTGCACTAATATGCTAGTGTTGACAGCAGAATGATCTGTTTTTCATAGAAATGCCATAAAAGACATGGAATTTTTTCTCCCCAAATAATGAAGAACTTTATTTGTCTGGGTAGTAGTATTTTTTACCAACAGGTGTTTCTTCAGTTGTGTTTTCTTCTGAGAGTGGTGCAGCACAGTTTGCAGGGCAGTTAGGATACCAAATGCTCAGTTTGACAGCCATAATTCATGAAAATTCATGAGAGAACCATAATGCATGGGAATCGAACATAAAATGATACTCTGCAGAGCAATGAAAAGAGTTCAGCTATAATGCTTGTCACATAATGGTGAATAGCTTGTTTCAGTGTGGTCTCCGTGCTTCTGTGACTTCAAGTTAAAATTTAAATATTCTGGCAGTAATTTTTTTATTATTAAATAAATCCTATGTTTTATGTGCATTTCTGTAAAAATTTCATAGTGTTACAATGTATATATTTTTTTAATTGTTGAGTTTTGAAATTTTTCTCTTACTTTTGGATCACCCTTGTATTTTTTATCAAATTTATAGTGTATCTTTGCTAGAAAGTTATTGTTTAAGTGCTTAATGTCATTTTAGTAAAGTGTACATATTTTTCAGTGATTCTGGATTGCCCAATTATTCATTTACGAAGCTATACTGGGATAAACTTCAGCCAGTACTGGATCATCATGGCAAACCTGCAGTGCAAATTGATAATTCTATGCCATACAGTATAGACCGAGATTTGGAACTTCATTCTCCACCACAAAAAAATGAATACATGTTTCAGTTACTTGCTATTTCTGGGTAAGTAATATTATTACAGTACAAAGTCCGTAATCCTTAATGATCTATAATCCGGAACTCAAAGCCACAAACTTTACACATGCGCATAGAGAATGCGCATACATTACGCATATGCTTTACGCATGCACGCGTTGAAAGAGATGTTTAATGAAGTAAACAAATAAATATTAAGCTTTTTTTTTTTTTTTTTTTTTTTTTTTGTAAAATTTTATACCTTTTATAACATAATTGCTTTTTATTTCATAAATTACAGTTTAATATTTTTAATAGTATAATTTCTGCATGCCACCTTACCAGATTTAAACTGATGATCTATAATACGGAAAAACCCCTAATCCGGAATCGCCCGACGAGTCCGGATTACGGACTTTGTACTGTAATAAGTAATATTTCTGGGTAAGTAATTATTTTCACATCAAATTTCAAAATATTATTATTTAAGTCTTTTATAAGCTGAAATGTTTGATTGTTAATTTGAACAATTTTAAGTTCAGTAATAAGAGCTGGGTTTCAACAGCTCAGGAATTTTGCAAAGAATATAATATTGTTGAATTAATTATATACATAGATTCGTATGCAGACTTAAGAGAATTTGCAAATAATGTCTATTTTTACAAAAAGTATTGAGCCAAAGATACTAATTTTGCCTGCAAAGAATTATGCAGATATTCAAAGTCAAATACATAAGCATACATGTATGTGTCTGCGAAGCTGTGATTGTGGAAGGGATATGAGTGCATGAGGGGTTTTTGGTGATTTGTATGCTTATACTTTCTCACAGTATGTCTCACAAGAGTTGGGCAAATTTTATAAGGTTTCAGTTAAAATGAGTAGCCATGAACATCTAGATAATGGAATGAGATGGTGAATTGTTGGTAGATTGGAGACAGGCCAATCACAAGCACATATAGCTACAGGGCTTAGTGTAACACCCAGTATTATTTGCAATTTGTGGACACTAGATCCATATTGAGAATATCTGGACAAGGTCAATCAAGATCCACAATGAGGATCATTATTTGTCACCTTCAGCATGGCAACAGAGGACTGCTGCAGCTGAGTTGTATGCTGCTGCCACTGGAACCTGAGTTTCATGGTTTACAGTTGCCCAAAGACTTCATGAGATAGGACTGTATGTCAGAAGTTTCGATGTTTGAGTCCCACTCTCTGCAGCACAGAAGAGGGTACATGTGGCATGGTGCATACAACATGTGCCATGGACCAGAGTGTAAAACACAATACCATCCCTTCCTTATCAGGGAAAAGAACCATTATGATGGTGGAGGTGTAATGGTTTGGGTTGGACATATGTTAATTATGGATATTATGTTAAACAGCTGCATGCTCCTGCAAGGATTAGAAAAGACTAGTTGTGCAGCATACAGCTATGAGTTATAGAGAGGGAATCCTAGAGTCCTCTTTAACTCATATGTATGATTCAAATGTATGATTTCAAATTAAAAATCAAACATTTGAGGGTTCAAATTAACAATCGAACATTTCAGGGTTCAAATTAACAATCAAACATTTAAACTCAACTTTAGCTGTTTGGGGTTGGTTACAGCTTCCTGTTAATGAACAAAAATGTTCATCTGCATAGGTCTCAGCTTGTTGATGATTACCTGATAGTGCAGATATTCGTCGCATGGCTTAATCAGCCAGATCTCCTGACCTTAACCCTATAGAGCATATCTGGACTGCTCTTGAGAGGGCGATTTCATCTTGCCATCCCCCTCTGAGAACCATCTTGGGGTTGAAAACTGCCTTGCTGCGGGAGTGGGATCAACGGGCACAGGGATTGATCAACTACCTCCTGTCCAGTGTGCTGTATGCTGCACAACTAGTTTGGCTATGAGAGTGGACCATACCCCATATTAGACTCATTTTCATTTCAATATCACAAGGTTTTCAACATCCTTGCACTATAAACTTTACTGATAATCTTGCATACATAAAATGACTTTTGAGTGGTACATCTCTTTCCCTGTTATAAGTGTATATTCATACCAAGTTTTATTAGAAACCTTTCTATTTGTTTTCCAGAAATTCAACATAATTTGGAAATTTTCTTAATTTTGTGCATGAGCATATATGTAAGTTTCAGTAATGGATGAGTGAATTTTTTTAATACCTGAGTCTAATTTATATTGATTCTGACCATCTTTATATTTTTATTTTAGCTTGGAAGAATATTCACAACTTCCTTCAGAGATATTTTTCACATTCCAGTTTTATCGGTTTTTATCAGTTAGGAGTGAGAGGTAATATATGATTTCTTAATATGTTATACATATCCATCATTCAAATGATTTACCATGTCTGAAATAATCCTCTATGTTTTCTTATGTGGTTGAATATTTTTCTTAATTTTGTATCTGAAAAATACCTGTTTTTGCAAAATATGTCTTCTTTAGTGTTCTTGCATTTTTGAATGTCTGCATGAATGTATATAATTAAAATAACTTGCTTTCTACTGCTCTTAACTTTTTAAAATTGTATTATGTTATACATGAATGGAAAAGTTTAATAGCTCATCTTTATACTGAATGTAATATTTCAGTTTCACTTCAATTTAGTTTTAAATGACCATCTAGATTTTTCAGCAGGTAGAACAAATCATTCAGGTCATATATTCAGGTCAGATTCAGGTCGTACCTAGTATTCTGTGTTAAGGAATAGTAACAAAAAATACATATACTGTGAAGTCTTTTGTCCTGACTTTTTCCTTGATATGATCACCTCTGGCAATGACTGGTATTTTTGAGAGCATAAATGGACATCAGCACTGAGTATCACTTCTTTAATATGACTACTTGCACAAAAGACAAAAATCACTTGAAATGTTGGTTGTCTTGGAAAAGATTTTCTGTTCTTGAAATTTATGTATTCAATTTACACTTTATATATTCAGTGTAACAATTGAAATATTTCGAGAATTTGAGAAAATGCTTCAGTACAAAAATTTTAGTATCCGAGTTATTTAAAGATTTAGAATGTAAGAAATAAACACTGTAATATTTTTGTATTTTCAAAATATCTCAAAGACAATTTTGTGTGGAAGTTAGAATATCTCTTTACATAGTCAGCCTTAATGTAGAAAATTGTGTAATATGAAATGCTAGATTTCTGAGAGGAATATAATCTACTTTTTATATTAAAAAAAAAAAAAAAATGTTATTGTCACAAAAGCAGGTATCATCTAATTTGCCAATTTCATTCCAATAAAATTATTTCTCTCTAAAACATTTCTGAATCTTGGCCTTTGGGAAAAAAAAAAAAAAAAAAAAAAAGCTTAATATTTATTTGTTTACTTTATTAAACATTTCTTTCAATCTAAGTTGTTTGTTTCGTTTTTTGTGCTCATACTTTCTCTTTAATTCTATAAACAGACATAATTTCTTGTTCAGTTACAAAGTTCCACTGTTCAAGGTCCTGTAATTGCTGTATTGAGAATACCATCTAACTTGCCTTTATCCATTTTTTGCAGCAATTCAACTTTTTGTTTGATATACATTGAAACATGCTTTCACTTTGTAGATCCTTTGACAGCTCCAGAATTGGAAACTCTTTTTGACATAATCCAAAGTTCAAGTTTAATTTTTATAAAATTGACTGCAAATTTAATTGTCAGTCAGTCTTAACAGTCTGCAAAAAATAATAAGCCAGATCCAATTAGAAGATTAAGGAACAGTGCAATCTGCAACATTAACTGAAATGCCTTGGAATCACAGACATAATTTCTTGTTCAGTTACAAAGTTCCACTGCTCAAGTCCTGTAATTGCTGTGTTTAGAATACCGACTAACTAATAAGATAATTTTAGCCTAGCTTATACCGTCCATTATACATTAAATGCGCGTGCGTAAAACATACAAAAAAAAGTTTGTGGCTTTGAGGTCCGGATTTTAGATCATTCTGGATAATGGACGTCCGGATTACGCACTTTGTACTGTATATAGATTTCCAGATTATGAACTGAATGGCAGTTTGTCAGAAGAAGGTCTAATTTAAAGGGGGGGGGGGTTGGCCAGAATTTTGTTTAACATTTTCTTTAAATTTTGTAGGGTTGTCTGAATTGTTTGTGGTTATGTATTATTGTTAAGGTGAAATGGTCCATGATAATTGTTTGATGCCCAGTCCATTAGTATTAGCTTCTGTATGTTTCTTCAATTTTATTACAGTGTAGATCAGTATTTACCATCAGTCGTTAACCTCAGAAATGAAAGTGAACTGCAATCCTTGTAATCCACTTCATCATTGCCATGATTTTTATTCCTGCTAATATGATTTGATTTTTGTCTTACACATTCATTATAATTAACCAACCACTTGATGATTATTTACCCTTTTTTGAAATAATTGTAGATGGTTTTTTGGAACTTTATCAATTTCCAACCAGTTTGCAGTCAGTAGTGTTAGAGCAATGCAGGTTGTCAATTCTGACCATTTGTTTGCTAGAAGTCATCAGAGAAATTCGAAAAAAGCTGAAGAAGATGCGAATCACTCTTCATCATGCCAGTGCGATCTCTCATGCATCGGCTCAAACAAAGGAATTTTTGATGAACCAAAAACATCGAATTGATGCCTCATCTGTTGTACAGCCCTGATTTGGCACCCAATGACTTTTTTAATTCCCGCACATAAAAAATAAGTTACATGGTCATCAGTTTGTGATACCCGAAGAAACGGATAGTGCATTCAAAATGCATATTTTGAAGTTACCTCAATAGAAGTGGAAAAAGTGCTTCAAAAATTGGTTCAAACACATTCAAAAGTGTATTGATCTTCATGAAGAATATTTTGAAAAACTATGAAACCAATTTCAATCATTAACATTTGTTTTTTTAACATTAATGTTACTTCAATCATTAACATTTGTTGTTGTTTTTTAAATATAAATAGCAACCCTTGTATACATGTCTTCCAAATAGGATGACAAAAATGATCATGTATGCATAAAATCAGAATATGTATAAAATATTATGTTCTTTGAAGCAAAATTAGGAAATATATGAAACTTATTTCATTTCATGTAGTCTTCTGTTGAAACCTCTCTCTGAAGATGTCAATAATGACTTTCCTAAGTCATCTGTAGTGTATGCTTTTCATACATCCAGAAGCTCAAAACAGTCTCTGGGATTTCAGGTATGCTAAATGTTTTATGAAGGTTTTTTTTTGGGGGGGGGATAAGAAGTCTAATTACAAACTTTATTAAGATTTATAGAAATGGGGATTGAATTCCCTCTATTTTCTGTAGATTATTGTATGCAAATTTCAAAAACCTAGTTCAGAATTTTGATACTAAAACTGATGGTGCATTATGATTAAAACTGATGTAGTATAAATTTGATTTTTGTTTTTCATTGTTTTATATTCATTGTTTTTTTACATGCAAACACCTGAGAGACTATAAATTATTTTATAATTCAAAGCTTTTTTTAAATTATGTATTATTTAATAAATTAATGTTGACTTTGCAAAAGTTAATGTCACGAAAGGCATGCCAGTATTTCAGATTGGTTTATCTGAACTATGGCTTTCTTGTTATAATCACTGAATGTTGTTTTGGGTTATTTATTATATTTATGGTATCATATCATGTTATATTAATAATATCATTTTTATCTCTGAAATGAATATCAGTGCAAGATGGATATGTAGTGTAAGTAAGTTTTCAGATGACGAGAAAGATGACCTGTGATGAATACTAAATTTAGGTACTTTGCCAATTGACAGGTAGAAGCACTGATAAAGTACCGTATTTATGCAAATCTAATGCGCATCCCCATTTTAAAACGTTAAATAATAAAAAAATTGTTTGTCGGCGAATGTAATGCGCATCAATGGTATGAGGAATTCATTGAATCTTATTTTATACAAATATGGATTTGTATATAAACTATCAATCAATGGTATGATAATTTTATTTAAATTTAGATACCATATTTTATAAAACAATGGATTTATACATAAAGTAGCACAACATAGAATTAACCTATTAGTGGGCTATTGTTATGTGAAACAATCATTGTTAATTACCACTACCGTATATACGGTACCTATCGTAAAATATGAACATGAAATAAATCGTAACATTTCTATAGCTAGCAGTTTCTACAAACCGTGATTAATAGTAATCATCTTTATTCACTAATGTTTTTATCACTGGAATCCTCGCAGCTCTCTTCGTCAGAAGCAGATTCATTTCTTCTTTCCTCAGCGTTGCAGAGCACGTCATCTTCACTGCCATTCAATGAATTTTAAATGCAGCATTTCTTGAAAGATTTTGCAATCATTGGATCTTCGATGCTTTTCCAGGCAGCAGAAACCCAGTGTGCAACAATGTGCGGTGCAGTACGCTTAATTTTTCCTATCGGGGTCAATTCACGGTTTGGCTCACAAAACCATTTTTCGTACTCCGTCTGATCGTACCTCTTAAAAGGTTTTTTTTATACTAACGTCCAGTGGTTGTAACACAAACGTCATCCCTCCAGGAATGATTACAAGATCACTGCCTAGGCTGCGCGTGTTCTTTTTCACGTCGTCGGTGAGATAACCACAAAATGTGTCCAGACAAAGCATTGATGGCGGATTGAAGAGCCCACCGGGACGGCGTTCCCATACATTTCGGAGCCAATCAAGCATTAATGATTCCGTCATTCACCCCTTCTCTTGGTTTCGAATCAGGACATCATCTGGGAACAGCTTTTCATTATTAGGGGTTTTAAGGCTTGTTTTCCTTTTGAAGATTAAGAAAGGGGGAAGTTTGCACCCGTCTGCTGTTATTGCCAGCATCACTGTTACACGTTGTTTTACACATCCCCAAGTTTTAATGATAACTTCCTTAGTCCTCTTCTCCGTAATGGTGTAGTTATGAGGCATATCAAACCAAATTGGCATCTCGTCAGCGTTGCCAATTTGCCCCATTGAAAAATTCTTTTCCTTCCAAAGTGTGATGACATACTGCTGAAATGTTAGTAGTTTTCCCTTAAAATCTGCAGGAAGCTTTTGGCATATTGTTGTACGGCGTCTGAGATATAAGCCCATCCACTTCATAAACCGATCCACCCATCCACGGCTAGCCTTAAACTCTTGTTTCGGTATTCCAAGAACTTCAGCCTCCTCTTTTGTTTTATTTCTTATGGTGTCACTAGTCACAGGTTGTTCATTTTTCTTCCTTTCACGTACAAATTCCAAAACTTTTTCTTCAATTTTAGGGTGTCTTCCTTTGCGAGAGCCAGTGAATTTCTTTCTACTATCTTTAGTTGCAAACAGTGCCAATTTCTGTGTCTGCCACGAGCGAACACTGCTCTCAGCTACGTTGAACTCTCCCCTGCCTTTCTATTGCCATTTTTTTCAGCATAAAGAATTACTTTACATTTGAAAGTAGCGTCATATGACATTCTCCTCTGTTTGCCCTCCCTTTCGTGACTACATACTCTGCAGTTTGTATCTTCTATGCAATAATGTGTCAACGATAAATGTAACGTTAAATCTAGTCGACAAATACAGTAATCCATTGTTACGATTTAAATTTGGTTGACGTCATCGGCGAACTTTGCACTCGAAACTAATGCGCCATCGAATCTAATGCGCACCCCAATTTTGAATATTACATTTGGCCAAAAACGATGCGCATTACATTCGCGTAAATACGGTATAATTTCTTTAACTGTGTTTAATATCAGATTTAAGATCACTGAAGTCTTTGAAGCTTGAGTGACTTTGAAGCTGAGTACAGAAAACGTCCTATTTATTTATTGATCCAGAGAAAAACTATAAATGAAACAACAGCGATGAGAAGGCTGAGTATTAGTTTAAAGCCATTTAGTTTTTTTGGGGGGAGGAGAAAGTGCTAGATGTAGAATATTTTGTTCAATTTTGAGTTTATTTTTAAAAAATAATATTGTATTCAGAATTTATTGGTGAGTTAGTGAGCAGGGCCAACTCCAGCATTTTCAGCACCCTAGACCATCAGTTCCCAGCCTTTTTCATTCGTGTACTCCTTAATAAGACTTTATACTAATAGAGTATCCCTAACCTTCCCCTTCAGAACCTGTGAATCCAACCTCTCATGTGTTATCATGGTATTATTTTGTTATTTTAATTTAATAAATTTAATAATCAGTGATGAATATAGTAAAAAAAATGGAATCAATTTGTTGTACTTTTTCAAAGAATTATAATTTTGAGACTACTTTAAAGAAATCTTCATTGAAAATATGTGAAATCCTGTTTTTCTCCTCACTTGGTTTGGGAAAGTAATGTTTGACTAACCCTTGTAATCCTTTCTGTTCTGTTTGCTTTCTTTTTAAGTTGAAACTCATTTTTTGACATTAAAGTTATCAAGCGTTGCGGTGCACAATGAACTTGAAGTTGATCTGTCAGCACTATCCTTATCTTCAGGGCAGATGTTTTTATTTTATTCGGCTTATAATTCCTTACTAAATGTAGTATTTCATCTTGATGTACTCCATCTTTGATATGATTTAAATCAAATTCCTCGTCATTATAAATATCACGAATACACCTCAAATAGTTTTCTGCTTGCAATTTTCTAATTTCGACTATGCATAATGTATGCTTTACGCATGTGTGCATTGAAAGAAATGTTTAATAAAGTAAACAAATAAATATTAAGCCTTTTTTTTGTAAATTTTGATACTCTTTACATCATAATTGCTCTTTATTTCATAAATTATGGTTTCATATTTTTAATTTTATAATTTCTGCATGCCATTTTACCAGATTTAAATTGATGATCTATAATCTGGAAAAACCCCTAATCCAGAATCGCCAAAGTCCCGACGAGTCCGGATTAAAGACTTTGTACTGTAGTACCAAATGAGTAGTGAAATAAGGAACTTACAATCTGATATCTGATCTGCTGGGGTAAGAGCTCTACTTTTTGCATTGTCACCTTGAAGCTTATGTTCTGAAAGATCAGTCAGAGCCTTGTGAACATTGTCTATTTGAAATTTAAGTACTTTCACAGATTCAAATCTAGCTTCCCATCTTGGGAAGGCAGTTAGTTTAGTTCTGTTAAATCTTCAACCTGAGTACAGAAAACTTCCCATTTATTTATTGATCCAGAGAAAAACTATAAATATGTTTAAGGATTAGGAATATATATGCTGTATCGACAAATGAATTAGCAACATCTCTGAGTTCTAATAAGGAATGACACCTCCATGAAACATATATAGTGATGTGCTATTAAAATCTTTGCTGAATACCTGCATGCTTACCTTTTATATTGACGTAATTATCACATCTCTGACCTTTACAATTACCAAGCTAGACTTTTTTTTTTTTTTAAATCCATCAATAATGCTGTCAGTCCTTATCCGGAAGTATCTTTGGCTTCCAGAAACCCCATGGTTCTCCAAGTTTCAAATGCTTCTGCTTGTTTCAGCAGGTCTTACTGGCATAGATATTTGTACCTTATGGCTCTTGTCTAATGTGCAGTTAAGAATGATCAAGTAATGTTTTGCCATAACTTTCCATTTGATTTCATTTTTAGTTTTCATATCCTTAAAATAAGAATTTTATTTTGATTAGTTTTCCCAAATAGTAAGAGTATATGCCCTGTCAGGATTCTCCGGATGTGCTGCCATAGCATCGGCTCTAACTGTCCACAAATTGAAAAAAATTTCCTACTAAGATAGTGTGGGCAAGATGTTGAAGAGCTGCTCTCTTTAGATTCTCTCTTGTCTTTTTTCACCATAATGTTTTTTCTGTACATCAATATCACTGGCCTTGTTTCTTTTTAATCTTCTCTCTGCTTCAATATATTGGTTATACATTATACTATGAACTATTTATTCATGTTGCTGGAGAGTTTCTTCTTTTATCAAGTTATGATTTCTAACGTTCAGGACACAACTGCAATTATCTCTTCTAAATAATTTACAAGAGAAACAAAACAATGTCAGAATTCCTTGAATATGCTAACCATCAGCATTTTATTTGTTTAAAGTTTTCCAGAACTCTTGTAATTAAATTTGCTGAGAAACAATAGTTACTTTTGTCTCTTGTGTAGGCATCAGTTTGTAACTGTTTCTGTCTTGATATTGCTAGATAATCTTGAGTGTGTTTGTAATGGCCACATCAGTAGATCTCATAAATCATTCTCAAGGCCTTTATGTTTTATGCTGAAAGCAGTGCAATCAGATTTGTGACCTACTTTAGCTGTCTGCATATGGCACACTTAAATGGTTTCATCAGCAAATATTGAAGCTTCATTAAATCATACAACAATTTTTTTTGTTTGTTTGTTCCAACTGTGATGTAAAAAATTCAAAAATTCCATTGAATAAAGCTACAGCTTCTTACAAAAGGTAATTTGGTGTTGTGTGTAAAATCTTCCATTTCCTTGTTATTACTTAATATTTATAGGAAATTCAAATTTCCACCCATGATATTGATATTATGGGGCTATTGCTTTCAACAATGTATTAGTGAAACAGTATAAATACAATATTTCTGGATCTTATCTGTATTATAGGATTACTGCCCATTAATAATGCAGTAATTGAAATAGCTCTACAGTTTACATTTCCTGGGTTATTGACTTTCTTAGCATAATTTAGCATAACTACTATCATATTTTTTCTAACAATAATCGACATTTATACTTCTGCTTTTTAGATGAGTTTTCCAATATTAGATTTTTCAATTTTTGTGAGTGTTTCTCATTTTAAAAATACATTAAGAGTACTGGATTATTTTTTAGTTCCATCTTCGGCCTTAGCGTTTCTTTTTCCATATTCATACCTAGATGGCTTTATTTTCTTCAGTTTTTTATTAATCTAACCAATTATTGAACAAAAAGGGAAGGCTGAAGTAAATAATAATACTGAAATAAATGTGATCTTCACTTGAATTATATATATTTTACTATTTTAAGGTAAATTATGAAGTAACTGACTGGCAGTGGGCATTTTGTAATTAATATCATACAATATATACAAATATCCTGCGGAAAGCAAAATAACTTTAGGAACAAAAAGATGCAGTGTAAAATTTAAAAATAAAGAAATATAAAATCAGTTTGAAAGTTATAGGACTGTAGTTAAATTGAGTGTCCTTAGTGACTAGAAACTTGAGAAGAGTGTAGCGACTATTTACTGGTCTTCTGAAAACTATATGAACAATGTCTGAAGAAGGGTTAAAATACCCTTTTATTTAACTCTGAGAATATCGCAGTTGGCCTCTCTCAGGCTTACAGGAAGCCCCCACTTGTTGCTATACAGAAGTAACTAACCGAGTTGGCCCTTATTTAAACCTCACTGATGAATACTGGCAGGCTCGTAATAATACATCTGAACGTAGTAAGATTGGCTTGAAGCAATGGCGTGGCCAGCAGGCAGAACATGCTTTACTGAGAACTTCTAAGCTCTTCTACAGAAGTGACTGAAACTTCCCATTAAATGCTGGTTCTACCTTATTTACATAAAACGCGATATTGAAAACTCATTCTGGCAGGGAATTTTAGGTTGAGAAACAAGAGAATAAAGAAAAGGATTTCAAAATTAAAAATAACTATTAAGAAATTAAAATAAACCCCTACAAAGAACTCACACAATGCCTTTCATGAAGAAATAACAATATCAGAATAATAATTTTTCGTAAAATGCTAACTTAAGACTAGTAATCAGAATATATTTTTGTAAAGTGCTAACTTAAGACTAGTAAAATTATATAGGGATTAAATATAAAAAACAATTAAAAAACAATTGACTTCTTTAAAGAAATAGAAGAAATAGATTAATCTCATTTTTTTTTTTTTTTTTTTTTAATAACTGTTTATTTTCCACCCCTTTTTGTGCCATATGTCAGGGAGAACCATGGATGCTCTTTGAATACACCTGTGATATCTGTTTCTTTCTATCCTTTTTTTATGCAACTAGATGTTCAAAAACCAAATCCATAGCACACTTGACACCAATAATTACTGTATTTTGCTATATTGCCATTGTCTACGGAGACATTCTTGTTTCTGAGCACAGCAACTGAGTTTGCAGCAACTGAGCTGCTTCTGCTGCCTGTGCTTGAAGCCTCATCTGTTAGTGAGCATGAATTTTAGGTATAATGTATTCAAAGATCAGCCAGGAACTCAAAAGAATAATTTTTGATAGGTGATTTTACCTGATTGAACTGCAATGATATATATCATTTCTTTATTATCATTTCGTGCTCTAAAATATCTGGTTGTAATGAAAGTTTTCCACCAAAACACATTCTTAATAAAGTTAAAAACATGAAAAGAATAAAAGCAGAAAGAAAAACCCATATAAAAGCAGAACCTTTAGTGCCGGTAGTAATCACCACCCAAATCTATGATTTTTTGTCAACATTTTGGTAGTTTTTCAAAGCCTTTGGCCTGGAAACTTGGTGGCCATGAGTCCACACACAGATCAATCTTACTTCTGACATCCTGTGCAAAATGGAAGTTAGCACCAGCAAGATGTAGTGTCAGGTGTGAAAAAAGGTAGAAGTCTGAGAGAGTGGTGTCGGGGCTCTGTGGTGGGTGTGGCAAAAGATCCCATTTGAGTCCCTACAGAATCCAGCCAGTGAATGCAGACACATGTTGTCTTGCATTGTTTTTCCATTGGAACTCAGTTTAATGTTTTCCATTGATAGCTGCGTCAACACGGACTAGCATCTCACTGTACACCTTACCGTCAAGGGTTTTACCTCTTTTCAGATTTTCTTTGTGGATAATACTACAGCAATTCCATCAGATACAAAGCATGATCCCTTTTTTAGTTAAATTGTGCTTTGCGACGCTGCCAACAGGCTCACCAGGTGCAGACCAACCCTCTTTACGGACAGTGTTATTGAAATCTACTTTTCCTCACAAGTAATGATACAGTCCAGAATTTTGTTCTTGCGTTGATATTCGAGCATAGTGCAGGCCCGAACAAGTCTGCCCTTATCTGCTTGAGTCAGCTTATGTTGCACCAGTGACTGAACTTGTACCTCAAGTTTAGGTGATGCATAATATGACTAATCGGTATGGCACTAACGTCTAACTCCTTAGCAAGCCCTCGAGTGGTTGCATACTGATCTTCTTCCGCACATTCTCACAGGCTGGCTTCATCAACATCGGTAGGCCCGCCAGAGAGCTGTACTTTTTGAATTTCATAGTTCTTGTTTTTGAACTTTCAGTGATCTTCACAGTGTCATGTGATACAACATTAATACTTAAACATGTGATACAACATTAATACTACAGATTGTCACCAAATCATGTGTATTAACACATGATTTGGTGACAATCTGTAGCTGATGTTTTGCAACAGAATTGGAAGTAAATGATGGTTCTAATCTGGTAGCATGATAGTTAAATTTCAGACATCTTTTACTTAATGATAATGATACTGATTTACAAATTTCACAACACAGTGTTCTAAAGGAAGTCTCATTCTTTCAAATGCCAAAAAAGTTTGACAAAGTATGATTAAACACGCCACCATGAACTGTTTGTGCAGACAATATTTGTGGTGGTGAGAAACTTTTGTTAAAACCCAATATATCATAAATTGTTAATATCTTTGAGTGATTGTTTCCTCTCTGCTTATTACATGTAATATGTTAAAATTACTTAGAAGAGTTTTATACAAAAGTCACTAAATGTTTAAGATGATTGAAGATTTTGTAAACCATATCTTACAAAATTTACAAATTATTATGTTTATATTTAAATACTAGTGACTGAACTAAGTCATAATTAAAAGTTTTTTGTGTAGAACTTCCTGATAAATCTTAATTGCTTTGCTATAACTTGGAATTTTAGTCTAATATCTCAAAATATTTACCATTAGAAGTCCAAAAAGTGTTTCAAACATTTTTAGAAAATGTTAAAAGCGTAAATTTTTTAAGATTGAAAGGAAATTGCAGTCTGATCTTTGTTTGCAGATTTCAGTTTAATTTTTGCAAAATTTTAAGTTCTGCAATTATGTTATTAAACAATTTTAAGCTCTGCAATTATGTTCGATTTACCAGTTTCAGAATTAATGCTTCCCCTCCAGAAATGAATGATACAGAACATAAATGATGTATTTATAATGAGCTTTTAAATATGACAAAATTGGGGGAAAATGGAATTATATTGTTCCATCATAAATTTATGCCATGCAGAGAAAGGTACTTATTTAATTAAGAAAAGCTCTAATTATTCAAGCCATAGCTGGATTTCTCTTGATCAACTGATCATGTTCTTGAATAGTTTTAAATGTTGGTTAGATATTAGAAAATTAGGAATTGTGTTTTTATCATCTTCAAAATTATATGAATCGCACATAAAATCATTACAAAATTCTGAAAAATTATTTCATTTTCATTGTATAGAATTATGTAAGGTTTATTAATTCTAGCTTATTTTTATAATTATTTTATTTTTGTTTCATTTATTAAGGTAACATATCATATTGATCCCTCTGAGCTTGACAGTGGAGAATATACAGCTTTCCTTCATTATATAATGAAACAAACTCTTCACATTGATTTATGGAATGGGCAATCTTTATTATACTTTGGAACAGTCACATTACCATTAAAGGTAAATATTATATATTTTATTTTTTATTTCTAATTTTTCATCCTTCATTGAAAAAAATAAAGGGAAAGCTTAGTATTTCCGTATTTATTTTTTGTTTATATTAATGGTAATTACCATATTTTTTAATGATTTATTTGAGTTTCTCAACAACAAGTATATTTATTTAAATTAGTAAACAGAAAAGTAAATTATTTTGAAATACAGTACATGCCACTTATTCAAATCACTTTCGTTCTAAACATATTTGAATTTATTAAATGACTGCATTTAGTTGGTCATTTATGTATTGCACACCATGATATGAATTTTAGCTTTTTCAAGTAAAATAATACCTAACAACTAATTCATTAATTATTCCTAAAATAATAATTAAAAATCAATACCTAAATTATTTATGCAATTTAAAAATTTTTTATAAAAATATTTTTATATTTACAATTTTGATTAAATTTTATCTCTTACAAACAATTTTTCTATCTGTATTTGTTTCATATTTTTAACTACAGTTTTGTTCAACAACAGGTTTCAATTGTATTCTCAATTTCATAAAGCTGCTGATAGCTTTTTTTATCAGCCCATTTCAAGAATTTTTTTAGGATTTGCAGTTCTTTGCTATATTTGATTGATGATAGTATGGCAGCACTTTTTTCTCTATCATCTTTGTTGTCAGTTTCTGCAGTCTTATAGTTATTTCATAGTAAATTTTTATACATGTTGTCCTACTATTGTTGTAAGCTGATGCATATTCTAAAAACGAAGCCTCATAACTTCCCTCGGTGATATCTGAAACATTAGCTATAATTCAATTCAAAACATTTCAAATTCCTTTGAGGCTTCTGCAAGAAAGCTACGTTTTCAGGAACAGTTTTAAATTGATTTTAAGGGATTAACTCCTGCATTGACTATAATAACCAAGGTCACTGTCAAAGATATTGTCTTACTTATCTTTTCCAAAATGTTTGCTTTTTCACAAAATTCAGTTCTGTTCATTATCTACTGAACATCTTTTCTGTAATAACATTTGAAGGTTACTCTGAAATACTCTGAAATTACTCATACATATCATAATACTCTGAAATTAAGGTTCATAATCCTCTGAAATTAAGGTTGGATATTGGAAGTTATGGTTTAGTCTTTCCACTTGGCATTTTAATGTGTTATAAGTACAAAACAAATTTAAAAATGGCTTCTTCTAGTTATTTATTCGTTTCAAAATTTACATTTCTAGCCAGCAGAATGATTGCCCTTTGTCTGTTTAATTGACCTGCCACTTCATGATTACAAGCATGAACAATTCTTTTCTTGCTTTTTCTTCAGTCTATAGTTACCACTTCTTTTCCATTTAAAGACTCTTAATGTATGGTAATGCGCAGAAGCACTTAACTTCTTTTGTGAGCGTAATGTATCTATCCAAAAGGGACAATTTGGATTGTAGAAACTTTAAAAGATGGGAAGGAATTTAAACTTCCACCTCCTGTTAGCTTGTATTAGAAAAAGAACCCTCACTCATTTGCTGTGCCTCTAGAAGACGTTTTTGTTAAATTTAAGATAGGGAATTCTGCCCTCTGAAGTCCACAAGACAAAGTACTCTGAAAACAATGTCTTACTGATAGAAGGACTGGGGGGAGGAAATTTTTGGCCCAAATCATTTTATTGAAGTATTCCATATCTGAACGATAAAACAGTCCACAGTACATTAAAGGAATGAACTATGAAAAGCTTTGGCAGGTTCAAGTAGGCTATTCTGTTACTGAAGATGTTTTTTGCCTGTTTGAGTTTAAGAAGTGGCAGAGATGCGCTTAATAAACAGCAGTTTTTCTATTGCTTAATATGTATTTGTTTTGTTTCCCTGAAAGCTGAACTGTTACGTTCAGATTTCCGTGGCTGAATTTCTTAACCAGGGAATTTAATAAGCAGCAAGTATTGTAACATTTAATTCAGAAGATTTTGAGATTTTAAGATGTTCTAGCAGGCGGTAGAGCAACTCAGCTGGTGGTAAGCATTGGTAAGTTACTTTGGAATAAAAAGTTTGTCTTCGAATAAAAGATTATAATATAATTTTTAAGATGTAATTTTAGACATATCAAAATGCTTTTGAACTATGCTTATATTAAATTTGTACTTCTGTAATTGTTAATCTAACTGTATGTCTCTTGTTAATAATCCAACATTTACATGCTATGTAGAACTACTTTTGAAATTATGATTCTCAGTTTAGTAATATAGTGACAATCACTTTTATTTGTTTAAGTGTGTATCTGTTAATAATATGAATATCACAGGCACATAAACCGATTTTTTAAAGTATCTTTGTAGGCAAGGAAAAGAAGCAGCTTTCACTATTTTGGAATTAGATATCATAAATTGTGAATTTTCTGATGATTCTCTTAATCAGGCAGCTGTTCCTATACAATCAGCTAAAGGGAAACTGCACCTCCGTGTAGCAAGCATAAGGCATCCACTGTCTGCAAGTGCCTTAGAAAAATATGCAGGTAAAATTAAAATGGAAATTATTTTTGTGTATTCGAGAGTGTGAATGAAATATATAATTTTGGTTATTGTTTGAAATTTTATGCATTTATCAACAACTTTAATATAGCATTTGATTTTTTAGAAATAACTTGCAGCTCTACGGTATAACTCTGATGCTTCAGAAAAATGAAATCAAATTTTGGTACTTTTCCGTTTTGCCAGCGCAAACAATAAAATCACCAATTATGGTACAACCGATGCCAAAAGGAATATCTTCGCTGGTAACTTTTTAACCTTCATTTTCAAAACAAGTTGCAGCCATTTCTTATCAGATTGATTGTTTCTTTCAATACTGGCATACAATTGCATAGAATTTTTACTAGTTAAATTTTATGCCCTAAGACCATTCGCAGTAATTAATTAAGATGCAATCACACCACTCACCTCAAGGCATATATATAGAAAAGGCAATATCAAGGGAAATTCATCGAATCTAATGAAAATGCACTAGCAACTGCGGTTTTACATAATTTCTGAGTAAGCTATTCGTACGAATTGAAATAATTCTTGCATTTAAACTTGTATTCCATAAGATTTAATTTAAGATTTAACTTGAAATTAATGTAGATAATTACTGAGAGAATTAGATTTTTGTAGCGTAGTTTACATGAGATAAGATCGCTTGGGGGTCACGTGATATGAACCAGCAAATCAGGATGTTGAAACATAAAAGCATAGTAAATTCTTAAATTAATGTCTTTTTACAAATTTATTGTCTTTATTTATTGGCTTTTTACAAAATTTTAAACCATGTTAAAATGTTTATGCCTTCAAAATAAAAAATTCTTAGAACTAACATTTGTTAAAATTTTTTATGTGTATGGTGTCACCAACACAGTCTGCTTGGCAAGATTTGCAGTGGCGAAAAGGAAAAGTACCCAAATTTGTTTATGGTAACAAAAACTTAAAATTTGCTCCAAGATAATTATGTGATTATTAATATAATATTTGTAAATAAGATTGGTTTGTTAAAGAAGAATGCCATTATGAAACACTTTCTGAAAGAAACTGGATTTCCTTCATATTACATATGACAAAAACTGTAAAAACCTAATGCAGCTAGCCCATTTGCGAAGATCTTAAGCCCAGTCAGACTACTGGCATTCAGCGGTTTATTTCATTCAGCTGCTGATTTTCACGTTTTATTTATTAATTGTAATTACCTTTAATTAATTATAATATTGATAATGATTGCATTGCTGTTCAGCTATCAAATTCATAATACATTCTTTGAAATTAAAAAATTGTGTAAAGGGAGCTTTATATCACAAATTTTTATGCCTTTGTATTTAATTTATGTTATTAAAAATGGTGGGCATTAAAATATTTTTGCTTATCCAAATCACATTTGCCCTTTTTTTAGGTTTAGCATACAGTGCAAAGTTCGAGATCCGGAGTCGTTGAACACTTTCGCGATTTTGGATTTTGGATTTTTTTGGATATTAGATCACCAGTTTAAATCTAGTAAGATGGCATGTAGAAATTATAAGATTAAAAATATGAAATAGTGATTTCTGAAATAATGAAGCATTTATGATCAAATCATAAATGCTTCAAAATTACACACACACACACAAAAAAAAAAAAGAGGGTATCAAAATAAAATAATAAAAAAAAAGCTTTATATTTTTTTGTGTACTTTATTAAGCATTTCTGCAATGTAAGTTGTTTAAGTTGCTTCGTTTTTTGTATTGTTTGTTGGAAGTCTTGAGGTCCTGATTTTAGATCATTCCGGATATTAGACGTCCGGATCTCTGACTTTTTACCATATTATCAACCTTCAATTTAAAATTTTAAATGATGAACAATTTTTATTTTCACATATTTTAAGGATTTTTTTTATTATTGTGATCTATTTTTATTTACTTTTGTTTTTGAACTATTTGAGGATCTTTCTTCATTTTCAGGCAATAGGATTGTATTACATTATTTAAATTATAGTGCAGACTATTTGCCTAGGGGATGGTATGCCCGTATAGAAGGTTTTTAAGGGAAATGCTCATATTTGCATTACAGATGTCTAAAACCATGAAAACTCCCATGCAGCTAACTAATTTCTGAGATTTGTATCAAGGTAAAATTATCAGTGTTCAGTAATCTTCACCTGATACAAGTGTTAGGAAAAGTAAAGTTAGTTTTACAGTGGTTGTCTTATAATTATTAAAATGAAAAAATCAAATATTTTCCTTGTATGTATGGTGCAAAAGTTATGCAGCATTTCTTGGAAACATATACATATATTATTTTCAAAATTAACTTTAATTCTAAATTTAACAAATTCTGTATCATTTTAAAGATAATTTTATGTAAAATTCAAAATCATTTATTGTTTTAAAATAATAACAATATTAGAAAAACAGGAAAACCAGAACTGCTTATAAAAAGCACAGTTAATCAGTAAAAAATTTAAACTGCTTTTTCAATCCATTGTAGCTCTCTTGTTATATCTGAGTAATCTTTACTTTTTTTTTTTTTTTTTTGGTTAGTTTAAAGATTGTTGTTTGCAAATTAAGTAACTAGAGTATTTTTTAAATTAGTACACTGTGTAATGAAGGATTATCATGCTATCAAATTACTATGGAATCTGGCTGTCATCATTTGGCAGTTAATAAATGCATTAATAACTTCAGTTTGTCTAGACATTTAGGGCATCTACTAAAAAAGTGGAAGGCCAAGGAAAGATATTCAGTGACCAAAGTTGCATTTGTTTATTTTTGGAAAATCAGTTTGATAATTGCAAAAACTTGAGTCATAAGTGGTAAATAAACTGTATATTTAATGTTTTCAGCTGGATTGTAAATTGAAAATTGAATGGAAATGGCTTAAGATAGAACCCATAAGCTTGTTAAGAAACCTTTTGCAACTAAATAACAAAACAGATATTTAGGCATTTGCAAATGGCATGCGATCGTATAGGATGGACTATGGATCATTTGTATAAAGTTATTTGTATTGGTAAAATAATACTTTCTTGGTCACACAGGGAAGTTGCTAGATTTTACAATGGCATCACAATGAAAGATTTAAACCAAATTGTGCCACAGGAACAGTAAATCATCTTAATGCAGTTATGATATGAAGTTACCATATTTACGCGAATCTAATGCGCATCGTTTTTGGCCAAATGTAGTATTCAAAATTGGGGTGCGCATTAGATTCGATGGCGCATTAGATTCGAGTGCAAAGTTCGCCGATTACGTCAATCAAATTTCTCGACTGCATTTACCGTTACATTTATCGTTGACACATTATTGCATAGAGGATACAAACTGCAGAGTACGTAGTCACGAAATGGAGGGCAAACAGAGAAGAATGTCATATGACGCTACTTTCAAACGTAAAGTAATCTTTTATGCTGAAAAACTGGCAATAGAAAGGCAGGGAGAGAGTTCAACGTAGCTGAGAGCAATGTTCGCTTGTGGCGGCAACAGAAATTGGCACTGTTTGCAACTAAAGCTAGTAGAAAGAAATTCACTGGCCCTCGCAAAGGAAGACACCCTAAAATTGAAGAAAAAGTTTTGGAATTTGTACGTGAAAGGAGGAAGAATGGACAACCTGTGACTAGTGACACCATAAGAAATAAAGCAAAAGAGGAGGCTGAAGTTCTTGGAATACCGAAACAAGAGTTTAAGGCCAGCCGTGGATGGGTGGATCGGTTTATGAAGCGGATGGGTTTATCTTTAAGATGCCGTACAACAATATGCCAAAAGCTTCCTTCAGATTTTGAGGGAAAACTACTAACATTTCAGCGGTATGTCATCACACTTCGGAAAGGAAAAAGAATTTTTCAAATGGGGCAAATTGGCAACGCTGACGAGACGGCCAATTTGGTTTGATATGCCTCGTAACTACACCATTACGGAGAAGGGGACTAAGGAAGTTATCATCAAAACTTCGGGATGTGAAAAACAACGCGTAACAGTGATGCTGTCAATAACAGCAGACGGGTGCAAAACTTCCCCCTTTCTTAATCTTCAAACGGAAAAACATGCCCTAAAACCCCTAAGAATGAAAAGCTATTCCCAGATGATGTCCTGATTCGAAACCAAGAGAAGGGTGGGATGACGGAATCATTAATGCTTGATTGGCTCCGAAATGTATGGAAACGCCGTCCCGGTGGGCTCTCTAATCCACCATCAATGCTTTGTCTGGACGCATTTCGTGGTCATCTCACCGACGACGTAAAAAAGATGATGCACAGCCTAGGCAGTGATCTTGTTATCATTCTTGGAGGGATGACGTCTGTGTTACAACCCCTGGACGTTAGTATAAATAAACCTTTTAAGGGGTATGTTCAGGCGGAGTACGAAAAATGGTTTTGTGAGCCAAACCATGTATTGACCCCGACAGGAAAAATTAAGCGTGCTGCACCGCACATTGTTGCACACTGGGTTTCTGCTGCCTGGAAAAGCATCGAAGCACCAATGATTGTGAAATCTTTCAAGAAATGCTGCATTTCAAATTCATTGAATGGCAGTGATGATGACATGCTCTGGAACGCCGAGGATGACGATGACGACGATGAGGAAAGAAGAAATGAATCTGCTTCTGACGAAGAGAGCTGCGAGGATTCCAGTGATGAAAACATTAGTGAATAAAGACGTTTACTATTAATCACTGATTGTAGAAACTGTTAGCTAGATAGAAATGTTACGATTTATTTCATGTTCATATTTTACGATAGGTACCGTATATACGGTAGTGCTAATTAACAATGATTGTTTCACATGACACTAGCCCACTAATAGGTTAATTCTATGTTCTGCTACTTTATGTATAAATCCATTGTTGTATAAAATATGTATCTAAATTTAAATAAAAATTATCATACCATTAATTGATAGTTTATATACAAATCCATTGTTGCATAAAATAAGATTCAATAAATTCCTCATATCATTGATGCGCATTACATTCGCCGACAAACAATTTTTTTATTAATTTAAAGTTTTAAAATGGGGATGCGCATTAGATTCGATGGCGCATTAGATTCGCATAAATACTCAACACATAGAATAGGTTAACTTTACATCACAGAAGAGAAATTGTGGCCCAATATAAAATGCTGGAAAGAAAAGTGTGTGTGTTTATTATTAACTTTAAACATACAAAATTAGTCAAAGACTAATGCATTTCAAAACAACATTTACATCTTTCGGGTTGATAGTACACTATGCCATCCAGCAACAACAGTAGACAAATATTTTTTTTTAATCAAATAAAAAATTGCTGTGTCCTTGCCCAGTTATCAAATCTCAATCTGCCTTAGATATTACTGATACTGAAAGTAAGTAAGTTTAAAGAACAGTGAAAGCAATGCTTTAAGCAAAGAGGAAAAGAAAAAGTTAATATAAATTGTAAATATTCCGACATATGTATCTGTACCCATGTATAACCTTGAAAAAATTTTAAATAGTATGCTCAAGTAATGTGCATTAATAATTAAAAATAAAGGATTTTCAGTTAAATATTAAAAATCTATACAACATGAAACATATTTAAAATCCATTGATTGTGCAAAATGTTTAATATTTTGTAATTTTGCCTTTTCTTCTAAAATTATTCTTATAAATTATCCTGTTAAAAGTAGCTTAAAAGAATTATAAAAATGTTTATATTATCTTCCATTCCTTTCCACTTTTTTTTTTCATACATGGTATTTACAACAGTGTATATAATATTTACAACATATTAATTAACACTACAGTATTTACATGCAACATAACAACACATTAATTACATAACATACAATATAACCGTTGCATTACACCATAATAAAATAACAACACTTAACATAATATTTCAATTTAAATGTTTAAAATCTGAGTTTTCCATAAAATTATCTTTAAATTGATATATTATTTATTAGTGTTAGCATTTAAATTATCTTTTTGTATGTGGCTAGGTGCAAAAAATACAGGCTTTCATGAAGTATTTCAGAAATATTCACTAAGCTGTACATGTTCTTTGGGAAAATTAATTATATTGTTTTGAACAAATGAAAAAAATAATGTCTTGCAGGACTAAATGATTGAAGTTGGTAAAAATGAGCAGTTTTATGTCAGGTTATATTTTTGTTAGAAACAACTGCTTGCATTGTACTTTTTCGCTTTTTCTCATTTGGATTTTAAATATGAACTGGATTTCCAAAGCTGTCATATGTTTTCTTATGAATACTAAACTCCACTGAATAGTGACAAATTGTGCTATTATGAGCATTATAAATTTTAATTTTTTAATTTTTATGGTTTTGAAAGAAATGGTATTTTATTTCAATTTGTATGTATCAGAATTTTCTGTGTTTCAAATATTTATCAGTATTGTTAATAATATTTATTTGCAAAGGAGTAATAATTAAAAACTACTTTGTTTTTGTTTGTAGAAAATATAAATAAGGAGTGTGTTATTGTAAATTCTAACACGGATACATCTCCTATGAATTTTACAGGTAAGTGTGATTTAATTGTTTGATTAGCACTTAAAGTATAAAACTTTAAAAAAATTCTTACTTTTTTATATTTAGTTACTTTATACAGTTTTTAATATATAAGAGCCCTAGTTTAAATTTTCTTCTTTTAGAAATATGAAATGTCTTCTCTGGTTACAAATCATTCATTCTAAACTTGTGTGAATAGTTTTAAAGTAATAGTTGCATTTGTAATGTTATTTGTTATTTTTGTTTAAAAGTCCTGTTTTATGTAATGATAATTAATTAATGTTTAATTAAATGAATAGTGTTTTGAATTTGAAGGGTGACTGTAACACTTGATAGTTTGAATACGTAAGGTGACATAAAATTGTTGGTTATTAATTTTGATCTTGCTTTGGTGAGAACAATATTATTGACCATATTATCGTTTATATTTTAATGAAAAACATCAACAAGGTACATTACAGCAATATAGCAACTGCACAATGACACAACAAATGTTAAGAGTAAACACATAGAATATTCTCATTTGGTTCAACAGTACAGTCTTACGATGAAAAGTTGCTACATGCCCCACGTGTATTTTGTTAAGAGTGCACTAAATTTTCATATCAATTATAAATGTTCAAATAAATATAAATCAATGTAATGCATATCAATTCAAAGGTTCCCAGACAAAAGCCCACTGGACGATAGCGCACGCGACAAAAGCCCACAAAAAAGAGCCCACGGCGATGAAAGCACACATTGATAAAAGCCCACACCAATAAAAGCCCACATAGATATAAGCCCACACTGATAAAAGCACACACTGATAAATGCGCACATAATCAAAAGGGACTTATGGTTTTTATTACTATAAAATGTATTTATAATTTTAATTATAATAAATGGAGTATTCAGATCTGAATTTTAATGTCTCAAATATTATTTGTTTCATTTATTAGGTTGAAAGCAAACTTTCTGCTCTCTGATTGATTAGCTATAACATTTCGATGATAAATCTGAAATTGCATTTTATTATTTATTTACTTATTTAACTTTACTATGTGTATGTGAAAATGAAAAATATCATTGTGAAGTTTCTCACATGCTATTTTTAAGGTAATATGGCTGACATTAAATATAATTATGTTTCATTATTAAAACTATTAACTTTTTAATTAAAAAACACTTGAATTTTATTTTCTTCCTTTTTAGTTTTTCCTTTAGTTGCTTTTAGTTCGTTTTAATTTGGTAATATTAAAGCAGTTAAGCACAGTGAAAACTTCGCTAAGAGATATTTTATTCTTTACTTTAGACTCAGCTTATTATCAAAGTTTAAACGTATTTCTCATTGAAAGCTTTTTTGAATGTAACAATTATAATTTGGCGATTTTCTAGAAATATTTTCTTTCAAATTTCTGAATAAATTAAAACTGTCAGCTGACACCTTGTCAGGAAATGAATTCCAAGTGTAACCTCTTAATCTTTCAACTACAACAATTGGAATAGTGTTTTTAATTCTAATTTCATTTATTTATTTATTTGTGGGGGATGGAACAACTCCTAGAAGTCAACATATCTACAAATTTAAGTAGTGCAATTATCTCAATCTATAGTAATAAATATGTAGCATTTTATTAGAGTTTGCAAAGATTACAAAGAACTATGCATATAATAACATGTAATAAAATTTTTAATTATATGAATATATACAGTCATATGATTCAAAGTTCATCATTTTTAGATGCTAAGTATAGATATTATATAAATTTCTCATTCATTAATAGTATTATGTATAGTAGTAGAAAATTAGTATTAATGTTTTGAATTGCAATTTTTTTAATAACTTGTCTTGCATTTACTGTATATTTGTTCAAGATGGTTGGATATCAGTTATAAAACATGAAAAATACACAGAAAGCAGCTAATCTTATATAACAGCTGATTGTGAGCGAAAAATTACAGTGCTCTTAATTACAGTTATAGTGCTTTTAAATCTTCCTATTGTAAATAACAGTTTTCTAATTGACATTAGATTAAATTAATTCCATTATCCATTAGAAAATAATTATACTGAATTATATCTATTGACGACGTTTCTAAGAAGTCGCCTTTTGAAAGAAACCTATATTTTTTGTGAACATCAACAAATATTGCAGTGAATATCACATTTCTAAGACCATCATATCTACAATTAAAATCCCTTAAAACCGTGAAAGGTTGCGTTTAAAGAGGACTCACTATATTTTTAATAAAACATGTACATCTTAGTTATACACATGCTGCATTTTGATTTTCTGTCAAAGCAGCAGTGTGGCCAATATTCCCTTTAACCTCCCTTTGTCAGACATATATTAGGGCACTTCCATTTGTCGCGTAAATATAATAACAAAGTTACACATATGTTTATAATTACAATTATTTTGATTGACTCTCTTAATTCAGCCGGAGCCCAAAATGAAATGTGTTCCTCTACTTAAATTTATTGTTCAATTATTTGTTATTAATTTAATTTATTTTTTATTTTATTTTTATTCATGAATCTACTTTGTGCAGCTGAAGAAAAAAGGGAAAAAATATTAATTTTAACATAGCATATATATATATATTGGTGTGGGTTTTTGTTAGTGTGGGCTTTTAGCAACGTGGGCTTTTATCTATGTGCGCTTTCAGCGGTGTGGGTATTTGTCGCGTGGGCAATTATCCCAGTGAGGTGTTTTCTGTGGTCTTTTGTCGCGTGCGCTTTCGTCCAGTGGGCTTTTGTTTGGTCACCCAATTCAAATACAAATCATTACTGAAAATTACAGTGCAAATTAGTACTGTATGGCATAAAGAAATATTATACACAACCCTCAAATTTCAAAAGGATAGATCAGTTGGTAAAGTAAAGTCCTTGAGCAATACAAATCAAACATGAATGCAGTTTGATTTGCATTGTTTGATTGAAGGCCCATCTCTGCCTTTATAAACTTCTATAATTTATAATCTATAATATCTTCTATAATTTAATATCTTTATAAGTTCTATAATTTCAAGCAGTTATAATAATTTGATTTTGTCGACTCCTTCAGCAATACAACCTCACCCTTTTTAAGATGCCTTTTAAGAGATGGATTCAGAAAACTGTGCACACTGCAATTCTAGGAGACAGTTTTCTTTCCATTGTCTTCAAATTTGTTTTAAAATGTTAGTCTGGGACAGTTTTCTCCTAGTTAAAGTCTTCCTGTTAGAGAGTTAATTCCTAAAAGGGTCGGCTAAAGGTACAGGATAAGAAACATTGTCCTGCACTGGAAACAAGAAATAGGTGGCTGGGAGAGCTTGTGGCTCTTTTGCTTAATTGTGGATACATGTCAGAGGTCTGTGATTCAAAACAAACTCAGTTTCTGATAGAATAGTCATAATTTACCCCAAGATCAAGAAGAGCCCTTCCAAGAATTTTTTTTAAAGGTTCTCTAATGCTTTTCATGAGGTTTTCATAAAACCCACCACACCAAGACACATGAGATGCATTATATTGCTAAGTTATGCCATTTATTGATATGAAATCTTTTAATTTTGAATCTATTATAATTTTTTGAAATTCTTTCAGAATTTCAGTAGTGGCTCTGAAGATCTGAATGTTGTTGGAAATGGTAACTTTAAAATTTTCTCTCCCAGCCAAAAATCTCCTCAACGACAAAATAAAACTTTTTGTGGACATATCTGTGATTATTTCAATGTACAGAGCTTTAATCACACTGCACGTGAACAATGCTATATAAGGCTTTTAAGGCATATCCTTTCCTGATTTTATTAAAACTGGGCTTGTAAGATCAGTACCAGTTACAGTGAAAGGAAGATTTTCAGTAATTCTGTTTTGGGACAATTGGCTAGTTATGTGTTTAGCTGGATTTAAACTATACTTTTAACAAATTAAGCATTTTCTTAATACCTTTTTTACAATTTGTCTACCTCATGGAATCCAAAATATAGGTTTAATTTTGGCAAGCATAAATGTCATTACACCATGAAAAATTTTATTGTGCTCCCAAATAATAATTAACTCTGAAAGTTTAGACTACACAGGACAAAGCACAGGGTGAACCTCATCCTTTGTAAATGCCTCTTCTTCTTAAGATTCCTTTTATGTAAAACACCCCTCTGCTGCCGAGAAATTGGGCTAAATTCAAATGTGGAAGTTCCTTAGGAATCAACTTACTATTTTTGATGATTTATTTTTGATTCTAAATTAAATCCAGTGATTTGCTCATGTTTTATTCAGTCTGTTTTTGCACTTTGAAGTTCTTCTAATATGAGAAGACCTGCAAAAGTGTGTTATTCTTGATTTATGTTATTTTTATTATTAACAAATCATTTAACTAGTGCATTTTTGCCTGACATCTACTTAAATGATGGGCTAATCTTGCAGATAATAAAGCACCCATTAATACAAGTCTTTGTAAGATAAAAACCTTTAGAGGAGCTACACTACTTTTAAGAATAAAGGAAAGTAATATTCATCCTCCCAATCTGCTAATATAGCTCTCAAATATAGCACTGTTTCATGAGCTAGAAGAGATGAATTTGGAAAAGAACGAATTTCAGATGAAATAAATTTACAATCTAGATTTAAAAAATAACATTAGGAATTGGGAGATCTTGTAAGTGCTAAACTTCTGTGCATCATAACTTGTGGTCCAATGAAGATGGAAGCTTGTCATCCCTGTACAGATCATGATTCCATAGTTTTTGGAGAATGCATTTCAGTTTTATAGTGAAAGGTCCGAGAAATCTGATAGGACCATAAATATGATCCACTACTCAATAAATCATTTAGAAGCAATTCCCTTCTTAAGAAAGTTTGATGGTTCATTTTTGTTGAAAGAAATACTGTCTGCACCTGGATTCTATTCTGACCCAACACCTTAGATGATGAATCAAGGTCCCTAAAGGTCATTTCTTGATATGAATTAGAACCAATATGATCAGCCCAGAAGAATCTGGTAAAATTTCTATTAATATGGAAGATCAAAATTTGCTTATGTTTTTGCTTCGGTCAAAATTTGCTAATATTATTATCAAAATTTGCTATTATTAATATGCTTGTTTTATTTCGGCTGTAAAGGAATTGTATTCTGCCAAAACTTTAAAATTATTTCAAATGGATTTGGATATAAATTTAGTCCTCTAATTAAAGTCATTAATTGAAAGCTGTCTTCCTTCATGACAAAATCTGTGAAATGCAATTCTAAGTCAACTTGTGGATTTGTATTCATGGGTTCTCACAGGCATGGGGGGATTATGTTGAATAACTGCTCAGAATATGATACTTCACTATAGGACCACAAGTTGTCAATGATACCTTTCATATGATAATCATCAGTGAATCTTTTATATATACAGTGTCTCACAAAAGTGATGGGACACTTGTGCTTTACAAAAGGAAACTTTAGTAAAATAAAATTAAAAAAACATGTAAAAATTTTTTGTGGGTGTGTTTCATACTTAAAATTTAGTAACAATTATTACATAACATACATTTTCTCAAAATATTAAAATATTAGCTTCCTCTTTCAAATTGTTTCTTTTTCTGGAATGTGATCACAGTCTCCTGCCAGCAACTTGAAACTAGATCTTCCATAACAATCTTATAAGCAGTATCTTTATCAATGCTAAGTTTATCCACTATCAGTTGAAGAAACAGATGTAATCAAGCATTTTTCATGTCTTCGCCATTCAAGATTGAAAAGGGTTCTAGGTTTGCTCATAGGTTCATCATCAATGCTTTCATGTCAATAAAAAAACTGCTGATACTAATGAAAAATATTAAATCATGATAATGCTTTATCCCCATATGCTTTACACAATATTTCAAATGCCTGCAGTGCTGTTTTTCCTGCTTTACAACAAAGCTTAACTTCTAGTTTTTACTGGGGTTTTAAATTCACAACAGCAGATGTTCAATGGATCAAAGCAAATGATTAAAGTCTGTCTGTAAAGAAACAATATTTTAGAAAAAACAAGTTCAGATGTAATTGTAATGAATGCTGTCAATTATCATTTGGCATGATTTTTGGAATTTGTTGAATAAATTATTTCTAAAACATCCTAGGTATTATTTAATTTTGTTCAGTAATAAAAGTTTAGTTTCACGAACTAACAGTATAAAGTGTTAGATCATAATGTTAAGTTTTTTAATTGAAAGTATTCTCTCCCTCCCATGAGTTGGGCCTTCAAAATAAGTTGTAAACTGAAAAGAGCAATTTATAGTAAAATAATTGTAAAAAATCTTGATGTAAAATGCTACATTTGTGTATTTATGTTAATAGGATGTTGGTTTATTTATAGTATCTAAAGCTCGACCAATTATTGAAACATCAAAGGAGCTTTCAAATTTTCTTGCATCAAGATGTGTATTGAATAATTCAAATGCATCTGACGATTCCCATCTTTCAGAGGAGAAAAGACGTAAACTTGCTAGAATGCAAGCCGTAAAAAATCTGGAAAATGAAAGCAAATCATCAGATAGTATGAATGAAGTAAGTTCAAATTATATTTATTAGAATGAAATGAGTATAATGAATGCCTGGAAAATTTATAAACTCTTAAATCCGGATCCAATACACTTTTAGCGTACCTTGTATGTAAAGGGTTTCATTCATTTTAGGGGATTATATTTACCTTTTTAGAAGTTTAGAGATGCTGGATCAGATTTCTTTTATGTTGTTTTCATGTTGCTATCATAGGGCTACTTTTTATTTTGCAGTTTAGGGCTTGAGTCCTGACAGTAATTTATTATAAATAGCTCTATTTATGTCCAGAGCAAATGCAGCATCCATTGCAACATATTACTAATTAATGATCCATTGGGTATTATTAATACTTCTTAATTAAATTCATTGCCTTAATTGCATAACTTAGGTAATGAATATCTACATATCTGAGTTATGGTATAATGCAGTGTGAATTTAATATGTAGAATTTACTGTTTTCTTTATGAATGGTCTTGTTTGCTTCTGATACATATTGATTGGCATGATATTATTCAGAGCACATCTTTAAAGTTCAGGAGATTTTTCTCGGTATTTTTATCATTAGCAGAAAAGCAGTAGTAATATTCAAGCAACTGAATTGTGCTGGGGAATTCTGAAGCTAACAACATGCAGTGTGCCACATCACAAGAAAGTGATGACTATTTTTCAACCATGCAGTGTGATATTTGTTATGCGTTTGACTGAAGAACTCATAAAATAGTCTTTTTTGAGGGCCACTTCTGATTTTGTTTTGCGAAATTGGAATTTAATAGGCTATTAAATAAAGTAATGAAATCATTTTCATTTATGTACTTTCAATTAACTGTATTTATTCTCATATTTAAAATCTGTGTTTTAATTTCCTTTCTAAGAAATAACTATCTAGTGGTAGATATACAGTACAAAGTCCGTAATCCGGATGTCCATTATCCGGAATGATCTATAATCCGGGCCTAAAAGCCACAAACCTTTTTTTTTGTGTGTGCTTTATGCATGCGCATAAAGAATGTGTGCACATACATTACACACGCTACGCATGTGCGTAATGTATGCTGTACGCATGTGTGCGTTGAAAGAAATGTTTAATAAAGTAAACAAATAAATATGAAGTTTTTTTTTTTTTTTTGTAAAATTTTATACCCTTTAGATCATAATTGCTCTATTTCATAAATTACGGTTTCATATTTTTAATTTCATAATTTCTGCATGCTATCTTACCAGATTTAAATTGATGATCTATAATCCGGAAAACACCCTAATCCGGAATCGCCGAAGTCCCGACGAGTCCGGATTACAGACTTTGTAGTGTATAGTGGTAGATACAGCAAATATATATTTAAATGTAGATACTAATATGTGATTTTTTTATAATTTCAATACAATTTCTTTTTAATATTTACATATTCAATTCAATGAATAATTATTATCAAAATCATTCACTAAATGATATAACTTCATGCAATTTTTAATTTAGATTTGCAATATATCAACAATAATCCACTGACTTTAAGTGCTATTGTAATATTATTGTTGCAGAAATCTTTAAGATGAAATGCAAATGTTTAAAGTATTCTTAAATTAGTTATATATGAATTATTTTTCAGGGCATGCAACATTTCTTCAGAGAAAGGCAACGAGACTTACTCAGCATTGAATCTTACATTCAGAAAAACAAATCTGAATTAATACAGTCCTTACTTCATACTTCTGTAACTTATGAAAAGGTCATTTACCCTGTGATTGGAAATAAGTCCTTTTTTGAATTCGAGCTTGAAAATCCTTTTAAGGAGACCAGAAAAGTTACCATTTCTTGGAGATGCTCAGAGTTAAGGTTTGTTCTATAATATTAATTTGATTTATGATGTATGTCTAGAGGAAAAAGATGTGATATATTCAAAATGAAATTTCTTGTTAATCATACAAACAGAAATTCCCACACAATTTAGTGATACTAAAATGTTTATTTTCACTAAATTGTGTTAAAATTTACTTCCTTGTATGAAGTAAAGGAAGTTTTGTAATTGGGAAAAGTTTCACTATCATATTTCAAAGGAAATATCCATTTTGACTATTTCTGAACACATTTGTTGATTTTTTTGCATGACGTCAGATGGATAGAATAAAGAACTCTTTTTTAGAAAACAGATTGTAAAATAGATTTAAAATTGATTCAAAAGGGACTCTTCTGTAGTATCCGTACATATGTATGAGTGTATATAGTGTATATATACAGGGTGTCTATAATTAAAGAACTCTAGTCCAAAGCAGGGATGAAAATTTCTTTCAGCGAAAAAAAAAAAAAAAATAGTTACAAATAGCATCGCTAAAGGGCATTTTAAACTGTAGTAAAAAAGCAAATCTTTGTTGTCATACAGAAGCTGTTATAAAACCGAGAAACATTCATGGAGATTTTGTTTTCAACGTGCATGTTGTTCATAATGATGATAAGTATACAAGATCATCCTATGTTAGTAAAACTGTTCTACCAAAACAGTAATTCCGGAGTAGATGCTCTATAATTTCAGACTCTGAAAGAGATTCTAACAGGTCCAGTAGAAAACTTTCAAAAAAATTATAATGAAATTTTCCATTCATCCTGGAAGAGGAAGAAAAACCTATTTCTGCAGAAGCAGTATAGGAGGTTGTGCTTCAGGTCATAGAAGACACAGCTTCAAACTTTCAGTCTAACACCAGTGTCTGGCATATATCAGAGGCACTGAATAGATCACTTTCAACTATCTATAAGATCTTGTAGAATATCCTGTGATATTATCCTTACAAACAAAGTGCTTTGCATGCACAATCTTTATGCAAGTTAGAGCTCCTCCACATATTGCATGGTGTGTTAAGGAGGTTCTTAAACGTCATTTTACAGAAGAACATTTCATTATCCAGAACATTCATAATATGTGATGCCCCCACCTTGATCCCCAGACATCAATCGATGCAATTTTTGGATTTGGGGATATTTGAAACATCTGGTAAGTCATGACAATCCAAGAATTGTATCTGATCTTAAAGTTAGTATTTCACATCATGTGCTGAATATTTCCCAGTGCACACTTTTGTCAACTGCCATCTTGGATTTCAGATGCTAGCTGAAAATGATAGCCATCATGTGGAATATTTTTTTTTGTAACAAAATTTGTAAAATTGCAAAACTATTGCAAAACTATTGTAAGTGTCTAAATGTATAATTTATTAATATAATGCTTTCTGGTGACGCTATTTATAACTATTTTTTTTTCCCTCTAAAACCTCATTCCTTCACCAAGTCTGCCACAAAATTTCACAATTTTCTGATCACTGGTTTCACTTGTAGGCAGCTTGGAAATAGGGTTCTTTTATTATAGACACCCTGCATTTCACATAACTCAAAAACGATTAATTGTAGAACATTGAAATTTTGTATATGGGACTGCTTAAACATTTAGTTGTGCATCTCTTAAAAAAAAAAAAAAAAAAAAAAAAATTGCAGGCAGCAAAACCATATAGTATATTATGTATATATATATATACATATACCCATCCCCTTACCTGGCTTGAAATTCCTTACCTGATCTCCATTTTTGCGATCTTTAATTGTAATCATATGCTTCCAGTTACAGATGTGTTTTAAAAATGATGAAAATCATGTTTTAGCAATGTCAAATTTTAAAAAAGTTAATTTTCGACAAATAACAAAATCTAACTACATATATAATAATAGTTTGTATATGTAGTTAGTTTAACAGTATTTAATATCAGTTTATTGTTGTTCTGAAAAGAATATTTAATAGGCCCTGCAAAAAAGTTGTGGTGTTCACATTAGATTTTTTGATTTTGCAATGGAAAAGCTGAATTTTTGTTTTAACACATTCTAACACTTAAGAATCATGAGAAATATAATGCACTTTTACATTTTTAAATATTTTGTCAAAAATGATTACTTTGGATTTAGGCAATCACATCCATATCCTGTTTTTTCTGTTTTTTCTTTTCTTCAGAATTTGTTATTTGTAAGCTTCAAATTATGATGAATATTTAAAATATAATTTTGTATGTAATACTGTAAATGTACTTTTTACATAGCTTTTATTTCTTTACAAAGTTATACTATTGTTATGAGGATTTACCTTGGACTAGAAAATTCTCAACCATGCTCATACTGAAAACTTGGTTTCTAGACATAAGCAGAGACTTGAGATTCTAGAACATGTTTCTGGCAGCGGGCTGTCTTCCTTAGTTGATAAACTGAAAAGGGTTTAGCTCATTAGTGCTAGAATTATTACTGGCCTCCATAAGAGCTCTCCAAGAGACATCATATTATACAAGGGTGATCTTCAACATTTCAGGCTTAGGTACCTTTCGAGGCTTAGGTTTTTAGGCTTAAGTACCTCTTGGCTAAATATTTTGCAAAAATGGAAATCTTCAGAGATTAGTTCAGAACTTCTAAATTGATGCATAACGCTATGAATAGTAACTGCCTCAAGTGGAAGAGTGAGAGTGAGGATTTGCTGTGAAGTAAAGTGAAGCATGTCTCTCTGTTCAGCTGTCTCGATCCTAGTTTCTCCTTTTTAGGCAGAGTCTTTGTAAACTCTGAAGTCAGGTGTTATGTAATTAAAAATACTCGTCATCAGTTTATCTTAAAGAACTGCTTCTGATCATGATTGGTATTCTTGCAAATAACCTGGTGCCAAGGTACTTGAAGCAAGAAGCAGAGATTTATCCAAACTGCACTGTTTAGATTCTGTAGCAGCTACCTATGTCAAGAGAAATACATGTTTGGTCATTAGGTTTATTTTCTTTGCCACAGGTGCAACTCACCACAGGTCATGCTTCTGTGCATAGGCTACCTTAGAGATTAAATTTATTCTATTTAGAAATTAGATCTGGATTTCCCGAATCTCATGAACTCATAGATTTGATCTGATGTTATTGTAAGACAAATGAGATAAACACAATACAAATACAAATATTATTAATTAATACAGAGGTAACTGAACTTAAGAGTTCTCTTTAGTATTATGTAAAATGGTTAACATAAGCAGAAAGAGAAAAATAATTGCACATTTGTAATTCATAACTTTTAATACAGTAAATGTAATATACCAGTGAATTTGAATTTTAATAATTAATGCATGAAAAAAGGGAGAAAATGTGCATATTTGTTTATTAGAAATTATTAATGTAACAGGCATTCATATACCAGTTAACTTTCATTTTAGTAATTTTAAAATTTAATCTTTGTTTAGCTAGATTTTCATTTCAGTAGCCTTTAGGAAAGAAACTTACAGAATATATGAATTCAGTTTATGCATAAAATATGTGTTTTAATTCTTTGAAAAATTATTGAATGTTTTGACAGACTTAAAATTTTAATGTATGTTTGTTCATCAGTGTACCTTAAAAATTTTAAGTATATAAATTTTAAGTATTTTAAGTTTATTTTAAATTTATGTATTATTTTTATCCTTCTCCCTTTATTTTTAAAATATAAATTTCATTTTATTTTTATTGATGTACATAAAAATGTAGTCTCTGCCTTCAATGCTTATTTGCAATTCACTGGAAATATTATTGATTTTTTTTTTTTTTAAACTTTTGACTGTAGTTTGGTGGTTGACTCTGCTCTGTGGCAGATGTTGAGAAACATGCATAACATTTCTCAAAAAGTTGATTTTCTGTCATATGGTGATAATAATCAACAAGTATCATCGATTTTACTTCAGCCAAGAGAAAAAGTATATGTGCCTTTCACTTACCAGTGTTTGACAGCACAGCCTAGTCAATTGGATTTATTCAAAGTATTTATGCTATGAAGTTTTTTTTACTTTATTCTGCCTACCATTGTCTCATTATTACTAAAGTTTCTGTTTATTATAAAAAGTGTTTTAATCATTGATGCAAGATTATTATATGTATCTATAAAACATGAATCAGTAATCACTATGTATGCATATAAGCATGCATCAATGATATTTATGAGTTACTCCGTACATATATAATTACTTCTATGTTAATATTTTAGAAATACTGCATTGAACTATTTCATGGAGCTACAGCTCCTGGTAACTTTTTAGCAAGCTCGCTACAATATTTCTTCCTATTATATATATATATATATAAAGAAACATAGTAATAGTAGTAGTCCAAAAAATTTTAAACTAGTCCTGAAACTTTAATTTATTTCCCCCTGATGAGTTCTGAATCAGAGTTTTGGTAAAAAGAGATTAATTTTTATATTTTATAATTTTATAATTTTGTATATTTTCTCCTTTTTTTTGCATTTTTATTTTTCAAGTTTGTTCCACTGATGAATTTTATTTTAATTTTGTTATGTTTACATACAGTGTCTTATCCATGGTTGCAATTATTAATATTGTTGAGGAATTGTGTTGCTTTAATTTCAATTTAATTTTAACTTTAGATGTGTATATATATATATATATATATATACAAAGTAATAAGGAGTTCAATCCTAATCCAGTTGCATGTTCGCAACAACATGTGGTGATAATAATGCAAAATAAAACAAAAGACATACATTTAAAATTCATCACATATTCAATTCAGAATAAATCATGTGCCCCTCCCCCCCAAAAAAAAACAGAAGCACATAAGCAAACTGCAAGAAATAGTGGGAAAAACATGCCAAAACCAAAAATGAAATATGAAATTTATACCTTTTGCTGCATCGTCATCAGGGGTTTGTGCAATGATTTCCCGTTTGCCACATGGGAAATAATTTTTATTAAAGTCAGTTAATGTAGTATTCTTGATTTTGTCTTCAGAACAAGGCTGTTTCTAGTTCAATTAATTCTGATTTTAAAGAAAGTGGTCCTAGTTTCAAACGGAGAAGAGAAAATTCGCATGTTTACTCCTTGATTTTTAAAATCACTGAACCTGATGTTGAATTCTTGATTCAAAGACTTCAAGTCATCTGCAAACAATTCACAGTCAGAATCATTTTGTGGTTCTCAGGTATGGGAAAATGGTAAATATTACCTTCTCTTAATTGACTTTCTTAAAGCTCATTCTGAAATGATTTGTTATGTCCTCGTAAAATGATAATGAATCACTGTTCCTGAGTTTGTAACTTAGTATTGAGTTCATTGAGATATTTTAGTAATGTCGTTAAGAAAGTAAGATCACACAGCCAGTGTTTGCTTTCTGTCTCATGAATAGGTTTTCTTTTCACATACAGCAGAAAAGATACCTTATCTTTCAAATCATAAAAAAATTTTCAACATCTTTCTTTTATGTAGGCAACACATTTAGCAGTAAAACATGAGATCTTCAGGCTCAAAATGAATGTCAGCAAGAAATTCTTGAAATTGATGGTGGTTTAGTATCCTCAATTTAATGAAATTTATGCCACAAGTTTGATTGATTTTGCACACAAGTTTTCTTTCTGTATTAGTGAAACACAGAGGAAACTTTTGTATTGGTTTTGTTATCAAGTAACTCTGATTTTATTTAGGCAACAGCTTCTATGTTTTGTCCGACTATTCATGGAGCTCCATCAGTAGATATTATGCTTAGCTTTTCCCACTTTAGATCTAATCTATAAAAGCATTTTTTACTTCCTGAATGATATCTTTTCTCTTTCTCCAACCAATGAAGGATACAAGATCCTTCATTGATTGGAGAGCAAGCAGTTCTTCTGTGCAGTTGAAGTTGGCATCAATTCTGTGAATAAATATAGCCATCTGAGCAATAGTCTGTGCTCTCATCAGGAGTAAGGGAAAATGCTTCAAATTTTGATGAGATATGTTTTATCTTTAATTTTATGTCACTGGCCATTTCATCAGTTTGTCTGATTACTATATGAGAAAGACTATCTTTTCACTTTTATTGCCTTTGTTGTGACACGGCACACTTTCATGATAGCCATAAGGCATTCTTTGACAAACTTACCTTTGGAATATGGTTTTGAGTGATTTACATTTTTTTATTAATTATTAAGCTTGCACAAACAATGATGTTAGCTGCATCATTATATTTGCAGTACAGCATCAATTGTACAGATATACTGTATCTCAAATTTTGTATCTTATATATTCTCAGTTGACCTTTTTTATAACTGTTGTAATTAACATGTTTCAGATAGTTATATATATATATATATATATATATTTTAAGTTGTATTCCATCAAGACTGAAATAGTGTCCCAACATATGAAACAAAGAGGGTTTTCCTTTTGCATTACAAACAAATAATCCTAAGTCCTCTTCTCTAGAAATATATGACTCTCAGCAACTATTTTTCTCTTCTATGATGAAGCCATCTTAATTAGTTAGTGCTTGGTCACAGATTCACAAATGTATGAAAGTGAAACCACAGGTTGATATAGCATAGAAAGTAGTAACTACCTACAACAACAGTTTTAGAACAACAACAATTACAGAACAGTGAACATGAACAAACTAACAGCAGCAGAAGAGTCAGAAGAACAATAAAGCCACTGACCACTGACTGCTAGCAAACAATGACAGTTAAAATGCAAAGTTTAAAAAATTGTGAAAATAAGAATTTTTACAAAATTATTCATTACTATTACGAGCATTTGTTGTGCAGATGTAAGCAATTAATTGACCTAATTTAATGATATTTTGAAGAGCAATTGTGGGCTGTGTGTTGCACGTCTGCTTTCTCTCTCTCTCTCTATATATATAGTATATGTATATATAACTCATTATCTTCTTAATATAATCTATTTTACATTTTTGGTAAATAAGCGCAATGTATGTTTTTAATTGGATAAAAAATTAAAATTAACAATTATTAGTCAAGAACATTGATGAATTTTCTGTTTACTTAAATGAAATTAAAACTTTTCTTGACATAGATTTAACGAGTTTAATTGCATATTAAAATATGCACATAAAATCGCATATTAAAAATTCACATAAATTGCATGTTAAAAATTCGCATGTAAAATTAATCACATTATTTGTAATTCCAAGCAATATTGACTTTATTATTTGTGCATTTTTGTCATTTTATTTTGCATTTATTCTTAAGTTTCAACAATAAATTTTCATTCTCTTATTCATTTCTCTCTCTCTCTCTCTCTCTCTTTTTTTTTTTTTTTTTTTTTTTTTTTTTTTTGTGTGTGTGTGTGTAAAGATTTTTAATGTGTTAATTAGATTTCAACTGTTTCTTTCAGGCCACTTCTGGTCACCATTTCTCTTCAGATATGTTAGCTTCGGTTCCTGTATCTAATAGTTTAGAAATCCGGTATGTTAAGGTAAGCCTTAATTTAGCATGCATTTTAAATATTCCTTGTGCAGTAATTCAGTGTAAGATCATATAGCTTCAAATTTTCTGATCCATATTTTAATTATTTCTAAATAATTTACTGGACGTTTGATTAATGTGTTTATTGCAAAGATTTTTTCAAATAAAACTTAGACAGGACTAAATAATACAGTGGTCACCACAGAAGGATTATCATGCATATAAACGTGGGAAAAAAAAAAAGAAGGGGGGAAAAAAAAAAGGTTGTGTCTTATTAAAAAGATTGTGCCTGTAGTAAAAAGTATTAATTTTTCTCTATATTTATTTAATTTTAATAAAAATATAGATTGTAACATTAAGATTTTTAAATCCAGTTTCTTTGTGTGTGTTTGCGAATCTTTTTTATGAAGTATTTTAATTTGTTTGTCATGGGAACATGACCCATTTCTCTAAGAGAATCTCTTAATTTTTTTTTATAATCTTCATATCAGGTTCACCATTCTAGTGTATTAGGTTATAACACATGTTAATTATAGTGGAAGAGATGTAATTAACTTCATAAAATAAATCAGTAGCTGTCTTCACAACATGACAACTTTTATAGTTAACAAAAACAAGTTACAAAAAGGAGACATGCTAACATAAGTGTAACTGTCGTACTGATATACAGATATGGTTGTAGTTAGTTACATACAGTTTCTTTTTAATTAAAGTTACAGTTTTAGGTATATGAAATAATGCAGTTAAATAATCAAGTAAGAGTTCAGAAGTTAGTTATTTTTAAACCATCACAGTATTCCCCCTCAAGTACTATAGGTACTGCCACATCTTGCGTAATGAGGATTAAATCTCACTAGTTTACCAGAATGAGTATTTTTCTTCAGTGGTAAAAATAGTAGTTTGCGTGATGACCCCTCTAAATTAATGGTCTAGGTTGTTGAACTATCGCTGTGAATAACTGGTGCTGTTGGCGAACTGTCACTCGGAGTAACCAGAGTGGTAAGCTGTCACTAGGAATAACTGGAGGAGTCGGGGATAATTTATATTGAGTAGTGAAAGTTGGCTTCAAATAGTCAATTTCAATAGCATATTCTTTTTCATTTATCAGAATGGTGAAGTGCTGATCAGTCCATTTGATAATGTGATAGCAAACATTAAATGGCTGTGTCAGTGGTGCTCTTACTATATTATTGTGCACAAAAATGTGAGCGCAAGTCTCTGGGGTGCATAAAACAGAAAGGTTTAATTTGTGCAGAAGTAGGAGTAGGAGATAATTTCTGCATAATGTTGCACACCTGCTGGAGGAAAACTGCAGGATCCATTTGCAACAAGTAGTTAGAGGCCTGTAACAATTCTCCTGATATTAACAAAGTTATTTCGTAGAGCATCTCAGAAGTACCAGCAATTCCTCTTTGAAAGCTGAGTGGAGGATAAAAAGGACTGTCAGTAAGTTTTTGTTTAGCATGTGTTAGGATGACACTTTAAAGCTCAGTGAAATTGTTCAACTAGTCCATTGCTAGATGGGTGATGTAAGGATTTTAGTTTTTTTGTTTTGTTTTGAATGTTGGAAGTTTGAATGTTGTGAATTCCTAAAATCTTTTTGAGAGAAGGAATTGAATGAGATTCAATGTCATCCCTGGTCCATAGCTATAATTTTTTGGATTCAATCTGTAACAATTGTCTGAGTGCCTATGTCGGCTGTAATATCCTGCACATGTATCACTTCATGCTATTGAGAAAAATGACTTATAAAGGTGACAGAATGAGTTAATCCCTCTGAAAGGTCTCACAATGTCAAGGCAAATGTGCTCAAATCTTTGAGAAACATCAGGAAGCGATTGTAAAGAGGTATGAATTTGTCAATGAATTTTCAACTTCTGACAGTCTATGCATTACTGTGTCTGATTTGGTATGCCTTTTAATTTACCTGGGCGCACAAAAAGTTCTTTAATATCATATTACACAATTTGATAAAAGAAGACCTACAATTTTGAAACAGTTAAATAATTAATTGGAATTCCAATATCTCCAGAAAAATTATTGCTAATACTATTATTAATCAAACAAAAATAATAAAAAATATTTGCAATAGCAACAATGATTTTGCAAAAGAGCTTAGTTTATTAATTAAAAATTCTAAAAGATAGTAAAATTCCACATAATTTCATCAGGGAAAAAACAACACAGCTAGCTAAAATACAACTGTTAATCTAAGAATTATTTTCACTACTGAACTGCTGTTTTCATGATAAGCTATACCTAAACCATTACGGCAGTATAGTTTGGATGCACTTAACACAGTTGAATTATGCATTCTTGTCAAATTCTAACTTTAATTATAATTTGAGATTAGACTGTCTAATAGTTTTTTATCTCTTGTATTAACAAAATATACCTACTTCAGCTTTCAAGTATCAAGGAAGCCCTCTTGGGTGAGTTTCATATTCTGTAACATTTGACAACTTCTTTTGTTTTCTGCCTTTGTTTTCTTTTTAGGTTAGCTTTAATTTATAACATTTATTCTAAAGTCCTGTTTTACATTCCTTAAGGTTTACATTTACATTCCTTAAGGTCCTTAAGGTTGCTCACAACTTTGCTCTCAGTTTACTTGACACAGCCCTTACTGCATTTTAATTTTATGGTATATATATTATTCACAATTTTAAAAAAATTTTTACTTTTTCAAAAAAAATTTTTATTGTCATGTATTATAAGTAAAAAAAAATATTATTTAAACACTACAGCTTATTGCATTAAATGTAATAACCTCTACAACGTTTTTCTTTCAGTGAATCGAAGTAAGTGAATACTTCTCTTTAAATGAAACTGAGATGATTTTGAGATTCATTTTCCAGCAAATTATACTTCACTTAAACACAAACTGGCAGTTTTGGGATTTGTAAACTATCTAACTTGTTGATTCCCCCCTCCCCCCCCCCAAAATTTTTCTTTTGCTTCTGCAATATAAGGTTTTTTAATTATTTTTACTGAGTTTTACCATTTTACATTTGTAGTTTATCTCAACACACGTTTTTAAGCTTTGCTACTATACAGGAGTAAATAAATATATTTTGTCATTAAAAAATTGTGTTGGTCTTGTGTTACAGATTTTAAGAAGTTACTCATCTAATTCTTATTTTTATATTATATTTAATATTTTTAGATCAAATTAGCATTTTTTTTAAAACTTTTGTTTATGTTGGATTACTTCTGTTTTACGTGTTTTTGGACTTGGTCAGCTTAAATAAAAGAAATTGTATTAGATTTTTAAGCTTTTGTGCACTTTTATGAATTATGCTTTTATTTTTATTTTTTAAACTGACCTGTATATTTTCAAAATTTGTATTTAATTTGGTTTTTCCAATTTCTGATTAAAATTTTGCATATGGTTTTGTTTTTTCAAGTGTTAGATTATTATTTTTGCAAGTTTTGTTTTTGGATTCAATCCACTCAATTTTTTAAAATTTGTTTATTGTTTTGCAATTATTTTAATATGTCTCTCTTTCTTCTCTCTCTCTTTTTTTTAATGCTTCAATTTTTGCACTGCTTACTTCAATCTGTAAGGATTGGACTGATAAAGACAGAGATTACTTTGATTGTGTTTATAGGTTATTGCTTTTCTAAGATAATTTTTAGGCTTTAACAGGCTACTTTATTTATTTACGTCTTTCGTTAGGCTCGCCCCCAAATGATGATGCAGCAAAAGATGCAAATATATATATATAAGCGAAATACTAATGACTCATCATGAGATCTCCAAAACTGTACACCCGATTGACTTGAAATTTTGCATAGTTACTTATTCCATGATGTAGACAAGCACTAAGAACAGATTTTATGTAAATCATGCCCAAAATGGATTTTTGTTATACAGTAGAAGTTTCTCATACATTTGGTTTTCAAATACAAGTTCAGAATTTTCTTTTATTGTTGCCAAAACTAGATATGAAATACAATGTTGCCAATGAATGCATTTTCCTTTAAAATTATTAAATTGGTAAATAACTTCCATCTATCCTATGAAACAACATTTAAATGATAAGCTTAATAATAACATTTATATTTAACTGTTATCATAAGTTTCATGAAAATAAATGTTATAATTAAGAGAAATAAATTATTGTGATGAAAAATAAAAATGTTGTTGTTATTTATAAAAGATTGCCATACATAAAAAATCAAGGACAAATAATTATAATTGATTAAAAAATTTGATAACAAAGATAATAACATTTATTTTCATGAAACTTTTGATAACAGTTAAATATTGTAGCGAAAAACCAGTTTTATATGAGTAGCTCTTCATTCAGTTCGAGTTAATAAAAGTCTTGAGTTTAGACTTGAGTACTTGCCTGTTTATTTGTAGAATCCCCTCATCTACGCGACAATATATATAAACCTTAGTTTTATGTTGGCAATTTTTTGTGGTGTAGGCCTACTGTGGGTCCCGCCACCCTAAATAATGGGAACGCATCCCAATACACAGGGCCACATGGATGATGGAAAAATCTGCGTATGACAGATTTTCCTACTTTAAATTAAAAAAAAAATTACATTGATTATCAATTCAAAATTAGACATTTGATCCATATAAGAAGTCTAGGTTCACATTCAAATAGATAGTGTGCCCAGCAAAGCAGGCGGGTATCATCTAGTATCATTATATCATTTTTAATAAACACACACATATATATATAATTTATTTTATATGAGAATTTTTACACACACCCATATATATGTATATATATAATTTATTGTATATGAGAATTTTTACTGTTAAAAATTATTTCTGTTATCTTCAAATGCATTATTATGTTTTTTATATTTTGATTTACTCTGCAGTGGAATGATATAAACTTAGAAAGAAATAAATAACTGAGCTCTTGGTCTTTAAAAAAAGTATTGACTATGAATGTAACTTATTTCATGAATGTTTGTTTTATAGATACGCTTTGTTACTGAAGATCAAACACTTCTTGCATTGTTAAATTTAAAAATCCAGCCTCTTCCTCCATCATTTACCCATGTTTTTAAATTCCTTTCCATGGAACACTCTGTGTTTAAGAAAAGCATTAGAATAAATACAGGTACTATTACTATTTTTTTTCTCTTTTATAAATTATTCTGTAAATTCTGTAAAATCCTCAGCCTTATGGTTTGTTTTCAGTCAAAAATTAAATGACTTGTGCTTTATCAGATGTGAATCATCTGAGCAGGATTAAATGAATTATAGACTTAAAATATATAAAACTTTAAATTTAAGACTGTTTTAATTATAATTGCATAACTATGCTTAATATTGCATAAAAAATTAAAATTGTACCAGTCATTTTAAGGCAGCTGAGTTGTACAATGATTAAAATGGAAATAGAGATATTATTTTTTCTTTTATAATTTCATGCTAATTTCATATTTCATTATTAGAAGAAAAAATGCTATTTGGGTGCTTCTTTATTTTTATTTATTTATTTATTTTTGTGAATTAATTTATTTAAATTCTGATAAGATAATTTATCTCTGTTCTACTAGATGTCTTCGTGTATCAAAAACAAAATGGCATTGCTTTGACAAATATGTAAAACATCAGACAATGAAAAATTTTGTTAAATTGATAAATTATCGGAATTTATGCATCTCTACCATAAAGTAAAATATTAAGTTATTCCGAATTTGTTTACCATTAGAAAAGTTTTTGTTTGAAGTTTCAATGCCAAGAGTGAATATCAACAAGTTAGTTAATATAAGTTGACACAATCTAGCATATTTTTGAATGAAGCATATTTTTTAGTCTATGGATGCAGTATGCATTTTAAATGATTATCGTCTCATTTAAAATGCAGAAGTTGCCCACCACTAATATAGATTACTGAAAAACATGTGCATTTGTTTTGTTCAATGATATTAAATAAATTAATTAATGTTTCATTATATCAGTTTCTTTAAATTTAATGCACATTTAGAGTAGTTAAATATATATTTTCTCTGTGCAGATGGTATTGTTGGTACTAAAACTATTGTGCTGTCATCAGATTCAGAAGTTTCTTGTACCATACAGGAGTCTCAAGATTGGGAAGGAGATGTTAATGTACACCTTAAGGTTTGTTTTATAAATCTGTATACCTAAAGTTACTTACACAGATATTACTTTTTATAAATTGGGAAGGTTTAGTTACTTTAATTATTAGTATTAGCTGTGTGCATATAAATGAGTATTAGTATGACTGTTAATTTTATAACTCTCAGAAGCTTAATTATATGAATTAGTAAAACCATAGAAGTTAAATGCCATTTTTATACATGAATATAAGGAAGAATATCATCATCATCCATCAACCATGGCATGACAGCCCAGGGTGGGCCATGTTTTCCTGAACTGGACATTTCCAGCCACCTCTACTAGCAGCCATACTCCTCCAATTCTTAGTTTTAAGGACTAAACAATCCTCTTCTACAGCATCTATCCATTGAAGTCTAGGTCTTCCTCTTCTTGTGTTACTTGGGCTAGCTGATACTATTTCTTTTAGTATGTTGCTGTCATTCATTAAATGGCATGCCCAATCGAATTCAGGCAGCTTATGTTATTTGAAAATAATCCTTGATAGGAATATTTGGTGATTGATGCAGAAATGTAGTATCTGCACTGCTAGCCATTAAAATTGCTACACCATGAAGGAAAGCAAATATAAAAAATATATTTATTTCATGTAAACTGTATAGCATGAAGCCAAAATGATTAAATTTGTAAGCATTTACAAGGTTTACAGGGGTGCAAAATTAGTAGAAATAACTGCCACCCCTGGCAGCTAAAACGACCCTTACTCCACTAGGCATGGAGTCAAACTGGACTTGGATGACAGAAATAGGCAAGTCATTCCATGCTGCTTCAAATCTATGCCACTTTTCATCAACTGTATTAACTAGAGAGGGGTGGCGGGCCAGTCTCTCAGCAACCTATGACCAGATGTTTTCAATGGGTGGCAGATCTGGAGAACGTGCAGGCCAGAGCAGCAATCGAATACATCGAGGGAGATCAGAACACAATGTGCAAAATGTGGTCTTGCATTTTCTTGTTGGAACATGGTGTTTAGGAGCCTTCAAGATAGGGCACAACCACTGGACGTAAGATGTCAGAAATGTACCCATCTACGTTCAAAATATCATCGATTTAAACTAGAGATGTGCATATCGTGTACCCAATGGCTGTCTAAACCATCACACCAGGTGCAGGGCCCCTGTGCCAATATCGAATTCAAGCAGGTGACATGCGGTCTCCTCGGATACTCCAGACACGTATACGGCCATCGGAATACTGCACGTAGAATCAGGACTTGTTTGAAAAGGTGACCCTGTCACGCCTGTACCCAGCTTTGTCATTTGGTGCACCAGATTCACCATCTTGCTCTATGCTGCATTGTGAAGGGAAGCCAAAGTAAGGGTCACCCTGCTGATATTCCACGCTGCTGCAAATGTCGATGCGCCTTATAAGCTGATACTGGGCATGCTGCAAACATGCCCATTTCCTGACTAATGGTCCGTGATGTGGTCATACATTTTGCAGAGCTGACCTCATAATATGTCTATCCTCTCTGGCGTTAGTCATGGGAGAGCATTGAGATCCTGCATGCTGTTCAGTATGATTCTCAGCAATCCATTAATTCCATATCCGCATGATAGTAGTTGAATGTCGACTAGTGCGACTAGCGATATCATGTAACAATAATCTACATTTTGATAGGCAAAGATCCTGCCTGTATCGAATTTCGAAACTTGCTGGTAATCATTTCCTCTTCTTATTTGACACATAAGATGATATTCTGAGGAAACTCCAACCTTACAAAGCACTTTTTTAGTGAGAAATCCACTAACAATTTTTCTTTTATACAGTGCTTCAGATGTTGTTTCTCCCTCCTGCATCATCTAAATGCATCTAAATTTTGACGTTCATCAGACCATTCTTTTCTAGTGCTGGAATTTTAATGGCCAGCAGTGTATATCAGTATTTCAAATTTCTGTAATATAAAGTGTGTTATATTTTTTTGTTCAGTGATGAAGAATAATTAAATGTGAAAATAGTTAATACTTACTTCAGTCAGACTACTTGTCATTTCAGACTTTCCAAAAGCAAAATTATCATTAACTATTTGTAGAGGTTATGATTTTAAAGTTTCTTTACAGGTTCTTTAACTCTTGATGCAAAATCCAAATCTAAAAAGGAAATCACTTCAGCAGTAATTGTTAATTTATTTTTATTTATTTATTGTTATCTTATTATTTCAGGCACCTACTAAAGCTTCTGGTAAATGTCGAGAGTTTTATATCTTCATTTATAAAGATAAATATCAGATTGTTTCAGTGCAAACATGGATTGTTTCAATTTGTCCTCTTCAAAGGATTGATTTGACATGCATAGCTGGGCAGCTGATGCGATCGTCTTTGTTAATCAGGTATATTTTTTTACTACTAATAATATGATATCAGTTGTTTAGCTATAGGTAGGTAAGATTAGGCAATAAGTAAGGGCCCATTATTTTTTTTTTATTTTTGAATATTTGAAAAGCAATTTGTTGCCAAATCCATATTTGATATTTTATATGCACAGATTTAATTAAAAATTTTTATGAGTGAATTATGTTATAAGTGTTTTATAATCTCTTTTCAAGTAGTATTAAAATTAGAAATAAAATTGAATTCCACAGTAACCTTTCTTGTTTGTCATTAATTCCAGTGCTGTGCAACGAATTCTTTTGTCTGCACATATTAGCCTATCTGCAGTATAGTATAGTAGCATAGTAAACAAATATAAATACACAGTCTAACTAAAACTAGCCAGTTTTGTTTATGATAACTATTTCGTATTTCTTTGTTTTTATATTTTAGTTTAAGAAGGTGTTGAAGCACCGCAAAAAATTTCTGTCACTAACCCAAACTAGCCTATGTATAGCAATATGCTACTTTGGGTTAGATTGTGTATACTCATTTGATGAAAGGGGCAACCGGGATAGCTAAGTGTCCATGTTCTGTCAGTTATTTAGTTATGCAAACTCTTAAGAACTGCTTTATTAGTTATTGATTGGAAAATAAAAATCTGAAGAAATATTAAAGTAATTATAATAATTGACAAAATACTATATATATTATTAATTGAAATGGATAACATAAAACAAAAGAATCAGACCCAAAAATCAGAGTCGTAGCTAGGGTTTTCAGTGCCCAGGGACAACTGAAGATTTCACGCCCCCTACTGCTTGCCAAGGATGAAAAACATTTAATTCTAAAATGTCACAATATCAGTTTGGTGCCCCTTGGATTCTGTGCCCGGGGAAAGATGCCCCCCTTGCCCCCCTATAGCTACGCCCCTGCCAAAAAGGAAGAATGGGCATCAGAAAGGAAAAAGTTGTCAAAATTAGAATAACTTTGTTACTAAAATGTCATACTCATAAAAAGCTTCTTCAGTACATATTTCCCCTGCCAGTAAAATTGAAAAGTCTGAACAAAAAACTATTTTATCCACTGAAGTAACCTTTTGTGGGCATAGAGAAGATATAAGTAACAGTTATAATGGCAATTTTTTATCACATGCTATATTATTAAGTAAATATGAGAATGTTTCAAAACAAATTTTTTTGAAATACCAGTATGAAATGTGCAATATTTGAGATCTACTGTATAAAATGAATTAATTCAATGTACTGGTTATAATTTAGAACAAATTTTGGTAAACTAGGTAAATGCATCTTCCTTTAATTCAGCCTTTTACTTTTTTTCATTGCTCATCTCACAATTTAACTGCATCAATAATGATACTGTACGTGGCTGTAAAGAAATTACATCATTTTTTTTAATATATTACAAGATATATATTTATTCTGTGTAAATAAGTATAAATGGTTCGTATTTGTTAAAATTTTGCATCCAGCTGAGAAATATCTATTAAAAAAAACTGACTTATTGGTCAGGCAGGGTTACTTCATTAAATGCAGAAAAATTACAGTATGGTGATGCTCTGAAAGCTTTAACTGAAATCCATCTTAAAAGCAGTAAAAAAAGAAGAACAGGTAAAAAAAAGTGCTGCAAATGTATTACTTTTGATTTGAAGTTTAAATATGAGAGTGGGAGGGGGATATTTTTTCTTAAGTAAGGATCTAGTTTAATGCTGTTCTTAATGAATAACTTAAATTGAAACCAATATTTAACTCACTTTTGTTTAGTTTATGACAGGTTTTGGGGGGGGGGGCTTAAATGGACTAATTTTTTTTCTATTGAGTTTGTTAACTAATAATCTAGCTCTAACAAATATAATTTAAACCTTACTTGGAAAAAAACAAAACACTCTCACTTAGTTGATCAGTTACATTAATTACTTTTTTTGTATTTAAACTTTTTTCTTTTGAATTTGGTATTTTTGCTATTCAGGATTTTTCTTTACAGATTTTAAATGGCTTTTAGTGCAATAGAGGGTTAGATTTTATTGCTTTAAAATACTAATTAGAATACTAAGTAAATTGTTTTTCTTTTAATAATTCATGGCTTTAATTGAATTTCTCTTCCTTGGCGATAATATATAAAATACTTTTTCTAATAATAAATTATTAATTTATTCCTTAGCAGCTTTAGCACAAGTTTTAGGCTTTTTAATTTACTCATAATCACTATATATTATAAAAGTAAGTGTACAATGTGCATGCTGCTAAAATTCGGAAACAAGTCCCAAAACGATCAAGGTGGTTATAGGGTGTGCCCTCTGTGCCCCATCCATGAAGAAGGTTCTCATTTTGGCCTGAAGGACGTGCTTTTGGAGACATTAAGGGCTGGAAGTTTTGCTCTCTAGAAATTTCCAGAACATCTTGGAACATTCTGGAATGTTCATGAATGGTTTGAAAAACATCCCAGATCATTGTGGAACATTCCAGAACACTCTCTAATATTGTGGAATGTTTTGGAACATTGTGGACCATTCGAAGCCTTTTTTATATGGGTAGGGCTACCCATTGGTAGGGGTATATAAAGCAAAATCTGTTGTAGGTTCGAATGTCTGTTTCTTATCAGTGATGTACAGTGAGTAAATAAAAACAAACAGTGAAGTGTGAGTAATAGAAGGGATACAGTAACTGAATATAAATCAAAAATAAAGTGTGTAAGAGAGAATATACAAATCAGTTGTCGCGATGGTAAATGTTGAAGAAAATGTTAACTTCCCTACAGAATTTTTTAACTCAATGCAAGTACCAGGAATGTCATTACACTGCCTTTAACTGAAAATTGGATCCCTGATGATACTACTCAGAAATCTCAACTCACCAAAATTATGTAATGGAACAAGGGTGGTCGTCAAACAGTTATCGAATAACATCATCGAAGCTGAACTTATGACTAGAAAGGACAAAGGACATACAGTATTTATTCCCAGAATACCACTGATATCTACTATACTGCCATTCCAGTTTAAAAGAATGCAATTTCCAATCAAATTATGCTATAGTTTTACAATTAACAAAGTGCAAGACAAACTGGAAAGCATTGCGGTATCAACCTCAAAGACTCCTGCTTTTCTCATGGACAGCAATACATAGCTTGCTCTTGAAGAGAAAATTTGAAAAATTTGCACATATATAGCCTGGATAACAAAATGCAAAATGTTGTATTGTATATAGTTAGAATATGTTTCCAATAAAAAAAAAATTTACCTTTTATATTTTAAAGTTTATCCTTTTATTCCAGCTATCACACAGTCTCATATCAACTCCGTTAATGAAGCTAGTTACTATATATATATGTAATAAGATGACTTGGTGAAAGAAAATTGCAACAGATTGGTGATGGTTCTTTGCATTATAACTTGAAGAGGCTTTACTGCATCGTTAGAAAGATGACACTCCTAAAAGACAGACATGTAATACAAACACACTTAGAAGTAATAAACAGCAGGAATTTTGATAGCTTAGAAATGTTGATCTATAATGAACTAGCATCTTTGCTGCCAGCCTTCGTCTGGCTTTTAAATGTACCGGAAAAATGGCTGAAGGGAACACCAAACATTAAATTTAAAAACTGCATAGAATTTTACTCTGCAGAACAACTTCATAAAAAAAAGTTATTACGTATAACAAAATTACAATGAAATAAGCAATATCCATTAATACAAATATTAATTATCCTAATAAATAAGTTAACCAACTTCCCTTTGCAAAATCTTAAGAACTCAAATGGTATAAAGGAGGTTAAGAACTTTGTTTCCTAAAAAAAAAAAAAAAAAAAAAAAAAAAAAAACTCAAAACTTTTCAATATCTTAAAAACAGTGAAATGAGCAATAAATAACATAAAAGAATATAAAAAACAAAAAATTCTGAAAAGCAAAGTATAATTAATGATATTTTATCTTATATTTTCAAGAGGAAAAAAAATACAATGAAGTAAGCTATATCCCTTAATAGAAATATTAATTATCCTAATAAAAAAATTACCAACTTTCCATTGAAGAAAAAAAAATCATGCAAAATTTTCAATATCTTACAAACAGTGATATAAGCAAAAAAAAAAACATGAAAGCAACTCAAAAACATAAAAATTCCGCTCAGAATTTTACTCTGCAGAACAACTTTATATAATAAATATATTAAAAAATGTATTATATATAAAAATGACATGAAATATGCCAATCTCTTAAAAAACAGCGACATAAGAATACGATGAAAAATTGTTGCCAAACCTATTTCTAAAAGAATGATGAAACTATTCAAAATGATTGCGATTTCATCAAAATCTATCAACAACAATAAGACAGGAAAATTGTTGCCAAAATCACATTTTTAAAGATGTGTGAGAAGTGTACTCGGAAGCTTCATTAAAAAAATTTTTAAAAAATACAAAATTATAATTTTTCCAAAAAATTCTTTTGTAAGTCGCAAGGATGAAAGTTTAACGGTTCAAAAATCAAGAAAAATAAACTGTACATTTTAAAAATAAACGTTTTTAGAAAAATCCCGTTGAAAAGTGTTAAGCTCCCTTTGTTAAATAAATTCGTTTTTAATCGATTTATTGAAAACAAAATATTTTTTAAGTTCGTAAAATAGCTAAGTGCCTACGTTTCATGACAATGTAAAAGGGGTGTAGAGTAAAATCTCGATTCCTATAGCCTATTTGTCAAAATGACGATTTCGTACAAAACATAAATTTAAAAAATGAATCAAAAAAATCGCTTCGAGATGCACGCTCTTGTCTAGATGGACAAAGTACCAATTTCGTAGCTGTGGGTCTATTAGCTTACGCTCGGCGCGAACGAAAGGCATACACACACAGACAGACTCTTTCTTTTATTATATGTAGTGATAGGAGACTGACAGCCAAGGTACATTAAATCTTCATTTAATTTTCAGTAAACATACTGTGGCCATATTTAGTAAATAAATTATTATTAACTTACTTTGCAGCAATTGCGCAAGTAGTA